TGAATCTTTCATTTTATTTTGACTGAAGATCATTTACAATTCCAACTGATAGGAGGTGTCTAAAGATATATGTTGTTCGGGTTAAGAAAATTGAATGCAGGACCTGAACCAGCAGGGCAATATATTTCTACACTTACCTGGGAGAAATCGAATCGGCTAGCCCGGTTTTGTTTTGTCAGAATAACATCTACTTTTTTAATCGCCTCAGTGATCATCGTTTTAAACAAATCCTGCAGCAGAGAGAGGGATGGAAATAATAGTAAGGACTAGACAAAATCTTACAAGTAAATTGGAAGAAAAAGTACTATGCTTGGGGACGACACCTCAAAGAGAAGAGATATTAGTTGTCCAGATAACTCCAACCGCTTGTTACCAACATAATCCTACAAGAAGACGCACATTGGAGAAACAATCAATAAGATTTATCTACAGATCATCCTTGGTTCATCTCAGATCATTTTCTTTACTCATCCCAGGTCATTGACTAACAACTTAGCCATCATAATGAGTTGAAGTCTTAAATACTCCTCTAAGACACGGCCTAGACATTTTGTAGGCCATTTCAGCATGTCCCTCCGATTTTTCAACCGGCTAATCTCGGTTAATCTAAGTATCTAACATGTCATAAAGCAAAAATTCTAATAGAAAATAACCAGACTTAAAATATATTTCACAAGAACAAAAAAACTATTCCATATTACCTTGTCATCCATCGCATCTTTGTTTAACATTGCTTCAATCATTCGTCTCAACATCACGCCAACATAGAAACATTTTTGACGAAAATTGTTGTCACGCACCTTAAGGAGAAGAACATAGCAGTAAGCAAAGCAAAATTATAAAGCACCAAAAGAAATTAAGATACTTACAGGAACGTGTGCAAGGAATAAATCTCTGAGGATGTATAGAGCTCTTCCGTCCTAGTAAATCATGTAAGTACACAATGCAGAACTTTCACTTAGCAAGAACACTTTCATATTCAAATTTGCAGGCCAAAAACATATTACCCATCTGTAAGTTGAACTCGAGACAGTAATAGTGAAATAAAGAACAAACAAAAACCTTTTGAAGTGGAGGACCGTATGATGTTTTTTTCACCTGCAGTGATAAACATATAAAAGAACGTCACATATATCTTGCTGCAAATTGACAAAATTCAAGATATATTCCTCAACGGAAAAACAACAACAATAACATGGAAATAAACAACAACTCTTGATACATCACAGAATGAGGTGTAAGGAGCAAATTATACCACTAGAAAGTGTATGACAGATTTTCATTCAGCAAATTCAAAAGGTTATTTTAAAACTATGACAGATTTCAAAAGTGTATGACAGACTTCCATTGAGATATGAACCATGGTCTTTTTAAAACTAGAAAGAGCTCTTGTTTCAACAGGGCAGTAATATCTTCTTTTGGGTTTTAGACAATTTATAAGTAGACTACATGTATACACTAGAATCATCGAATAGAAAAACTATTAAATGACTCTGTAAGATAACTAAAACACTGCACCTTTGCCTCGAGATAGTCCAGTGCTTGTTTTTGTGTATTCACACCTTCACTAACACACTCCTGAAATTAAATAAGCATTTGAGAAATAAATATGATGCTCAGAGATCAAGGCTCGTCAGAACCCACAGGATGAACAAAATGGCGTGGAAGAATAAGAAAGGACTAGCAAAGACATTGGTTTTATATAGTAGGTTTTCTTTTAGAGCCACGGGTAAATGATATTCACACATCACCTATAATGTCAAATTAAAACCTTCCATTCTAAGAGCCATAGCAGTGGCTTTTATATCTTTAAGCATCATCAACCGACCACGTTGCTCACAGTCACAAGTGCATCAGACTTTATCAGTATGCATGATATTAGATTTAAATTATAATTATTTATGTATTATGACTTCTTTATTGGTAACACGTCAGTATTGGGAGTTGAGTCTAAAATTAGACATTTAACTTCCTAGCTAAACTGTGAGAACAAAACAATCAACCACAAGGATCACTGCTCCGTAGTTTACTTATGCCAATAAATGAGATCCAAAAATTCATATAAACTACAAACACCATAAACTGAAACTACAGCTGCTTCTAGACCAGTATCCTTATAAACTGAAAGATTCACTCAAACACCAGCATTCTTACGAAAATACCATAAATTAGACAAAAGATAAAAAACAGGGAGCTATAATACTTGCCTCAATAGAAGGCAAGAGTGATGCGCTAAAACGGGGATCCCTTCCAACCATTTGTACAATCTCTTGGTCGCTCTCCATTCCCATAGCTTTTAGGACAATTATTATTGGAATCTATGAGAAAATCACATGCTCAGCCAATATAACCCAATGCTGGAAGATCTACAGTTAAATTGGAGAACATGATAATGTATCTACACCTTTTTTACAAATTGATGAAGAAATAAATATATCCTCTCCTTTTCCATCTGAATAACTGTTTTGCTTTTCGTCATTTCAGTACTGCTTGTAACGGATGCATTTATGCTGAAAATAAGCAGCAAAAGAAAGAGAGTCAGCAAATAGTTATATTGATAATCGGATAGTGGGTGGGTCAACAATGGAAAAACACTGCTGAAGCATGATGAAATGATCTAGCTTGACAATTAATGTACATGGGATGCTTGCCATCAACACTACAGAGACTAAACCACTGTAATAGATCACTTACTTCCCTTTTTTATCAGAATCAATAATAATCCTGTTCTTCGAAAGTTGTTCTTGTATCAACAACACCTGAAATGAACATCAACACCAACATATATCCACAAAGTCAAAGTGCGGACTATTAGTATAGACTCCATCAGATAGCTGTACGAAAAATTATATATAAATATCACACCTTCTCAGTTCCTTTGATGACGAAGTATCCTCCAGGATCAAGAGGGCATTCACCTAGACTCCAAATGAAATACAATAAGTATGATGAACAAGAAGATGTAATGCTTAAAATAGGGGTAAAATACAAACCCAATCTTGCAAGTTCATCTTCATCTTTTCCATTTAATACACAGCGGCAACTCCGCAACATAATAGGCATCCTTCCGATAAGTACGTTATTCTGAAATAAAGAAACAGCATATTCAGCCTGAGTTTTATGATAAGTAGCATTATGTATTATACATTTTATTTTTCATTTACCTTTGCACTTGTTTGCTTCTCTCCATGACTTCCATGAACATATTCTATATTGACATGTATTGGAGCAGCATACCTGATAATTAAAACAAGAAGTTATAATGCATATACCACAGCGAATAAAAAAAGAAAGTTACTGGTGATGTAGAAGAATGCATAACAAGTTAACAACAACATATGCTCAAACATCAAACAATAAAAACATGATGAATAAAAGAAGCCTTTACGTCATGTCTGCTAATCGGCACATGTGTGGATTAATTTGTTCCGCCATATTAATGTTTAAAATTGAAGGTTCACCAACTCTGACGGCCTTAAACCTGCATTAAAATATGGCTAGAAAGGTAAGTTTTGGAAACAGTAGAAATGTCTAGTTATTATAAAACAAAGCATCAATATTCATACATTAGGGGAGGTCAGATTTAAGAAGAAATAGTGATTAAAAAGTTTGACCTTAGGTAGATTGACGGGTCTGCTGTGGATGTAATAAGACAATTTGCCTTAACAATCTTTTTGATCCCGACATTGATCAAGTAATTGAACGAATCCAGGTGTTGCTTCACAAGTCCTCTCACCTACACAACGAGACAATTACTCAAGTCAACTATGAATTACCTTTGCTATCAAAATTACAAATATTCCAAGTATCAAAGAAACAAACCCAATCGCATAGTTTCCGCTATTAGTCTAACGCAAAAAAAATATGAAGATTTTGGGTTCTGTGTCTACCTTCAAGAACTCTGGAACGAGCTGGAATTTATCTGCTGTAGATTTGATAGGAGCTGAAAGCTTTTCCTTGTTAATGAAATTGTCATCATTGGTCGAACTGTTTCAATAGAAAGAGTAACATTAGAAGAACCACATGACCTAGTCCAATTAAAATCTAAAACCAATGAAGAATCCATGAACGAATCCAAGATTCTAACTAAGAAAAACATACTCTAGGTCTTCTTGATCGAGTCCCATCACTATTTTAACTTGCAATTAAGCTTTTCAGTTATCTGAAAATCCATAAGAGTAATACAATCAGTTCCATGATTAGATCGTCTCTTCTCCAAAAACACAATACACAGCATAATCACAAGATTGTGATATACAGAGAAGAAAGAGTAAGAGAATTGGACCTACGAGACTCCCGAAGAAGAGACGAGGGATTTCGTGTGATTCGAAGAAGAGACTTAAGCTTGGGATCGGTGCAGTTGGGAGGCAGATACAGTTTCGGAAATTCTCCCCGGAGTACTGAACGGAAGAAAATACCGGCGACGGAAGTCGATGAGGAGTGTTGATTTTACAGCCAAGGGTTTAAGAGACGACGACGGCTATAGAAAAACAAACGGGTAAAAATACAAAAACGGCTAAATAGGGTTTTTATTATAAATAATCTTTTTTCCTTTTTTTGATTTTGCGTTTGCGTTTGCGATTGCGTTTGCGTTTCTAAGCCTGGTTTTGAAGTCGGCTCGGTTTGTTTGGTTTGGACAAAAGATGTGATGAAAAAGATTTGGTTCGGATTAGATGATGCAAATTTCAGGCCGGTTCCATAAGCCCTATGACTTTGTCCAATTAAATCGATTTATTTTTGGAATTAAAACCTTTGATTTGATTTTTTATTTTTAACAAGATTTTTTTTTGGGTATAGTTTTTGTGAAATTTGGTACATTTCGGTTCAGTCGGTTAGTTTGGAATTTCGGTTTCAAGCGTCTGAATCGCGCGACCTATCAATTTTAGTTAACGTTACAAAGGTCAGGGTTCTAAATTATCAAAAAACAAATCTCAGGGTTTAAATTCATGTGTTTAGTAAAAGTCTAGGATTAATTTACCAATTTCGCCACATAATTTAGTGACCTAATTCGCCACCACTCTCTCGCCGAGCTCTTCGCCGGAGATGGATCCAGTGGAAGAAGTGGAGATGATATTAAACTACAGTTTCGTGAACAATACTCTTCTCAAAACCGCCTTACCCAAAACCTTCCCTAAAAATTGTGCTGAATCATCTTTACTATACCAGCGGCTTGAGTTTCTCGGGGACTCCGTTCTTGAGGTCGCCTTCACGAATTACATCTACAAGGCATACCCTAATCTCAACCTCGATGCGTTTCGTAATTTGCGAAGTGCAAATGTAAGTAACGAGAAGTTCGCTCGCGCCGCCGTCAAACACAAACTCTACCGATACGCCATACCCGAGGAGAATCATAATATTCCAGGTAAAAAGGTAATCAATCATCTGAATCCATGAGAATTGCTTTGTGCGAACAGAGTGTTGAGGTATTTGAAGGAACGTGTTTTTACTAATAAGTTGTTTGATTTTGGTGTCTATATGAATCTTAGTTTATAGAATTCTCAGAGGCAGCGAGCAAAGAAGGTGTTCCTCTTCCGTTTGGTGTGAAAGCACCTAAAGCATTTGCTGATATTATAGAGTCGATAGCTGCAGCTGTTTATATTGATGTGAATTATGATGTACAAAGACTTTGGGAGGTCTGTGGTGTTTGTTCTTCTTCACTAGCTTTGTGTTTCTAATTCTATCTTATATGATAATTCTCTTTTCATTATTGAAAAATGAGGAAATTTGTGCAGATCTTCAGGGGGATTTTGGAGCCAATATATACAGAGGATGATTTACAACTGCAACTTAAACCATCATCTCTTGCGATTTTTCGTTTGGCTGATAAACACGGCATGCGAATCGATTTCAGGTTTTCGAAAGATGACGACAGCAACAAAAATATTGTCGAGGTATATCTTGATGATATATTTATAGCTTCTGGGTGTGCCGAGAATATACATACTGCGAAGCTGCTCGCTGCTGCGGGAGTGTTACAGAAGCTGTCAGATTGTCTGCCCATTGGCAAAATTATTGATGAAGACTATCTAGACGTTCAGACTGAAAATGTGAAACGTAAGTTGATTGAGATTTGCTCCCCTGAAAAGCTTTACATTCAGACTGAATCATTTTCTTTGCCAACTGCCTTAGAGAACCCTTTAACCGATGAAATGACACAAGAAAAAATGGTTATTGATGACGATAGTATAGATATGGAACTTGAAGATGTGAAAGGGAAACCGTTTGAGATTTGTTCCACTGAAAAGCTCCGATTACGGACAGGATCATCTTCTTTTCCAACCACCTCTGAGAATCCCTTAACCGAGGAAATGAAACAAGAACAAATGGTTATTGATGAGGATAGTACACATGTTGAATCGGACGGCGCGAAAAGGAAATTGTTAGAGATTTGTGCCAAGAAAAAATGGTCGAGGCCGATTTTCAGGTATATCTTATTCCTACATTTTTCTTTGATTTAGCAGGAAGTTTTCTTTTCTATGTACTACTTACTGCTTAGCAAGGACCATGAATGCCCCAATAATCTATGGTTAATCTCTTACAATCTTGGGTAGAGAAATCACATAAATGCTCTGAAAATATATACTTATAAGATCAATGCGACTGACAGACTAAGTATGGATGTTTTTTTACTTTATGTGCCTCAATAAGTTTTAATGTGACGTATTAACTTTGTTACTGTGTTCAACTCTTTCCAGTGTTCAAGAAGAAAGAGGGCCAAAAAATGAGCAGAAATTTGTTTGCTCAGTTAAGATTGAGATCCCAACTATAGAAGGCTACTTTCACATGAAGGGAGATGTAAAATCAAAGAAAAAGCAAGCAGAAAATTCATCAGCGTTTCACATGATAAGAGCCTTGAAATCTTCTACAATGAGTCTTATCATAAGTAATCTGCAAATGCCGAAAAGTTTAGATGAAAAGAAGGAAAATCTGCAAATGCAGGAAAGCTCAAATGAAAACAAGAATCTGCATTCAAAGAAGAGGAGAACTACTTATGAAATGACACCAAATAAAATGGTTATTGGTGAGGATAGTCTAGATGTTGAACCTGAAAATGTGAAAGGGACGTCGCTTGAGATTTGCTCCACGAAAAAGTTCCAGACACACACTGGATCATCTTCTTTTCCAACAGCCTCTGAGAACCCCTTAAGCGATGAAATGACAGAAGAACAAGTAAGTATTGATGAGGATAGTCCACATAATGAACCTGAGGATGTGAAAGGGAAGTCGTTTGAGATTTGCTCCCCTGAAAAGCTCCAGTTACAGACAACAAAACAAATGGTTGTTGATAAGGATAGTCTACATGTTGAACCGGAGGATGTGAAAGGGAATTTGGTTGAGATTTGCGCAAACAATAAGTGGTCGAACCCGGTTTTCAGGTAAATTTTTTCCTACTTTTTTTCTTTGCTTTAGCAGGAATCTTTCTTTTCTAATTAGTAATTACTAATAACTGCTTAATAATAAGGACCGTAATCCAAACTCATACTACAGTAATATCTTTTGAGTAGTCTAGAGTTTTATAATCTCAAAGAAGGATAATGCGTTTGCTAATCCGTGGTTAAAACTCTTAGAATCTTAGGTAGAAAAATTACATATATGCTCTAAAAATCTATACTTGTAAGATAAATGTGAGTCTAGCTGTTTTTTACGGTGTGCCTCAATAAGCACAAGTATGCCGTATTAACCTCAAAACATTTTTTTACTGTGTTTAACTCTTTCCAGTGTCGAAGAAGAAAGAGGGCCAAAAAATGAGCAGAAATTTGTCGGCTCAGTTAAGATTGAGATCCCAACTATAGAAGGTTCCTATCACATGAAGGGAGATGTAAAACCAAAGAAAAAGCAAGCAGAAAATTCTGCAGCGAATCACATGATAAGAGCCTTGAAATCTTCTATAATGAGTCTTGTCATAAGTAATCTGCAAATGCCAAAAAGTTTAGATGAGAAGAATAATCTACATTCAAAGAAGAGGAGAACTACTTACGAAATGACACCAAATAAAATGGTTACTGGTGAGGATAGTCTAGATGTTGAACTTGAAGATGTGAAAGGGAAGCTGATTGAGATTTGCTCCACGGAAAAGCTCCAAACACAGACTGGATCATCTTCTTTTCCAATCGTTTCTAAGAACCCTTTAAGCGATGAAATAACAGAAGAACAAATAAGTATTGATGAGGATAGTCCACATGTTGAGCCTGAGGATGTAAAACGGAAGTCGTTTGAGATTTGCTCCACTAAAAAACTCCGCTTACAAACTGAATCATCTTCTTTGTCTGCCGCACCTAAGAACCTTTTAACCAGTGAAATGAAACAAGAACATATGGTTCGTGATGTGGATAGCTCACATGTTGAACTTGACAAGGCAAAAGGGAAGTTGATTGAGTTTTGTTCCAAGAAAAAGTGGCCGTTGCCAATATTCAGGTATATCTTATCCCTACATTTTTCTTTGATTAAGCAGGAAAATTTCTTTTCTTTTTACTACTTACTGCTCAACAAGGACCATGATCCAGAGTCATATTGATATCTTTGAGTAATCTAGAGTCGTATAATCTCAAAGGAGAGTTCCTTTGCTAACCATAATGAAACGTGTACCATCTAGGGTAGAGAAATCACATGTATGCTATAAAACACTATACATCTAAGATCAAAGTGAGTTTGGGTTTTTGTTTCTTACTTGCCTCAATAAGCACGAATATGCTGGATCATCTTAAAAACGTCTTTTTGTTACTGTGTTGAACTCTTTCCAGCGTTGAAGAAGAAAGAGAGCCAAAAAATGAGCAGAAAATAGTCTGTTCAGTTAAAATTCAGATCCCAACAATAGAAGGTACGTTTCTCATAAAGGGAGATGCAAAATCAAAGATAAAGCAAGCTGTTAACTCATCAGCTTACCACATGATAAGAGCCATAAGTAATCTGCAAATGCCGGACAAAATTAATGAGAAGAAGGAATCATATCTCTGTGGCTCGAAGAAGAAATCTGATTCAGTAGAAGGAGTGGAGAAGATCTTGAATTACATTTTCACGAACAAGGGTCTTCTGAATGGAGCGCTATCACAAAATTCTTATCTATTCGAACGGCTGATGTTCGTCGGCGAGGCAGCTCTAAAACTCGCCTTCACCAATCACATATACCTCATGTACCCTAAGTTCGATGCCAGTGAGATGAATATGTTGCGAGAAGCAAATACAAGAAACAAAAATGTCGTCAAACACAGCATTTACCAATTCTTTTACCGCAAATTCAAGTTAGATAAAAAGGTTACTAACCATTTCTTGTAGTTATCAGTTCTGTATTATCTTTGCTTGATTGATAACCACAGTTTTGGTGTCATCTTTTAGATTAAAGTGTTCTCAGAGGTGGGAGACAAAGAGAATGACCCAGTTCCTCAATCGGCGAAACTCCCAAAAGTAGTCTCTGACCTTGTAGATTCTGTAGCTGGAGCTGTTTTTATTGATATGAATTTTGATGTTAAAAGACTCTGGGAGGTATGTTGTGTTCTCCACTAGATTTAGTTTCTAATTCAATATGATTCTCAAGTTATTAAATAATAGAAGCAAATCTGCAGATCTTCAGGGGTCTTTTCGAGCCACTAGATACATTGGATGATTTGCGGTTGCAACCTCAACCACTCTGTACCCTTTTCTCTTTGGGTAAAAAGCACGACAAGCATTTCGACTTCAGGTATAAGGAAAATGGCAACGGGGCTACTAAAGCTTACGTATACCTTGATGATAAGTTTATAGCTCGTGGGAAAAAGAAAAGTACTAGAGATGCCGCGAAGATGAGCGCTGCTAAGGAAGCATTACAGAAGTTATCAGAAAGTATGCCCGTTGAAATAAATATGGAGGAGGATAGACTAGACACTGAAATTGAAGATGCAAAAGACAAATTGATTAAAATTTGCAACAAGAGAAAGTGGCCAAACCCGGTTTACAGGTATCTTAGTCCTACACACTTGAGATGTCAAATTATCTCTTGTTTTGCTTTACTTTAGCCAAAAGCTCGTGAAAATCGATTATATCTAATCTATAACCAGAGCGCATTTGCGAATCCATAATTGAATTATCTTACAATCTAAGGGTAGAGAAAATGTACATATGCTCTAAAGATCAATTGAGGTTGGTTCTTTTTGTTGTGTGTGCCTTAAACCATATTTTTGTTTGACTGTGTTCAGTGTTGTGAACTATGAACAACCTGGGGGGTTTGTTTGTTCAGCTATGATTGAGACACCAACTGCAGAAGGTACCTTATACGCCAAGGGAGATAGAAGAAAACTGAAAAAGACAGCAGAAAACTCCTCAGCCACACACATGTTAAGAGCCTTGGAATTTTCTCTGAAGGACGACTTGTAATGTTAGATATGTACTTTTGAGCCACCATTAGCTTAGATAACTTTATACACATATCGTTTTTGAATCATTCGAAAACTGTATATTATTATCGTCTTATATAGTGTTGATATGTGAGTGAGAAGAAGAGGCTCGCCTAGTTTAGTAAGGCAAATGCACAACTAGGAAATTTGTGTGTTTTTCTTCTTTCTTCATTACTTGTAAGTAAGTTAAAGTTACATGGCTTTTAAATTCTGGAAAATAAACTGTAAGTGTTTAAATTCATGGTTTTAAATAGTACAGGGGTTCAAAAAAAAAAATTGTACAGGGGTTCAAATTATCAAAACTAAAGTTTAAGGGTTAAAATCTCAAAAAGCTTAAAACTCATGTTATTAACAAATGTCGGGGTTTATATAACTTTTCCGCGTATCTAGGGACCTGCTAAATCAGCCTTTTTCGCCGGAGATGGACTCATCAGTGCAAGCAGCGGAGAAGATATTGAACTACAGTTTCGTGAACAAGACTCTTCTCAAGGATGCCTTAACTCAAACATCTCCTTTATTCGATCGGCTTGAGTTACTCGGCGACTCTGTTCTTGAGGTCACCTTCACTAATTACATTCACAACACTTACCCTAACCTCAAACTCAAGGAGTTTCGTGAGTTGCGAACTGCCAATGTCAGTAACGAGAAGTTCGCTCGTGTCGCCGTCAATCACAACCTCTACCAATTCCTTTTACGCCACAACCCTTCTCTTTTCACAAAGGTCATCATCTAAAGTTTCAGTTTTTCACAAAATTAGAAAATAAAAATCTGATTTTTAGAACAAGTGTTTTGATTTTGGCTGTCTATATCTTAGATTAAAGAGTTCTCAGAGGCTGTGAGCAAAGAAGCTGATCCTGTTCCGTATGGTGGATTGGTGAAAGCTCCAAAAGTTCTTGCTGACATTGTAGAGTCAATAGCTGGAGCTGTTTATATTGATGTCAATTTTGATGAACTAAGACTTTGGGAGGTCTGTTGTGTTTGTTCTTCTCTTGATTTTGTGTTTCCAATTCTATGTTTATATGATTCTCAAGTTAGGAACTTTTTGCAGATCTTCAGGGGTCTTTTTGAGCCAATTTATACACCGGATGATTTACGGCAGCAACCTAAGCCACCGTTCCTTACGCTTTTTCGTTTGGCTGATAAACACGGCAAGCGAATCGACTTCAGGTATTCGAAAGATGAAGAAAGCAGCAACAAAAATGTTGCTGAGGTATATCTTGATGGTATATTTATAGCTTCCGGGTGTGCTAAACGTCTAGATACCGCGAAGCAGCTTGCTGCTGATGGAGCGTTGCTGAAGTTGTCAGAATGTATGCCCATTGAAAAGATTATTGGTGAGAATAGTCCAAATAATGCAAAAGGGAAGTCGTTTGAGATTTTCTCCACTGAAAAGCTCGAATCACAGACTGAATTATCTTCTGCAGCTACTACTGCCTCTGAGAAGCCTTTAGCTGATGAAATGAGACAAGAAGAAATGGTTATTGATGAGGATAGTCCACATGTTGAACATGATGATGCGAAAGGGAAGTTGTTTGAGGTTTGTTATAGTAGAAAGCTCCAGATACAGACTGGATCATCTTCGTTGCCCACTGCCTCTGAGAACATGTTAACCTATGAAATGACAACAAAACAAATGGTTGTTGATAAGGATAGTCTAAATGTTGAACCGGAAGACGTGAAAGGGAAGTTGTTGGCGATTTGCAGCAAGAATAAATGGCCGAAGCCGATTTATAGGTATATCTTATTCCTACTTGTTTCGTTGCTTTAGTAGGACTTTTCTTTTTCTAAGTACTACACACTACTTTACAAGGACCATGAGTAATCAAGAGTCTTATAATCTCAAACAAAGATAAGCATGAATGTGCCATATTGACTTAACACTTTTGTTACTGTGTTTAACTCTTTCCAGTGTTGAGGAACAAAAAGGGCCAAAAAATGAGCCGAGATTTGTTTGTTCAGTGAAGATTGAGATCCCAACTGTAGAAGGTGCTTTTCACATGAAGGGAGATTTGAAATCAAAGAAAAAGCAAGCAGAGAACTCCTCAGCTCACCACATGATAAGAGCCTTGGATTCTTCTCTAATGACTCTTGTCATAAGTAATCTGCAAATGCCGAAAAGTTTAGATACGAAGAATCCATCTCTCGTTAGCTCAGATATGGATTCTGATTCAGCTGAAGCATTGGAGAAGATCTTGAATTACAGTTTCGTGAATAAGAATCTTCTAAAAGATGTGCTAACACACAATGGTTCACCTTTCCAGCGACTTATCTCAGTCGGTGAGCCAGCTCTTTCTCTTGCCTTTATGAAACACTTGTACCTCACATACCCTAAGCTGGGACCGAAGGATTTGTCTATGTTGCGAGATGCAAATACATGTAACGACAGATGCGCTCGTGTCGCTGTCAAAAAAGGCATCAGCGAATTATGTTTACGCAATGTTCAAAAGCCAGAAAAAATGGTAAATTAATATCTACTTCTTGTGCGTTGAGAACATCTCTCTTCTTATGATATGCTCATCAGTTTTTATGTCATCTCTTAGATTACAGAGTTCATAGAGTTGATTGGCAAAGAAGATGATTCTGATACAGATCCATACAGATCTGTGAAAGCCCCAAAAACTCTTGCTAATCTTGTAGATGCTGTAGCTGGAGCTGTTTATATTGATGTGAATTATAATGTACAACGACTCTGGGAGGTTTGTTGTGTTTCTTTCACTAGTTTTTGTGTTATATGATTCTCAATATTTTTTACATAGAAAGGAAATTTGCAGGTCTTCAGGGGTCTGTTCGAGCCAATATATACACTGGATGATTTACGGCTGCAACCTAGCCCACAATATGCTACACTTTTTCGTTTGGCTCATAAACACGGCAAGCAAATCGACTTTAGGTACTCGAAAGATGTCGACATCAGAAAAAATATCACAGAGGTATATCTTGATGATATATTTATAGCTTCTGGGTGTGCTAAACATATAGAAACGTCAAAGCTGCTTGCTGCGGAGAAAGCGGTGCAGAAGCTGTCAGAATGTATGCCCATTAAAAAGATTTCTGATGACGTTAGTCCACTAGTGGAACCAGAAGATGTGAAAAGGAAGTCGTTTGATATTTGCTCTACTGAAAAGTTCCAACTACAGACTGAATCATCTTCTATCCCCACAGCCTCTGTGAAGCCTTCAACAGATGGAATGACTCAAGAACAAATGGTTATTAACGAGGATTGTTCTCATGTTGAACCTGAAGATGTGAAAGGGAAGTTGTTTGATATTTGCTCCACTGAAAAGCTTCAATTACAGACTGAATCATCATTGTTGCCCATTGCCTTTGATAACCATTTAACCGATGAACTGACACAAGAACAAATGGTTATTGATGAGAATAGTATACATGTTGAACCTGAAGATGTGAAAGAGAAGTTGTTTGATATTTGCTCTACTAAAAGGCTTCAGACACAGACTGGATCATCTTCGTTGTCCACTGCTGCTGAGAACCCGTCAACCTATGCAATGACAACAAAACAAATGGTTATTGATCAGGATAGGGAAGTTGAACCCGAAGATGAACCCGAAGATGTGAAAGGGAAGTTGTTTGAGATATGCGCAAAAAATAAGTGGTCGAACCCTGTTTTCAGGTATATTTTTTCCAACCTTTCTCTTTGCTTTAGCAGGAATCTTTCTTTTCTAGTTACTACTTACTGGTTAATAAGGACCATGATCCAAACTCAAACTAATGTCTTTGAATAGTCTAGAGTCTTATAATCTCAAAAAATGGTTAGAACTCTTACAATATTGGGTAGAGAAATCACATACTATACTTGTAAGATCAATGTGAGTCTAGCTGTTTTTCACTTTTGGTGCTTAAGTAAGCACTAACGTACCTTATTAACTCTTTCCAGTGTTGAGGAACAAAAAGGGCCAAAAAATGAGCCGAGATTTGTTTGTTCAGTTAAGATTGAGATCCCAACTATAGAAGGTACGTTTCACATGAAGGGAGATGCAAAACCAAAGAAAAAGCAAGCAGAAAATTCCTCAGCAGATCACATGATAAGAGCCTTGAAATCTTCTATAATGAGTCTTGTCATAAGTAATCTGCAAATGCCGAAAAGTTTAGATGAGAAGAAGAAGAATCTGCAAATGCATGAAAGTTTAGATGATAACAAGAATCTTCATTCAAAGAAGAGGAGAACTGTTTAAGTAGTTTTTTGGTACTATTTCTCTTTATTTACAGTTTACAAATGCTACATTGCATCTATTTATAGTGCAATGAGAGAAAGTCTCTACTTAGGAACCGGTCCTGCTTGTGTGACTTAATGTACTCTCTTTCAGCTTAGAGATGGATTCCTGTAACTCTATTCACAATGATTATAGAATAGTTAGATTTTTAGAGTGCTGATAAGTTTCATATATATGATAGCCAAATAGTATATTTTCTTTCTATTCGAAGTTTATTACGTTGACCGAAGGAGATTCATTATAAATTCACAGTGGTTTGGTTACGAAGATGCAGAGTGGTGTCGTCGTGAGTTACAAGGTTGTGTGGTTGATCGGTCATGATGATGCTAGAGTGATCGATTATAATTGTGGTAAAGTCGATTTAGTAACATACTCATCTGATACAGAGACGTGGGAAACACGAAACGAGGAGCTTGTAAAGGAGGAACTTTTAAACCCTTTCTAGGTCGTGATGATGATACTATATATATGGTCATAACTTATGACTCATAAGAATATAAGATATGTATCAACAATTTTCCTCAATCACCATTATTAAGCTTCTCTGTTTTCGTTACTTTTATTTTTTTCAGAGGGTTAGAATCCATCTAAGCCTTAAATCTACCATTAAAAAAGTGTCAGATCTTGGTTTAGTGACTCATCCTCCATGTCGGTTGTAAAAAGAAAGATCCATAAAGAGAAGATAGCTTTTATGACATTGGTTCTAGATTCAACTAATCCAATTTTAGCAAAGTGATAAGTTATTTTACATTAAATGGAAAATTCCCTGAACAGAAAGATAACATTGACTCCGACTCGATCAAGAGTCTAAAGATAACTTGCCAGAGAATCAAAGAGACAGGAGCTTCCTACTTTAGTAAATGTTTTGCATGTGTTAACTTCAATTGTTTTGGCCTTTTCAGTGATTCTGAGCTCCTTTTGTATTGGAACGTATAGCCTTGCCGAGAGAGATGTTCATTAGTTACACTTCCCAAAAGAAAAAGCATAATACTGTGAAGCTATATATCTTGTTTTTTACAAATTAATTCTCGAATTATCTTGCTAAGCTTTTGCAAGATCATTAAATCTGAACGTTTTTGGAACAATTACTTTGAAGAACTGTTAGTTTGATTTCCTATTTCGAAGCGTAATTATAGCATAGACCAAATTTTGAGAAGCCTTTTGGAGTTGGTAAAAGTGTTGATCAATGGAGAGGTGAGTGAAGAGGTGAACGTGCCTTAACGAGGTTATAAGAGTTGTGATCATACGAGAATACTCACAAGTCATAACCTCATAAAACATAATATTGGGGATGGAGGGAAACTATGATCTCTACGACAAAAAAATTGTTGTCTCTTTGGCTTGAATTCTAAAATGTAAAGCAAAGCATATTTGATTTGGTTTTTATGGTTGGTTGTATGGTAACATAGTGACTCTTTGCTTCTTTGAAAGCTGTAAAACAATCACACCCATGTTAAATTTTTCTATTCTCGGATAATATTACATCTAACGTTCTTGATATTACTAACTAGATGATGTTCCGTGCTATGCACTCTATAAATTTTATATTATAGTAATTAGAAAATATTTTGGACGAATATTTATCCAAATGTAAAAATGTAATAACATATGTCATTGAATTAATTGATTTATGTAAAGTGTAACTACTAAATATTTTACATATGGATTATTTTGGGATAATGAAATTAATTTAGTTTAATCATAAAATTAGATGAAAACAAATTAACCAAAATGGGATGAAATAAAAGATTTCAAAACGAAATTCGGAATTTAAATGAACGAATTTGTAAAATCTTTTATATTTTTTTTGTCGAGTTGTAAAATCTTTTATTACGTCCATAAAAACAGTTTCATTCATTAAAAATGATCATATAGTAAATATATTTTCATGGATAATTTTATTTTACATTTCAAATTTTTTTCTTTTCAACTATTTTTTTAGAGGTTGTAAATATAATTAAAAAAAAATTAGTTTATTTTCTAGTATACGTGTATATATATGAGGAAATATTTTTGTCCAAAGTAATCCATAATCTCCTAGAAAGTAGAAAGAGCCAAAAAGAAAATAAGAAAAAACCTTGAGAAAATAAAAAATATATTAAATCATTTTCGTCTTGAGAAAAAGCAAAAGAGACACAAACTCGAGAAACAAGCTTCGTATATTTTTATTTATTTTATCGCTGCTGTTTTAGGCGGTTCTATCTCCTTCTTCCTTCTTCTTTCTCGATCTCTGTTTCTCAAATCTTCTGCTGCAACAGTGAGAAGTTACACAGACCGATCGAATTTTATAACTGACCTAAAATCCGGTAAGAACAAGAAATAATCCCCAAAGTAGTTTCGTTACTTTGCTGATGATGATGATGATGCATGTATAAAACATCATTCGAAAAGTTTGGATTTTTATGAATTTTTTTGAGGGTTTTGTAGATTCGTCCAAGTTCTAATTTTTATAATACGATGGGGGCAAACGATGAGGGTTGCTCGACTCAGCTAATCGATGGGAATGGTGAATTTAACGTTAAGGGTTTGGATAGTTTCGTGAAAAAGACGAAGCTTTCTGATTGTGGGCTTTCTTATGCTGTTGTTGCAATCATGGGTCCTCAGAGTAGTGGTATGAGATTTTTGCTTCATGTTATTAGTTCATTCTAATCAAAGTTACAGTCTTTTTTTTAGTGTTTTTGGATAATTTGAGATTGTTTTGTTGATTTTGGAATCTGGGTATCTGAACCTCTCAACGTTACTTAGATTATACTTCTGAGTTCAGATTGAGATAACTGCAGAATCTTAATTCTTGTATGTCGTTTCAGGGAAGAGTACACTTTTGAATCATCTTTTCAACACTAATTTTAGGGAAATGGATGCTTTTGCGGGAAGGTTAGCAAATTGTCATTATTCAAATCTTTTTTCTTTTTGTGGCAATTCTATTTTTAGGGTTGAAATTTGTTTGACTTGGTGAGTTGTTGTCAATGTCTTTGCAGGAGTCAAACAACCAAAGGTATTTGGATGGCTAGGTGTGTTGGTATTGAGCCTTTCACAGTTGCCATGGATTTGGAGGGTACTGATGGGAGAGAAAGAGGCGAGGTAAGATGACCGAAGGACAGAGCAATAGATGCTACTATACATTAAGTTCTAACCAAAGAATATGGTTTTAGCTAATTATCTAAGAGTTTGTCAGAAATTTCGAAATTTTAAGGATACTTTATCTTGCAGGTACTTTTCTTATGTGTATCTAACATTTCTCTTCCAATTCTTTTTGCTAACGGATAACGGTTCCTGTAATTTTCAGGATGATACTACATTTGAGAAACAAAGTGCCCTGTTCGCTTTAGCTGTTGCCGACATTGTACTGATAAACATGTGAGTTTATATCTTCTTGGTTCTTCTTTTGATAAATTTTACTGATATATTTTGAACTTGGGAGCAGAAAGATAAACAACTAGTGTTAGACGATGATAGATATAATTCTGATGAATCCATCGATACTTTTAAGGTTTTCATCTTTTCTGGATCTTATTCAGTCTGTTAGATTCAAATTCGAATAAACTATTTAAGATCCACCTGCACAGGCATGATTGAATCTTAAGTAATATAAGGTTTGTGCCATAGATATACTGTTTATTAGATTATTAACGAAATAATGAACTTCATAGGTGGTGCCATGATATTGGAAGGGAACAGGCGTCAAACAAACCATTGCTGAAGACAGTTTTCCAGGTATCACTATCATGAAGTGCTTGCATATGGAACATTCACGTTCAACTAATAGGTTCAATAACTTGGTCATTATTGCATTTGTAGGTCATGATGCGGTTGTTTAGCCCTCGAAAAACAACTCTTCTTTTTGTCATACGTGATAAAACAAGGGTAAGGTATTTGCAATTGAATATGATTCTTGATGGTGAAGTTATATTTCTTCGATTGACATATGATTTTCTCCTTAGACTCCGCTAGAGAAGCTTGAACCTCTTTTAAGGGAAGATATTCAGAAGGTGACATGCAGTCTCTCTCTCAAATTCTTTCATTTAAAGGTTTTCTTCTCACTGAAGTTTGGGTACTGACTATGGTTTGTTGCAGATATGGGATTTAGTTCGCAAGCCCGAAGCCCACAAGAATACAGCTCTAAGTGAATTCTTCAATGTAAGGATTTCCTCTTCCTGCTTAAATGATGCTTCATATGATGAATTTCAGTCTGATGACTGCTGTATAGTTACTAATTTTTCCAGGAATATACCTGTTCAACTTTTCCTTATTTGATAATTCGCACTATATATGCCTGTAGGTAAAGGTTGTTGCATTATCAAGCTATGAAGAGAAAGAAGAAAAGTTCAAGGAAGAGGTATTCTTCTTATATGTAAAACACTTCTCTTTTCGAAGCATCAAAGCAAACCTAAGGCCGATTCTCTTGATTCATGCAAACTTCTAAATATGTAGGTTGCTGAGTTGAGGCAGAGATTTTTCCATTCCATTTCACCTGGGGGACTTGCTGGTGATAGACGTGGTGTCGTTCCTGCTTCAGGATTTTCTTTCAGCTCCCAGCAGATTTGGAAAGTTATAAAAGAAAATAGAGACTTGGACCTTCCTGCTCACAAGGTCTTCTATTCATTAAAATCTATGTAGTTAAACCATGTTTTGATTTCTTGTGTACTAATGTTGTTTTGTTTTATGAAGGTAATGGTTGCCACTGTTCGGTGTGAAGAGATAGCGAATGAGAAGCTGCACAACTTGGCAACCGATAAGGTTTGCTTCTGTGGCCTCCTTACCTACTTCAGTTTTTTCTTGCTGATTTAAATGTTTTGTGAGACATAATGGGGTAAAATTTATATAGAGCTGGTTGGAGTTGCAAGAAGCCGTAGAAGGTGGTCTAGTTCCTGGTTTTGGCAGAAAGCTTAGCTCTATCCTTGAAAAATACTTCTCAGAGTAAGCTCTTTCTTTTGGTTCATGAAGTATCTAATTCCCGAGCCAAGTAAATTTGCCTAATCATGTTTTGTTTACCCATTATTAGATACGACGCAGAGGCAATATATTTTGATGAAGGAGTACGAAAAGAAAAGCGTCTACAGCTGAAACTGAAAGCTTTGGATGTAAGGCTTCTTCCGTCTTTGGGTTGGCATTAGTATCGACTCCGGACCTGGTTATGATTATTGTCTCTTATTTTCAACTTTTTTTAAAAATTCCAGTTCGTGTACTCTGCTTATGCTACCATGTTGGGCCATCTACGGTCCAATGCACTGGAATCCTTTAAGATGCGACTGGAACAGTTTCTAAGTCAAGGAGAAGGATTCGCAAAAGCTGTGCGGGACTCTCAACAGTCTTGTCTGCTTGTGTTTGACAAAGGATGTAAAGGTGAGAGTTCCTATTTCGTTTTGTGCTTCAAAAGTAGAGTTTCCTCGTGAGAAACAAATTGGTTTGGCCAGAAAAAAAACAATTACATTTACATGAGAATACCTCCGTTTATAAATTGTATTCATGTCTTCAGATGCTGTGGTTGAACAAGCAACTTGGGATGCATCAAAAATCAGAGAGAAACTTTGTCGTGACATCGATTCTCACACTTCTTCTGCTCGGACTGCTAAACTATCTGAATTAATTGCCAGTTATGAGGTTCTGTTTTGGTTTTCTCTTCATTTAATTTCCTAGATTTATTGAGTTCTTATTGAAATATGTTATTGCTTATTGGCGGTTAGCAGAAACGGCTATCTCAAGCACTTAGTGAACCTGTCGAGTCTTTGTTTGAAGCTGGCGGAAAGGATACGTGGCCTTCCATAAGAAAGCTTCTCAAACGCGAGACTGAAACAGCTGTTACAGATTTTCTGGATGCGGTTACTGGTTTTGAGCTAAATCACACTACAATTGATACTATGGTTCAGAATCTAAGGGATTCTTCTCAGAGCTTAGTGGAGAAAAAGGCAAGAGAAGAAGCTGCTAAAGTTCTAATCCGAATGAAAGATAGGTAAGAAAAAGATCAGAGTACACTCCTATTAATAACATCCTTTTCAGTTTTCTTTGCTTGATATTATTTCACACACATTTTAGGTTCTCAACAGTCTTCAGTCATGACAAAGACTCAATGCCACGGGTCTGGACTGGAAAAGAGGATATTAGAGCAATCACAAAAGATGCTCGCGCAGAGGTAACTTCTTAAAACTAATGGGGAATGGGGCTAAGTGATGTCTTGGAACTCGCTTCATCTGTTGCTATCCTGCAGGCTTTAAGTCTTTTATCTGTGATGGCTGCAATACGTTTGGATGAAAGATCAGACAATATTGAGAGTACTCTTTTCTCTTCTCTCATGGATGGAACTGTTTCTGTTGCATCTTCACACAACAGAAGCATAGGAACTTCAGCGGATCCACTTGCATCTAGCTCTTGGGAAGAGGTAAACAGTCTAAGAAAGTGGTTTCTATTGTAATTTGGTTGACAAATGTGACAATTATTAAGATATTACACTAATTTGAATACCAAATTAACCAAATTGGTCCACTTTACCATATATTCTTTATTCGTTCCACCAAAATTAGGACATGTTTGGCATGTGGCTCCTGAGATGCCACTCCACCATAATTTTATGGTTTTGTGTGTGTAGGTTCCTCCAAAAAATATACTTCTGACGCCAGTACAGTGTAAGTCACTGTGGAGACAGTTTAAATCTGAGACTGAGTACACTGTAACCCAAGCTATTTCGGCACAGGTGATTTTTGCAAATCTTCCTCAGAATTTATGTGTTATAAACATAATTTAGTCATAGACAGAAAAAATAAATACATAATTTAGTCAATGATGCGTTTTTATTTCTATTCTTTAGGAGGCTCACAAGCGAAATAACAACTGGCTTCCCCCGGCTTGGGCGATTGTGCTGATGATTGTCCTTGGTTTCAATGAATTCATGATGCTTTTGAAGTAATATGAATTTCCTTGCACACTTTTACTATTCATTCAAGATTCTCCCTAAGTGTTTCAGCTATTTAGATTAATTGGCATGTTTCATCTTATTGGAACAGGAATCCTTTGTACCTCTTGGGTTTCTTCGTGGCGTTTTTACTCTCCAAAGCCTTATGGGTGCAGCTTGACATTCCAAGGGAATTTCAACACGGCGCAGTAAGCTATTGCTAAGCTTCCATTGTTCCAAACACAATTAGTTTAAGCAGATATTATCTTAACACCATGTTTCCTGCATCTGTTAGCTTGCTGGAGTACTCTCTGTCACGTCAAAGTTTCTTCCAACTGTCATGAATCTCCTAAGAAAGCTAGCGGAAGAAGCGCAAGGGAAAACAACTCAGGAAGCACCAGAATACTCAGCTTCCCAAAGCTACCAACAGCAATCTCCATCACATTCCATCTCAAGCACAATATCTGAATCCGTCGCATCAAGCATATCAGCGGCTGCTGGTGATGATTCGGAACACTCAAGCCCGGCAGATCTTCGGAGACGAAACACCAACAATGTACAAGAAACAGAGATCTCTCAAATGTAAACCAACTAGAAGTGCACGATTTACTGTAGAACAAGCTATGTCGGTTCTGACAATGTTCTTCATAAAAATCGTACTATAGTTATATATATACAGGTAGTGTGTCTTGGCTTGAAAAATCATCATAATATATCATATTGAATAAAGCCTTGAAGAAATAAGTAGCTCCGTCTATTTGAATCCTGGAATAGCTTTCCTATGAACCAAATTATGTTTCTTGAAGCTTGTTTTTTGAATTTTGTGATGCGTTCTGCCTGAGGCTATAGACTTAATAAGTACAGATCTTTGGACCATGCATTCCAGGAGGACTATGCTACTTGTCAAATGGCGATTGTGCCAGATAATTTATTTTACAAAGCTGATAAGGGAATGATCCGTTTCAAAAGGACAATGACTTGGTGGTTCTATGATGAAAGGGTTGAGTTCGAGGATGGAACTACCCTAGAAGCTCCAAGATATGATGGCAACATGACATGAAGAAGCTCAAAGTCATTGTTCCTTCTTGTTCAGGTCTTGACCGGGTCCGAGCTTCCCAAGCTCTATGCTGTTGTACTTATCATAAAGAAGGAAACAGGAGAACTTAAACATGATTTCACTTATTTTTAATGCAAACGATACATAAAAAGCATACAGTATTAGGATGGAAATATATATAAGCAAACTAGGACTAGGATGCAATGGTCTTATACATTACTAATCTGAGGATGAAAGACAATCCCAGATGTATCAATTATTTATAATGAAGTCGGTCATCTTTCGACGAATTACGCTAAGGCTTCAGATTAAGGTCACCCATATGCAAATCATGACCTACACCGAGGAGCTTAACTTCTACGACTTTGTAGTTAAAATTTGTAAATTTTAGAAGGTTAAAATTCTTTGCATAAGAGTCCAAATAATCCAATATAGGTCGCGTAGCTACTTTCGCCTCTGTTCGGCCGGGAAATCCGAGAATTTGTAGCTTACTCGAACCAACTCCAGCTTAGTCGTTTCATACGTACATTTTCTCCAAACAACTCCAACAGAATCAGAGGCTTCAAAGACTTGTGGATGGTGACAGGCTAAGTGCTTAGCGGTTGCTAAACCACTAACACTCGCACCTATGAATATGATAGCTACTCGTGAAAAAAGTATGCATATTGTAGTTGGAAGCCATAATAAAAGATTATGAAAATAGAGAGAATATTTATAATTGTTTAGATAGAAACTATTAAGAAATCAAGTTAATTTGCATAGAGCATGTTCAACGGCCATTTTGTAAAAGGTACTTAAAAAAAAAGTTAAAAAGAGAGAAAGAAGCGGTATTAAAAAGAAAACATTTAAAAACAATACTAAAGAAAAACGGTCACATGTCAAATATTCAGAAATTAAAGTAATAAAAAATAAAATAAATAAAATATATTTTTATTGTCATTTTAGTACCTTTCATTAGTGTAAAGAGATGTAGGTGGTCTAAAGTTTCTCACAAATATAATATTCTTATCTTTTTACAATCTAGTTTTAAAACTTTTCGTGATTATCTATCTCTACTCGAGAGAGATCCACTAAATCTCTCAATAATATAATGATTTTTTTCATGTACTTTAATATTTCAAATGTGATATAACTTAAATACTTACATTTTATCATAAATCGAAGATTATATTCACACCAAATAAGATTTTAAATATATTTAATTTATTATTACTTATATTTGTTTATATCGTATGATATAAAGTTTTGTTTTCAAAATTTACATTATCATGACATGTATCACATCTCCGCTATGATTTTAACAAGTGTAAAAATTCCAACCAATTAAATTTAGACATTACGTTAATATAAAGATGAAAATTTTCAAATATAATAATTTAGACTAAAAAAAGTAAAGAAACTTATGTTTCATTCTTAACTAATCTTAACTAATCTTAAAAAAAAAATAAGCAAAAAGAAAGGACAAAACAGGAAAAACAAAATCAAATTGGAATCAATCTCCAATGCACTTATCATAAAGAAGGAAACGAGAAAACTTAAACATTAGTTTATTTATTTTTAAGGCAAACCATACATAAAATCATATTAGGATGAAATGGTCTTATACATTATTCATTTTTATACGCTAAGGCTTCAGATTCATGTCATTACACAACTCATCAGCATGTTGAATGCTGAAAGTGGAGAAACAATGATTTCTATAGAATCTGCTTGATCTTCTCATAACATCCATTTCTTTGAGGAATTGATCCAACATCTTTAGACCATCTCCAATGGTTAGAACCATGGGAGGGTGCTTATTCATTTTTTTGCATTAATTTTTTAAAAATAAATTTATAAGTAGCCCTTAGTCTTTGCTTAAAGAGTTAATTTAGACAACAAAGCTTATGAAAAGTGCTTGATTTGCATTAAATATAATGCAATAAATATAGGCAATGTCTTAAACTTCCCATTAAACAATGCCAATGGAGTTGCTCTTACTTTGCTTGGCAACTTGAATTTATCGTCCAAGAGCTGACTTAGCCACCTTGCATGTATTTCTGATGACTTCAAATTAGAGCCGCCTAGAACATGTCCGATGAAACCCATGTTCGGTATCAATGGATGGATTGTTCCCCTGAACGTTTAGTATATATATATTAGTATCGTTATATTATATAAGCAAAAGTTCAAGTTTGTTAATAAGTGTACGTACCTGTATAACGGTATGATACCCCAAGGAAACTCAAGCCATGTCCGAAAAGGTTCAGGGACAATGTCTTTGAGCTTCTTCATGCCATCATATCCTGTCGCGAGTATCACAACATCAGCTTCTAGAGTAGTTCCATCCTCGAACTCAACTCCTTCATCATAAAACCACCAGTTCTTTGTCCTTTTGAAACGGATTGTTCCCTTATCCGCTTCGTCGAAGAAATTCTCGGGCATGATCGCCATTTGACAAGAAGCATAGTCTTCCTGGAATGGATGGTCCGGTTTAAGACCATATTTCTCTAAAGGAAGCTTCCATAAAACATATGATTCGATGAATCTTGAAACTGCGGCACGCTGTTTGTCAAAGATATATATGGTTTAAAAAAATTAGAAGGATTGCATGATCATGTAGGAGATACGAAATTGAGTGTTTTGAAGTTGAATCTACAAACCAGAAGAGAGAAGATTGGACTAAAGATAGTTATAAAGAAGCTTTGGTTAGGCCTCTCATGAATGAATTGAGAAGCTCTAGTTGAGTAGAACAAGAAGAATGGTAAGCCCCAAACCCAATAATGTGGGATCACCCAATGTGGTGTTCTCACCACCATTGTGCATGTTTTCCCTTCTTCTCCTTAAAATATTTTCAAAAACATTGTTTAGTTTAAAATATTTTTATGAAATTTAAATCATGTAATATATTATTTATTATACCTTGATTAGCTAAAGCGGACTCTAACGCCAAATCAATGGCCGATTTCTTGGAACCAATCACGACCACGTTCTTGCCACGGAGGAGAAGAGAAGCCTTTTCTTTATCCAACTTGGAGTAATCCATGGAATGTAACACTTCTCCTTTATATATCTCCGGTCCTTTCTTCACCGGAAACGTTGGGATTCTTGGTACATCACCGTATTTTCCAGTACATAGTACCAAGAACTCAAATGCATGCCACTGCATGCACACACACAAATGCATGCCACTGCATGCACACACACAAATGCATATTATTAAAAACAAAACAAAACGTTACAATAAATGAACATATATGACATAGATATGGATTTGCAAGCAACAATACAAAACATATTTAATTTGGTGCTATTTGATAGTATTTCTCTACAATAAATGAACATATGATATCAGACGTATTATACCTTAATATCACCATGCTCGGTCCTAACAGCAACTTCCCAGACAGGTTTCCCTGGCAACAAGTTGCCGTACGCACCGATGTTTCCCATATGTAAATCTTGACCATCACCGATGAACCTAACCTCAACGACTTTGCAGTTAAGTTTTATGTATTTTAGAAGGTCAAAATGCTTTGCATAAGCTTCCAAATAATCCAACACCTCCACATAGGTCGGGAAGCTACTTTCGCATCTGTTCGGCCAAGGGAAGTCGGAGAATTCGTAGCTTACTCGAACCGACTGTAGCTTAGTCGTTTCATACGTACATTTTCTCCAAACACCTCCAATAGAATCAGAGGCTTCAAAGACTTGTGGACGGTGTCGGGCTAAGTGCTTAGCAGCTGCTAAACCACTAACACCCGCACCAATGATAGCTACTCGTGAAGAAGTATGCATATTGTAGTTGGAAGCCATAATAAAAGATTATGAAATTGAGAGAAGTTTTAAAACTGTTTAGATGGAAATTTGTTAGTTTGCATACACCTTATTTATAAGAGCATATGTAGTCTCTCACCAATCTCATATTATTATCTTTATCTATTTACTTTTTTGACAGCTTAATATTAATATCTTTATTACACAATTTACTTTAAAAACTTTTTCGATTTACTATCTCTATTGCGAAAAATTCACTAAATCTGTCATAAATATAATATAATAACTTTTTCGTGTACTTTAATAATTGTAATGTAATTTAACTTAAGTACGTCTTTAATTTTTATCTTAAATTAGAAGATTTCTAATTAATATATGGGATATTTTTAAAAAGAGATACCTCAAAAGGGTTATTTCTAACAAAATCTCTTAATATATTTCAAATCATATCAAATTATATTTTTAATATCTTTTAATTTTTTATTACTTATATTTTTATATAATAAATACTAATAATAATAATAAAGCCATAAATACTAATAAATACTTAAAATATATAATATATTTTTTTTTAACAGCTCATAAGATATAATATTTAAATGTGTTTTCTACTAATTGGCTGAAAATTTTGCAATAAACAAAGAATTAATAAAATTATTAAATCAGATAAAAAAAGATTATTATTTTGTTGCCATAAACTTAAGTGACTCTGTTTGAGAGAACAGTTTAACTAGCTAGCACAGAAAAGATATACAGTATCTATTAATAAACCATTTGTATTGGTAATTTCTGATTGGCTTCTACAAATTGTTTATAATTAATTTTATTTTTTAAAAAATATATGTGTTTTAAAAATGTGCAAAAGTGTCTCTAGATAGACATTTAAAGGCACTTTTGCATATTTTAAAAACATTTCTAAACAAAAAATATCAAAATGAAATATATTTTTTAGACACATGTAAAAAGTAAGCAATAGAGATGCTCTAGTTGTTTGTTCTTAACTTCTAAGAGCACGTCCAATAGTGGAGTTACTCATTTAAGGTTTTTAGTAATATAATATTAATATTTTTAAAATAATTTATTATATATTTAAATTCTAATTTTAAATTAAAAACTGGTCAATAAGTGAAGGACATGTGTCCATAAAGGTTCTTAATGGAGTTCTATAAGAGCATGTCATCAATGGTTTAAGAAAAAGTATCTCACAATCAACATAAATTAAGAAAAGAAAAAGTATGAGAGAGGATGCTGAAACGTTTCTCGTTTGAGAGCTTTTGAGAAACCATTGAGAGACTCGTGCACATGTGTATGTTTTTGATTGGTACAAATTCAGAAAGAAAAAAATTTTAATTACAAAATTAAATTACGATAACTTCTCTTGTTACTTTAAACATCTCTAATACAATATGTCTCTATCCTCTTTTATATTTATTTTGATTTTTTTTTTAAAACTGAAATTGTCCATGCAGTCCACTGAGAATCATTGTTGGAGGTGGTCTAAGGAGTTCCCAGTCTGTAATATTTGGTTTCGAGAAATTTTGAAAAACTGATATGTTATAATGCATTGATAAATTTGAATATTTGATGGTCATAGTGTGGAAGTTTTTGTAAGCTATGTTTAGAAATTAATAATTCCTTTTTTTTTTGTTTAGTAAATTAAATTATTTGTTTACATAGGTTAAGGCTTATTTTGCCAACCCCTAGGTTCAGGAACAAACTGTTCTACTCTTCATTTCTTCTTTATCTACTCTAAAGAACATAAAGAACAAAATGTCATATTATATATTGGGGAAAATATTATTTAAATCCCGAACTTACAAATTTTGGCAATTTTAATATTCGATTTCCACTGTGGCCATTAAAATCATAGACTTCTCGTTGACGTTACTTTTAAATCACTATTTTCTGTTGACTGATCCAGATTAAGCATGTCGTCAAATCAAATTCTCTAACAGAGGAGTTAACAGCCATTTAAAATCGTTAATCGATCTCTGTTAATCGAAAAATGAGAATCATAAGGACAAACGACATCATGCTGCCTTAAACGAAATGCCTAAGTCCCCAAATTTAATTTACTAAATTTTATTTAACTTATTATTATATAATTGTTAAAATATCCCCATAAGTATTTTAACCAATGGACATGCTTTTTGAGAGTCTTCTTCCTCTTAGTAGTTTTTTGGTCTGCTATGCTTTTTGTATTATCAGTTAATCCTGTAAATTGAAATGGTACAAAATTTAACGTTTTTGCCCTAGACACCCAAATCACTGTTCTTAAAATGAACCGCACGAGTATTCCAGTACATTACAAAGAATCAAATTGTACATCATGTATAGCTATTGATATGCATCAAGTCGAAAACTTCACAAAAACTTGGAGAAGTGATCAAATATCTCGACAGTATTTCCAGATTCTGAACTTCAGACAACTTTCAAGACTTAATCTTGTTCCTAAGTTTTGCGATTGTAAGGTCTGCACCTCCAAACCCATCCATTACACCTTTTGCCGATGGAAACTCAGCTCTTGCAGTCAAACTACAAGCAGAAATATAAGAATGGTAAAGATCAAAAGAAACTGAGCAAATGAACAATGCTCCAGAAAGCATCTTTTAGGCTTTAGTTGTGTAGAATATCCACAAAAAAACATCAGAAACCGAAATCATAATACCTGCTTCGCATGACTACACACGGCATGCCTATCATTTTTGCAGCAGAAACTCCAGGTTGACTACCAGCAACAAGTACACAGTTTTTTACAGGTAATCCTGCGTGTTCTGCAGCAGCACGCAATGCAACTACAATCTTTTCCAATCTGGAGAGAGTAAAAATGAAAATGAGAAGACATCACTTATCTTGTCAAGGTATGAAAATTGGATTTTTTTGTAGAGAAGTTTAGAAAGTCCCACCTCTCAGATGAGGTTGTGTCAATATCAACACTTAGCTTCAGCATCAATGCAATTTCTTCTGCTATCCTCTGTTTCTCAGCGGACGCTAGTCAAACAGAAATTAAGAAGATGAGATATTTACTACAGTTACAAGGAAGATCTTAGATACAACAAAAGTATTTGCAAAATTGTCTCCAAGATCTGTACCTGCTTTTTTTACTTCCTTCACTAGTTGCTCCTCTAGACTAGAAGAAACCCCTTTGCCAAGAACAAGTTGTCCATACATACTCTGTTCTACCTCATTTTCTCCTATAATTTTCACATTTGGAAGTCTTTCTTGGCCAAGCATCTCCACAATTGATCTGCAATTAATTGCATCATAAAAAGAGAAACAAAAACGTTCAAGCTTGTTACAAATAACAGAAAGAATATGCTTATGGATTGTTTTGTACTACTTTTCACCTTGCAATTTTCCGGTCTTTGTAATAAGTGAGTGAGTTTAAATAATCACAAATAGAAAGAAAAAAACATGAAATTTAACATTCAGAAGCAATTTCCAAGGTTACTGCTGTATCCAACAAGTTAACCTTTGAGAATATCATGGATTGTATTGAAATCATATGGAGCATAGCGATCTCCATGAGAACTAAAATTTGTGTATCTTTGAGCAACCAGAACTAATGACATGATATGCATAGGACAAACAACTTTATAAATTGCAGAAGTATATTTTTTGGGAGCTTAACTACTTACAAGGCTACTTTGTCTCCACTATTGCAGTAGGCTGTTACAATAGCAACAGGTACTCTCTCGGCATATGCACTATCGATAAACCTACAGCTCAAAAATGTAAAACAGTTTTTACAAGCATAGGAAAAAATCTCTAATTCTTTGTTTTAGTTTTGAAAGAGATATCATCAGAGACTCACTCTTGGACTCCAGATTTCAGAGGTAAGCTTTTCGACATCAAAAACTCATCCATTGCATTTTTCTGCCAACAAACAAGTTGGCGTTACGAAATTGATGGAGTTATCAAACCTTAACTTCGAAGAGAAATATATAATTAGTTGAAAAGAACATCAAGTCCAAGTATGCATGCAACCTTTTCTCGCAATACACTTTTTACAAAGCTAGCTTTCTCACTAGTTGGCAACGACGAAGGCCAACCAATCTAAAAGAGGTAAAACAAAGGTGTTAGATTTTATAACTGTGTGGGCGCAATTCAGTGATATCATATGTTTAAGCATAAAAACTTACCTGGTTGAAATACAAAAGCAACATTTTCTCTTCATCAGCAGCACCCTTTCTGGTAAAAGCCGACAAAACAGTTTCAGACAAACGAAATGCAATTGTAAAAAGAACTCAACTTCAATGTCTACTCATAATTGAAGGGGAAATAGCCATTGTTTGTGAGGGTATGACAAAAAGGAAGCACAAACAGTTTGATTGATTTAAGAATTATTCTTTTTTTAATCCCTAGAAACAGAATCCAAGGAACGGAAAGAGAGATGACTGGAAACAAATAGATTCTCTTTCAAAGCAGACTTCAATGAACCATAAGCCAAACGGAAAACACACAAGTCAGAAACTTAGATATTATACCTTAAGAGGTCTGAATAAACTGGTTCAGGCCAATTTGCACAATCGAGCCCAAGCTTTTGAAAAGCTGGTATTCACAATAAGAGGCAACAACATCAGAAAAAAAGTGAGAAGACATTCACTTTGTAAAAATCCTCTGAAAGAATGGGTGATTTTAACCATACCTACATTGAAAGCTTGGCGATTACTTGACCATGTATCAATCATAACCCTGAAAACAAAACCAAAGTTAACCATCACTGAACCAAAAGAAAGAAGTTGCTTTAAACCCATAACAATCTCATCATAAAGTTTGAAGCTTTTGTCTTAATCGCAACAACTTACCCATCAACTTCAAGTATTACGGCGAATTCCTCAGATGGGTTTACGTCTTCTCGGCCCGCTGATAAGCAAACCGAAGAGTATCTCTGCAATCGCAAGCATTTTCCGAGAATCTGGGATTTTCCTTGGAAACTGGAAAAAGACAAGAAATTGCGTCTTCTTCCACTTCCAGTGTCGTGTGAGGATCGCTCGCTCAGGTATCGATTGAAAAGAGAAGCCTTGGTGGTACAAGAAAGTTTGAGATTGTTAAGAATCGAACAAGAAGCAATTTCCATGGCTACGTTCTCTGTTTTTTCTGCTGATTCATACCAAAAAGGTCTCCACTGATAATGATCATTATGCTCTTACCATAAAGTAAAGCACAGAGCTTTAAACTTATCTCTCTCTCTTTCTCTAGATACAGTAAAATTTTGGGTCCTTACGTAAAGATTTCAACTTTTTGTGGTGATGGTTCCTTTCTTATCTCTTCTTCTCTTTTGGATTGTGTAATCGAATTATGTTTCTTTACATATCGCTTTTATCCTTTTGGATTAAATGGAACCTCTGAGATGGGTATATAATACATAAGAACGTACAAAGATTAAAGTACGAAGAAGCCAAAATCTGAGAGATTAGAGTACAGAATTTACTTCAATACAGTACAAAGGTTTATCTTTTACATCCAATATTACTTAGAAAGAGATTGTAATAACAAAATTCTGGAGAAGCCACACAAAAGTAAAACTCATCAGAACAAGTATACTGTAACAGACAAGTTATCAAGTGATTATGGACTTAAAAACCACAATCTTCATTTCCTACGACCTGACTCTAATCTTACCATAGTTGATGAAACTTTTTCCCCAGTGAGAAGCAAAGGTAAGTATGAAATTTGCGCACACAACGAAAAAAATGAAAGTATGAAGTTGCCTAACACTAACAGAATCAAACCATTGCCCGGTTATAGATTAAGCAAAAAAAGAAGGTGATAATGCATACTTATAAGCTCCCTAGCATGGAGTAGTTATTAAAAGGAAAACCTAATTATGCTTCTCAATATCCTTTTCGGATGATGAGTCCTTGTTCAGGCCGTTGGATAGTGCAAAAATGCCACAAATATATATAATCAACATAAAATACATTGAGCATCAGTTCCAACGACTGAACCGACCCATGTAGAAGTCATGTTCACATGGTTGAGCATCAAAGTGCTAAAGGTCTTTGAAAAGACCATAAGATGGAATATAAAGAGTAGCAGTTTTAATAATCATTACCTCTCTTATGAATGGTTATTCTCTTGCGAGTGTCTTCTGTGCTCTCTATCACCATGATGACTACTACCTCTGCTTGTCTTGTTGTGGCCTTCTTCACCATTTTCACTACTGTGGCGTCTCTTTCCTTCAGTCTGCTTTTCTGGGGGGCTTCCCATTTTTCTCTTTCTGCTATGCATCATCTGGGACACATCGTTTACCATTTCCCCTTCCTCAGTACTTTTTACTTCTCCTTTAACATCTAGAATCTCACCATGTTCTGTGCCCACGACGTCAGAGTTCTCGACCTTTGGCCTGCTCTGTACTTTCCTTTCCTTCGTCTTTTCATCCTCAACAGCTAGTTCCACATCTTCCAGTTCTCTTTCAATCAAATCATCCTCATCCATCAAATCCTTTTTCCTTGTCCTTTCACCTAGCAACTTCTTAGCTTTCTCTCGTTTAGCCTTCACCTTATCTCGAAGCAATTTCAAGTCTTTTGGCGACTGGCTGATTGGGGCATCACCCGCATCAACATTTCTTGATTTATGAGCAGCACCATCATCTTGAAGCTCTCCACCCTCTCTTTCTGAGTTGTCTTTTCCAAGTCCCTCAACTGAAGGTCTAGAGTTATAAGGGGCTTCTCTCACATTGTCCTTAGGGGGTAGATGACTTTCAGGATTTAGGCTGCTTTCTTTTGTTTCTCTCTCTATCTCCTCTTTGCGATCGACACTGGCATTAGCTGCCTCACCAACCCCATTATTATTGTTCTGATTCAATACTCCTTTTGATGAACCCCCATGATTATCAGAATTTGAATGTTCATGGGTTGAACGTACTGATGTTTGCCTGGAACCAGCATGGTCATCGGTTGAAACTGCATTTCTGGAGCCTGGCCTCTGAGCTGACCCTCCACCTACACTACTTTCGACTTCGCTTCCTTGAGATGCAGGGACACGGTTTTGCTCATAAAGCTCAAGCATTTGGTTGCTAACATCTGAGATAATACAAAAGGCGATTACTCTTAAAATCATATTCAAAAAGGGAATGAAAGTCAACCAAGAAAAAAAGAGCTGTCAAACCAATTTCATCATGTACTTGTACTTACCTTCCAATTGTCGGGGTGTGACATCAAATTCTTGCCACCAAACCTTTTCTCCATCTGAAGGTAACTTCACCTTAAGGAACTTGGCCGCAAGAAATATTGCACCGGCCGCAATATGATGAGGCTTAAATTGCAGGCAGAGTGATGTCCGCAGACTGCAAGCCACTTTTCATTGTATGAAGACGAAAATACAAGGCACATAGAATTATTGGAAGCTTTAGAAGGAAATATTACTTGAACGTACCCATCATTAACAAAATTCCATGCAACTTGGGCAAGAGCATTCTGTGCAACCTTAAATTTCTTTATTGCTTCTACAAGGGGTTTATAAGGATGATGAACATTGAGGTCAAAGCCTAAAGTAGAAAGAACTATTTTTTCTCCATTTAATATAAGCTCTTTTTGTTGCTCATATACTTCCTGCAAAAGTGATATACGTCAATATAAATTTTGACATGCTGACCAACAGAAAATAAATCAGGATCATAATGATTCTACAAAACAAAGAAGCAACATCTGTAGCTAACACTAAAACCTCAATGTCAAATAAAACAAAATATATGGGGAAAGAACAATACATTGATCTATAACTAGCTAAACGGAGGCAACAGATTTGAGAAGGTTTAGTAGTAAGATGGAATACCTTTTGCTTGATTTTCTGGGAAGCACCAGGATCCTTCTTGTTTATAATTTCATAGGAGACAAAAATAACGTCTTTCAAGGGCCGTGGAGTTTCCTCAACCTTTCCAGCAAGGAACATGCATACAGTTGCAATGGTCTGTGGAAACAACATAAAGAGAGGGCAAAGTAAAGTAAATAAATAAATCAGTACCAAATACCAATCATCACAGTTCACTAATCCTACGTAGAGTAAGTAGAAAAGAAAAATCTACATCAAAGTGACGGTAAAACTATCAGTGAGAATAGAGAAATGAGCTCTCTAGAGCTACCAAGAAAAATGGCAAGGAGATGGAGCCAATATATAAAAGAATACCAAGGAGCCAAGACATTTCAATATTTAAAACTCTATTCTAGCCAGACTACAGCATAGTAAACAACACAGACAAAATTCATAAGTTATAAAGCGATCAACTTGTTCAGGTGCAAAACAACTCACCCTTCTGTCATTCTTTGCATGTGATTGGCGAAAGAAGAATCGATGACAGAAGATTATCGCTGTAGCTATTGTAACCTGAGGACTGATTGGAAAACTATATCAGCCACTTTCCAAGAGAAGAAAAAATTGAATGCTGAACAATGCAGAAACCATGACTACAACTACAGAAAGTAAAATTCGGACAGTGTGGCAGTTATGTCTTCACCACTAATAACTGTCTCTTCCTTGTATTCATGTCAAAGAAATAAACATTGAGATAAAATAAACAAAACTTTTACAACTTTCTGTTGGAAGGGCTAGAACTAATATCAATACAAAGGTATGCCTAAACCCATCAGCAGCAAATCAAATTCCAATTATATGAAACCTATATTTAAAGGGGAAACTATCACCTCTACAGTGTACACAATGTTGATGGAATGGGTTGAACAAATGATCATGTCAAGAAAGATAAAGCCAGCTTGAAGCAATTAAATGCATAATGCACAGAAAAGAATCTACGATGAGGTTAAAAAAGAACTTACACTTTCAATCGCATGCCCAAGTCCTGCAAAAACGTACAGTAGGATTTGCGGAGGTATGTTTCCTTCTTTAAGTCAATACCATCCAACCTTGAAGGTGAATTTTCTTCTATTTCTTTTCTTCCAAAATACCAGCGGGAAACCTCTTCTTGCTTTTCATGAGAATTCCTTGAGTGCGATGAAACTCCACTCTCACTGTAAGAACATTCCCCGGCTAGTACTCCAGCCATTAGTATCTTCTAAAACCAAAAGTTATCCCAACCTAACAAAAGCAGAGAGACAAAATGTGCATTACTTAACAATAATAATAAGCCTGAAACTCAATACTCGAAAGGACACAAGATCATAAAAAATAAAAACACAGATTGATTCCCCAGCAAACGAATTTATGATCTTTATAATTGCATTAAAGCTGAATTACTGTAGCTTTGAATAGCTTAATCTTATAAGCATCGAGAAAACCCAAAGAACAGGAATCAACTGAGATTTCAAACATATACACGGAAGGGGTTACAGGGGTTTGAGACTGATTCGTTAATAGTGACACAGCTTCAAAAACAAAAACAAAAAAAAAAAACATAACCACATAGTCTACACGAGAGTCAAAGGGCAAAAAACTTCTACAAGCTATGAACATGAATCAATCAGGCAAATTATGAACCTTTACGAATTGCAAACCACGGAATCGTACTTATCGGAACAACTTGATTCGGCAAAAATCTCACTGCCCATCAGATACATTCGATCAAAACCCCCAAATTTTACTCAAAACACGAAACGAAACCTAGAAAATTAGTAATTGGGACCGAAAAAAACAGATCCAAAGGGTTTGTAGAGAAATTAACCGAAAGGTTGGAAATTTCGTTGAAAAATTCCTTGACGGTGGAGAAGAAAACAAAAAAACAAATCGAGAGAACAGAGAAATCGACGAGAATCGAAGATAGTAATCAAACGAAGGAAACAAAAAAAAAGAGAGATACTTTACCTTACCCTGGAACGAAATTAACTTGCCCAGTAGCGAATTGCAGAAGAAGAAGGAGAAGAAGGCGTGAAATTGCAACAAACCCTAACCCTAGAGGGAGTCGCGAGAAACGAAAGAGGAGGAGGAAGAAGAAAAGGGGATATCAAAGTACTTCTCTCTTTAAAAGAGTTCTGATGTACTAAAAAGCTGAAGGCCAGATTCACTTCTTTCCTTTTATTTCACCTTAAATTAATAATAAAATAAAGGAATTTATTTTTCTTTCTCTTTTTTAGTTATTCGTTAATCCTCACATTTTATATATTTTTTTTAATGCGACAAAAAAAAGAAGAAAAAAAAAGGAGATGGGATTTTAGGAATTAAAAAGCAAAAATACAAATAATTTCTGAAAAACAAATATAATTAATGTTATAATAAATCAACAAAGGTGTATTTTATTATATACTGTTAATTAAAATAACACTGAATTTATCAAAGAAATATGAATTTAATTAAAATACGTAATACGAACTTTTCCAAATTTTCTCAAAAAGAAAAAAACATTAAATTTGTAAGAAAAAACATAGTAAATTATTTGATTAACAAAAACTTTAGTGTTATTTAATCTAATATTCTTAAAATAATCAAAGGCATTGACATTTTTGTTTCTTGTTGGACATGGGCCTCATCAGGAGAAGACCGATCTTCACAGCCCGTTAAGCGTTAGGAATCATTTTAGTTTGATGTGGGCCTCTCAGGAGTGTTTCGGCCCGTTACTGAGAAGCGGAGGAGATCAAAGAGGAAGTTGAAAAAATGGCGGAAAGCGAAGTGCGGAGATCTCGTGGGAATTTTTGTAATAGCAAGACTATTTCTGGTATTGATCTCAATATTCTTGATTGCCTAAGTCGGAGAAACTAGCCCCAGTCCTCCCCAAATCCTTCTTTCCGTTCATTAAAAATCAATTACTGGTTTCTTGCACCCACATTTCTCAATTGATAAATTTGATTTTTGCGGCAGACCTTCAGTTCTGTCTCAAATTCACAATATTAACTTAAGTTGTAGAAGGATTTGACACACCTTAACAAACAAACAAATGAACAAATTGAAAAATCAGGGATTTAAAATAAACAATGTACTGTAGTTAAAAAAAAAAAAAAAAAGATAGAAACACAAACTTAAATTAAAGAAAATCAAAACTAAAACAAATTATAAAGACATGAGACTTTCAAAGTGTTCCGGTGAGAAGAGGACCTGACAAACACATTTCTCTTCACTTGTATGATTGCACCCAAACTCTTCAAATCCTCTAAGTTCAACTCTTCTGACTAAGTGATCCTCTCTTCCTTTGTTGTTGTAGTAAATGTACAATGGCTCGTGCTTGGGAGGAAACTTTAGCGGAACTAAAACGACTTCGTTTCTCTTGTTCATGCCTAAGACTTTTAACTCAATATTCCCGGACAAACGCAACAGCAAAGGGTAGACATTTAGTTGCGTCCTTAGCCATCGGCGTTTGTTGTCGAAGTCATCTAGAACCCACAATTCAAAACTACCGAGAGGACCACCTGGCAAGGGACTAGCCGCGGCTAACTTCCCATTGTAGTTTATCAATGATCCATGTTTCGTGACCTGCGGATATGTGCTGATAGAACCTATGCACTCACCTCTAAGGTTAAATCGAATAATCCACAATGATCTCTTCTCTATTTGTCGGTTAGTCAACACACCGTAGAACAACATCCCATTGATGCATATTCCATTTGTTACAACAGTATAACGAGGGGTTATTCTACCTTTGATGCTTCTCCAAGAAAGCTTTCCTCCTCCAATTGTTAAAACCTTGTGCTCTTGAAAAGGTTCACCATGCCAAGTCGTGCTACAAAATGCTTTGTATTCATTAGCAACAGGATCATATCCCAAGAACATAGATATGTTCTCTCTTCTTCTACCACTAGAAGCTTTGATATTCGGTAATGTTATGACTTGTCTGGTGCTAGGGTTACATATTGTGAATCGACCTGGATCTGAAGGATGTGACAAACAAAACAATCCATGGATGGAAGAGCAATGAACAAGGTCCACAGGCAAACCAGGCAATGTCATTTCAAGATAGGTATGCAAAGAAGAATAAAGAATAGGGTTCAGCTGGCAACAGCGTAACTCTGTTTCATTGGGTGATGGTAACTCTGTTTCATTGGGTGCTGTAGATAAGAGGATTACACGGTTCTCAGCAATACGAACAGCGACCAGAAACCGTGACCGAGTTCGGGAGACTGAGCAGAAGGAATCAATGAATACTCGGTTTCGGATCACGGATATCCATTCCTTGGATACACATTGGAACCTCTTAAGAGATCTAGCCGGCAATCTCGTCAGAATCTCAATCGTTAGATCAAGAGGGATATGATGAGCTACGCTGCTGATTAAGCTACTACCTCGCATGCCAACCTTGTCTTGCTGTTCATGAGAACTGCTTGCGTGTGATGAAACTCCACTCTCACTGGACGAACATTCTCCAGCCATAAGTATATTTCTGGAGGGAAATATCCAAACCTAGCAAGAGCAGAGAACCAAAATGTGCATCACTTTACAACAGGTTATTCGTGCGGTGGATATGACATGGCATCTAAGGAAACATAAGCACATAGGCTAAAGGAGAGTCAAAGCAGAACGATAAACATTAGCGAATTGCAAATCACCGAAACAAGCTTATGGAAATCCTATTCCGAAACACATCGGACAACCTGATTAAATACATTCAGGCCCAGGTGAATCCCGAAATGAAATAACTTCAGATCCAAAGGGTTTGTAGTAGAGCTATCAACCGAAAGATTGAAACTTCACTTGATTTCTCAGCAAAATTGAAACTTCCCTTGATTTCACGGTAGGAAGAAAAACCCCAAATCCAAAAAACAATTCAAAATCAACGCAGTAATCGAACAACCGACAGAAAATTTAGATACTTTACCTTACCTGCGATGAGTATAGATACTTCTCCAGTTGCAAAGACGAAGAGTTATAATTGTTCCAAAGGTTGTGAAATTTCTACACACGAAAGAGGAAGAAGAAAGAGGATAGAGTAAAATTCCCTCTTATAAAACTATAATTGTGAATTCTGGTCGATATATTATTTTCCTTTTACGATTACTTTTATGTTTTTGTTTGTAAAAACTAAAAAAAAAACATATAATAAACTTTTTTGTTTTTTTTTTCTCCACCAATATCTTCTTAATATTAAAAGAGTAGTACAAAATTGAAAATCAGAAAATTTTGTCAAAAAATTCCGAAATTTGCCCTTCAATTTGTTATGAAAGAGAGCTTTTTTCTAAATCGACAGGGTTAAAATCGTAAACTAATTATAATAAATTTTATATCCATGAAGGGTCCGCGCGTCCCTTATAACAACGGTAAATACATAATTGGATCCTCGCCAATTTGGAGGAGTCAATTAGATGGATGGGCTTTCGTTTATATTGGGCTTACTATACATTAAAGACTAACTTTTAAAAATCGACCACACAATTTTTAAGTCTTTGTGCCCACACGTTATGTGTCGTTTTTTCCTGCAATTAATACGTCGAAAATCAGCCACCATAATGAATCAATTTATTAAATATCAAATCTCTATACAACATGATTCTTTACCATAATTCTTTACAACATGCGATGACAAATCTCTATGTCTATTTTCCAACATACAACAGCGTTAATGAAGGCAAACTGTTAACCGAGGTAATAAAGAAAACAGCGTCTAGAAACGGCTACCGAATCGTAGCTCATCATTAGAGACTACACAGATCTAGCCCCGGGCACGAAGCGAATATTCGGAAAATTTGTGATATTTGTTATTTGTTTTGCCTCGACCGAATAGTTGATTTTGCTATTTGCTTCGATTCGTAAATTTTTGAGTATTCGGAACTTCGAATATTCGAATATTTTTCGTAATATTTGCGAATTACTTGCTTCGCTTCACTTCGACCCATCTAATTTTTTTTTTAAAACTAAAAACATATAGTATATAAATATAAAGTGCAAAATATGAAATATTATAGGTTTTTATTTGACATGTTTTCAAAATAAGAAGAAAATGTAACCACCGTCCAAAGAATCCTCACATTTTATTTTTAATGATGATTACTCTAGGAAAGTTTTATTTACTTAAAAACAACATTTAACAAAAAAAACCCAACGAGCCAAAATATAATAATTTGAATAATAGGCCTATCAGATATATACCCAAATCTATAAATACACATATTATATATATTATATAATAATTTATATTTATACATATATATATAAATGGTCCAGTAGGAAGATGAATAAGGTATCAATGTCTGTATCTATTTCATGGCGTGGTTATATTTATATTTATACATATATCGAAGACATAGAGCGGAAGAAACAAGAACAACATAATAATCCAGGTACATTTTTAAAAACCATGCTATTAATTTACATAAAATATAACCTTAAATTTATATAACCTTTCATTCTTGGATGGAACCACTAATATAATTTCTGTTATCGCAGATTTGATCTTAACAGATGCAGAAAAACAAAATTATACACTTGAGGAAATTGAAGAGGTGTTGTTACGCAATGGTGGGTCTCTAAAAACCTTCAAAGAAATGCCTAAGCCAACAAATATAGGTATTGATCTTTCTAACCGTTTAAGCACCGAAGAGAGAAACTACCCCCGTGATGCTTTGAGAGAGAAGCATGATGAGTGGATAGGGAAGATGACTGATGAACAGAGAGCAATCTATGATGAGATCATTACAGCTGTTTTAAAAGATTGTGGAGGAGTGTTTTTTGTTTATGGGTTTGGAGGTACAGGGAAGACATTTCTGTGGAAAACATTATCTGCTGCTGTGAGGTATAGGGGATTGATTGCTATTAATGTTGCTTCTAGCGGGATTGCATCTTTGTTGTTGGATGGAGGAAGGACTGCTCATTCCAGGTTTGGTATCCCTATAAATCCTGATGATTTTACAATGTGTAATATCAGTCCTGAGTCTGATCTTGCTAATATGCTGAAAGAAACATCTCTAATTATATGGGATGAAGCACCAATGATGAGCAGGTATTGTTTTGAAAATCTGGATAGGAGCTTATCAGATATTATGAAGAATACTGATAATAAGCCGTTTGGTGGAAAGGTTGTTGTATTTGGGGGTGATTTTAGACAGGTATTACCTGTTATCAGTGGTGCAGGAAGGGCTCAAATAGTGCTTGCAGCACTAAATTCATCTTATCTCTGGGAACACATTAAGGTCCTAACCTTAACAAAGAACATGCGTTTAATGTCAGAGGATTTGTCTGAAAGTGCTGCCCGCGATATTAAAGCGTTTTCAGATTGGATATTAGCTGTTGGTGAAGGAAAAGTTGCTGAACCGAATGATGGAGAGGCTTTGATTGATATTCCCGAGGAGTTCTTAATAGAAAACAGTAATGATCCAATTGAAGCTATTAGCAGAGCAGTTTATGGTGATTTAGAGATGTTGCACAAGAGAGCTGAACCAAAGTTCTTCCAATCAAGAGCAATCTTATGCCCAACAAATAACGATGTCAATACCATAAACGAACGTTTGCTGGAGAAGTTACAAGGTAAACTTTGATAATTCACGGATTATCTTTACATACAACTAACTTTGATACTTTATGTTATTAATCTCTAATGATGTGATACTCTATTTAACAATTATTTCGAGCAGGTGAAGAAATGGTGTACTTAAGTGCGGATAGTATTGATCCCCAAGATAGCGAGTCATTGAACAACCCAGTTTTCACTCAAGATTTTCTTAATAGTATAAGGCTTTCGGGCTTGCCAAATCACTCTCTACGTCTTAAGGTTGGTGCACCTGTTATGCTTCTAAGGAATATAGATCCAAAAGCTGGTTTGTGCAACGGTACAAGATTGAAGATTACCCAGATGGGTCATAATGTTCTAGAGGCGAGTGTGATTACTGGTGATAGAGTTGGGCACAAAGTTTTGATTCCGAAGGTTCTTATCAAACCGTCCGATACAAAATTGCCATTCAGGATAAGGAGAAGACAGTTTCCATTGTCTATCGCTTTTGCAATGACTATAAACAAGAGTCAAGTACAGTCACTTCAAGAGGTTGGTTTATTTCTACCTAGACCAGTTTTCTCTCACGGGCAACTTTATGTAGCATTGTCAAGGGTGACATCAAAGAAGGGTTTGAAAATTCTCATAGTCGATAAAGAAGGACAATCACAGAAAGAAACAATGAATGTTGTTTTTAAAGAAGTTTTCCAGAACCTTCGAAATTGATATAGTAGGCATCGAAGTCATTTCAGCAAGGTATCGATTTAAACTCTACACATATTGGAGTTCTAACCAATATTTTCTCTTAGATATATATTACATAGTTCGTTTTTTGTATTGCAGGTCAAAGAAAAGGAAGAATCTGCAATCCACTTATGTTTTTCAGTATCTCCCAATTATCAAGTTATATACTTTCGAGAGCAAACATTGTCTCTGTCTTTTTTAATTAGTAATATCACTTTAACTGCGTCTTCATAATAGTATAATTAAAAAAACCCATATTTTGGATTCTTCACTTCACATTATATGACCTGTATTTTGTGGATTTTTAGATTATGATAACACCAGCAGGTTTATTCCAAAACGAGGGAATTGTAAAGGTTCTAACCTGCTCTGGATCGAGTAGCTAAGGCAATACACACCCGATTATGCTACCTCGATTCATTATAACTTTCATTCTGCAAATAGTCGTTAGTGGAAGCTTGAGCGAAGTAATCTGAAACAGTAATGTTGACAGTCAACAAAAACCATATAAAGACTACATATTAAGACTAATCAACCAAAACAGAATAAAATATAGAATTCTTACCTCTAAATCTCCAAGTTCAATGTCTGTATCTATTTCATGGCGTGGTGAAATGTTGCTACTGGACCCGGCTCACAGAATAATTTTGTGACTGATGCGCGTAAGTGGTATGTTTGCTACTATTCTTTGGAATGTTATTTTGTTTTGATTGGTCTGGTCCCTTATAAATCACAAAATGTTTTAATATGATGCAGGGAGCAAGTGAAAACAGGGAGTTGCAGTTTGGCAATGCTTCAAGTTCATGAAACTACTGAAAAGCATTTAAGTGAAAACTTTTGACATAATGAGCTAAGTTGCTGATTGAACCGCTACAAACAAGATTATAGCAAGAAAGAGTGATAAGGTCAAATGAATTTAAAGAAGAAACGAGAGAGGAAAAATAAATGAACATGATAATTTGATTTCACCTTTTTAATATGGTTTAGATTTCTTTTTTTAAAACAATACATTACATTATCAGGTATATAACCTTATACGGAAGAACAAGACCTTAATTAGAAAACTAATAAAAAACCATGGACTCAATTGTGAAAAGTAGACACCTAAACTCCTTCAAGTTCAAATCTTCTCTTGATAGTCATCCGTATGTTGTAGAAAATGAAACATAAGATGAGTGCTTAATCAAACTACCTGATTATTATAATCACAAACGAATTTGTGTTTCCACAAGCTTTAAACCATCATGTGAGCTCTAAAGGATTACCCTCGGGCCTCACCAAACGATCCATTCAGATTTGTCGAATTAGCTGTCGTTGGACTTTCAGCTGGATAATCACATTCTGAAGATGTGAGAATGCTTTCTTCGCTTTGTCTACTCTCACCATTCATCCTCGTTCTAGCCGCCGCCAAAGAAACAACTTTACTAACTTCATCCTCAGGTTCATACACCAAACCGAACCCACACTTCTCAATTTTACATTGTGCAATCACTTCACCAGTTTCATCCGTCACAGAGAATGTAAGATTAGCTTTCGTAGGAACACATCCGCTCTTGTACTTCTCTTCTTGTCTTTTCTTGATGTTCAACCAACTAATGTAGCCGATAAAGACATGGTCTGACTCAACCGTACGCGGCTCATTTCCTTGTTCGAACCAACCTCCAACAGGAACACTAAACTGGCTACATGATGCATCTAAGTTTTCAAACTCACATGTGCACTTAACCAGAAGAAGGTTTTTTTTATCTCTGTAGCCACTAAACGAGACAATGGCACAAAGAGCTAGCCCACGAAACTTACTGTCGCACCAATGTGGAGGTAGCTTTGGTTCTAACACTGAGCTAAAGGCTTGATGACTGAACCAGGGAGGTACTTCATATCCAGGATAGCAAGTCCCGATCAGAGCTCGAAAGACAAAACTCTGCAAGGAAAAGAAAAATCAGAAACTTAAGATCTTGACAGATAATTATGGACTTGAGACTTGACATGAAAGAGTAGTTACCTCGTTATGGTGATCATCTGAGATCAATCGGCATTTTGTAAGAATGTGGGATGCAATGTCATTCTTTGCAGCTTCATTGAGTTTGCAACAGTTAGTGAAGATGAACATGGAGTGAGTATCTTCTGTTGGCATAAGAAAGGCTAAAGGACTTGTGACTGTTTGTAGAGAGATACAATCGTGTGCATCTAAGCACTGGAGATTCGGTGGAAGTGTTGAAAGAGACCTGAGTTTCTTGCAATACTTCAAGTCCAGCCATTTTAGATGATACAGTTGACTGATGTCAGATCCTAAGCTGCTGATCACATCATTTCCTCTGAAAGATAGACGCCGCAGATACGATAGGCTGTTACTACGACTAATTATCTTTGGCATCTCAAGTACTGAAGTTCCATCAAGTAGTAAAACACGGAAATTTTCCATTGTGTCTTCAAGATTAGGAAAACTCTTGAGATTTGAGCAGCCAGAGAGAATCAGTTCTTGAACAGCTTTAAGTTTTCCGATACATTCTGGAATATTCTCCAGCCTTCTGCACTCTTTCAGATTCAATAAGATAAGTCTCTGAAGCTTCACAATGTCTGTTGGGAGATCCATTATTGCAGTTCCATCTAAATACAGAGATTCTATATTTTCGGAAATTAGCCGAAATTCACGAAGGTTAAAACAGCCACTGAGGATGAGAGTCGTCAATGACCTCAGATTCATCTCCGGTAGAGACCGAAGACTTGTGCATCCTCTTAGGTTTAAGAAAACAAGACTTTCCATTGTTTTCATCTCTTCAGACAAACATTCTAGACTTGTGCAACCTTCAAGATTCAATCTCAAAAGGTTTGGAGCCTTTGAAAACCCTGACAATTTCTGCAACATTCTCGAGTTGTTAAGATCGACCCACTTCAGTTTCGGTGTCTCCTATTAAAACCACATAGAATTCCCACAACCATTCAGTAATCTACAAAGTTATACTTATAACACGAAAAAGGAACCAGCCATATCTATACTAACCTTGGAAACTTTCCAGACTTGTTTAATCTTGCTGTAAGGCAGCCTGAGATCAACAAGATTCTTCGGGGAGAAGTCTGATGGAAGTTCCTTCAACGGGAATTTTAGCCAGTCGAGATATCGAACCTCTTCCAATGGAAATGAAAGTCCATCAGGGAAGTTTAATTTGCAGTCGCCTTCACATTCCAGTGGACAAGTAGAACTGTAGAGTTTAAGGTAGCGGAGATTGCACATGTTGGTAAAGACCGAACTCTCTAAAGACATTTTTGTTACTTTAGACATGTCTAGCGAAATACCTCTCACAGATTGGGTTTCCTGAAAAAGAAGTTTAAAGAAAAAACTAAGACTCCCTTATAACAGTGATACCACAAGAACATTGAAAGCTTTAACTATTTAATTAGTCTCACCATTTTGCCATGCAGCGCAGCGATAATGTAATTCCAATTCCACAGCCTACGTTTCTCCTGATTAACCCCGCAAGATGATGATGAACAAAGTTCCATGGCGAATGTATGTAGTAAATCGGGCATCTCTACGCATCCACCGGAGATACTAATTAAGAACTTGTGGGAAAGATCCGTTATCTCCCTCACAGCTTGAAAGGACTCACAATCGCCAGAATCCAATAAGCTTCTAGCATAATACTCATCCTCTGATCTGAAGAAACATGCTATGTCAAGGAACACATCTTTCTCTTTTTCACTAAGTTGATTATAACTACTCGTCAACAGGTTTTGAATGATTTTGTGGGGGCATTTCGCCGATGTATCAAGCCACGCTTTCCATTGAGCCTCACCTTTCCAACGTAGATCCTTACCCAACATTCTAAGAGCCAATGGATTGCCTCTAGCGTAATCCACAAACTCTCTAGACATTTGCTTGAAAATTTCATCCTCGTGAGTGCAGTCGCGAGCTTCAAAGGCATAAAAGCTGAAGTAACTCAACCCGTCTCCAAGATTCAATCTTGGAACCACGTAAGGATTTGGATCTAACTCAGTGATGAGTGTCCTATCACGGGTTGTAATAACAATCCTGCTTCCTTCCTTAATCCAGTTTCGGTTACCAAGAAGAACTTGTAATTGTCTTGCCCTAGTCACATCATCAAGAACAACAAAGACTTTATTCGAAAGCAGCTTACTCTCTAAACAACCATGTGTAGCATCATCATCATCATCATCATCATCACTTATGTTTGTGACCTGTAGTAAAGCTTCAAGGAACATCTTCCTCAGACGATCAGCGCCAAACTTACTCCATTTGTCGCCGATCTTCAGAAAATTCACGCAACGACAGAACTTGTATTTATACCTGTTGAAAAGCTCCGTGGCCAGAGTGGTTTTTCCGATCCCAGGCATCCCAACGATTCCAACGATTCGAGTTTCGTCGCAGCGATCAAAATCAAGCTTTTCCTCGACTTGCTTGACCCGATACTCGATTCCAGAGGGATTAGCCACTTCAGGCTTTTCACCTTCCAAAGATGGAGCGGTAAGGAGGGTTTTCTTGACTTCCTCGACGATTTTCTCGGTGAAGACATGCTCAGAACTGCCATAATAATATAGAGATCAAAATCAAACGAGAGTATGATACCGAATCGAATTCAATCAGATTAATCTTCACTAAAATTGGGGGTTTAGGGATCGGTGAGACAGGCAGGACATGAATCGAGATTTCAACGGACTTATTAAACCAAACATCACCGGACCAAGTTAACCAAACCAAAATTAAAGTCAAACTGTTTAAAAACTAAGTCCACCAAAAATTCATGTTTAATGGCCATATAGAAAGTTCGTGATTTAAATGGCTAAAATTTGAAAGTTCATGATTTAAATGACATTTTTCCCAAATATTGTCCAGTCAGCATCGTATATCCTCAAACCATACTAAATAAATACATAAATCCGTTCAATCTAAAGAATAACGACAATTTTGATGTTAAAACTAAAAAAAATAAAATAAAGAGTAACGAAAATTTTGATGTCAAAACTAAAAATAAATTAAATAAAATAAAAAAAATAATAAAAAAAGAGTAACGACAATATAATAAATCCATTAAATTTAGTGAAATTTCTAATAATTACCGCTAAAATGAGGTTGTCTACATAAATATTATTAATTTTTAAGAAATAACTTTAAATAGCACCAAATTATGTTTTATGGATAAAAATAGCACACATTCAATAAATTTCTAAATATATCAAAATATGTTTTTACAAAATATTATAAAACTATTGTCAATTTTAAATCTAAATCATAAATTCTAAGCACTAAATCATGTCGCTAAAAATTATATTTTAAATATATACTAAAACTTGCAAAAAATACCCTTTTTAGTACTTTTTCAAAAATATCCTTTTTGAGTTTTTTTTTTGGCAAAAATATGTGTTGTCTATTTTCAATAATACCACTTTTCTATATATAAAATGATTACTTTTAAAACCCAAAACTTCAAATACTGGACCACACCTTCGAAACTATACCTAAATATAAAATAGAGAACTTAAACCTAAAAAAAAATAAAAATTAATTTAAAATATTGTGATTATGTAAAAGAGGGTAAAAATAAAAATGACAAAAAATAATATTTTTGCAAAACAGTATTAAGGAAAGTGCATTAAAGAAAGGGCTTGGTCAAAATTTCTCTAATATCAAATAATTATCCTGAACTTAAAAATGTTTGTAAAGTTTCCTCTAACCTTACGTGAAAGGTAAACTCGATATCAAGAAACATTGCTAAAAGTGTAACAAGAAATGGCAATTCCAGATAGATCTTAACTCTCTATTGGAGACCCTGCTTTGTTACATACTCGGATTGAAGAAGAATAGTTTGAATCAATTTAATTTCTCCCTGAAGTTTAATCTCCTTGTTTCATTTACAAGTGTTGTGCTCTGTTTATGAGTTTATGTTCGGCTTTCTCATGTTTCTGAACAATTTAAAATTTATAATTAATTATAGATGACAACAAAAAATTCAAAATTAAAATATTTACATACTTGAAAATCAATTTTGTGTTTGTGGCATTTTAGGAAAAAATCATTTCGTATTTTTCTGATTATTAAACTAATAATTATATTTACAAAAAAACTTAAATTGTGAGATATCTATACCATTATAAATAGTTCATTCATATATTAAAAATAATTAATTGCTAGTATACCAATTAAAAAAATTATTCATATTTCATTTGAACTTGGTTTTGATCCCTCTAATATGATTTTGATGATTTTAGAAAATTTTGTTATGATTTATCGCAGAAGTGAGTGTGTTCAACCTTATAATGTGTATGATTTGATAACTAATTGTAAAATATATATGATAACCTTATAATTTAGGGAAGTTGTTATCATTTATTAAAAAATCTTCTCATATTCCACTTAAAATTTTTAGATTTTAAATTATGTGTTTTTAACTAGGAAAATTCACTAAAATTTCTTCAAGCCATTAAAAATCCAACACTTAAAATAGTTTCAATAACATGGATTTTAAGTAGATTTCAAATTAATTAGTTCAATAACAATATATTTCATTAGAATTTTTAAAACACATACAATAATTGGGTAACATAAGATTTGTTATTTTAACATAAATCACTTGAAATGTTTGATTGAATGCGCCTTTTAAGTGGTTTTAGGTTAAATTTAAGAAGATTTGTTGTTTTTAAGTTAAATTATGAAAAGATTTGTTGTTGTTTTATATGGGGAAATACCGTTTAACCTAAAACCATTAATGGTATTTCCCTATTTAAAACAACAACAAATCGTCTAATAATTTAACCTAAAAACACAACAAATCTTCTCATATTTAACCTAAAGCTACTTAAAAAGCGCATAATCTTCTATGTAGAACTATTTAAAAATATATAGTTAGATACTTAATTATATAGTCGTCCATGTATAACTATTTAAAACTTATACATGGAAGACTATATAATTAAGTATCTAACTATGTATTTTTTAAAATTAGATAAACAAGAGAGAGAATTGTGTTTCTACACTTCTACCCTTGTTTTGTTATATATATATATATCTTCTTTCAAATAATAAATAATTTAACATGATAAATATAATTTTACCACATATCTTATAAACTTATCCAGATAAAAGATTATTTACCTTGATAATAAACAAAATAACCACAAAATCATCATTTTCTTATTGATTACGGTGATACATCAATTAAATTTTCATGATAAATAAGTATGATAATGTTGACAAAAAAAAGTATGATAATGTATAAGGTAAGTGTAGTAACTAATTTATCAGTGTAACTAATATGTTAAAGTATAAATTAGTCGTTATCAATTGTAGAATATCACGCTAAGTATGAGTTCAACTTATAACTTATATTTGATATAATGTGATTAATCTGTGATAAATAGTGTTATCAACGACGAAAGAACAATGCTAATTGTTGCTACTATTGATATTATTTTGTTAGCGCGTATGTATTAATAGAGGGTGCTTCTGGCATTATTAAGTCAGAGGAGGGAGAACTAATTAAAAGATAAATACGGTTATTTTATTTGTTTTTCAATTATCTGTAGCTACAGATTAATATAGCCCTTTTAAAATAAACACTAGAGAATAGTTAAAATCTACATACACATATATTTGATTTTGAAGTTTTATCCCACCTTTCTTTTACTTTAACCCTGATTCCATAAATTAAGAATGTTCATTAAAGAACATAGCATATCTAAGGAGTGAGTGGTTGGGCAAATCCTACCGCAAATAATCTAGAGTTATAGGTTAAACAATCATCCACTTAATGTGAAGGGAATTAAGTTAAATCACAATACCTGTTGCCCTTCAATTCCAATCCCATCCTTGACTTCATACACTTCAATGCCTCCTTCCATTTGTTCAAAATGTGAGTGTCATGCACATTTCCATGTGTCTGACAGGCTACATTAAGAAGGTTTTCTAATTCAGTTGGCTCAACCTTAAAGAAAATGGGAATGGCCACAAGTTTGTTATCATCCACTCGTTCTTTGATCTTAGCTAGCTCTTTCAAACACCATTCTGATTCCATGTAACTTTCCGAGAACACGACTAATGCCATGTTTGATTCCTCGATCCTACGGAAAAGGCTGGTTAGATCTTTTCCTCTTTCCTCTTTCGTGTCTATGAACACATTGATCTCAGCGGTTTTCAACGCAGCCTCCAGATGACTGATGAAGCTGTAGCGCCCGTCAAATCCTCGGAAATTGAGAAACACTTGATGGAGCGGAAGCTGTTGTTCTTGAACGGTCGTAGGCGTCATTATTGTTTAGGGTTTATTTTTGTTGGATATAGTTTGGTGATAAATTATGAGAAATAATGTGTACGTAAGAGAATGAACTTTGCCATAGTTTCTTTCTTGTTAAGTAGTAGCGGACAACATGACAAGTCAAGAACATGTTACATGTTCGTGCCCTCCTCACAACAAAGTAACATAAGTTCGTTCCACGACCTAATTCTTGAAATATTCTTAAGGCCAACATGTGTTTTCGTTAACTTTGGAAGAAGATTCCGAGTTTTGAAGAATTAATTCTTTTACATTTAAACAAACCAGTGGCAAATGGATAAATGTTTCTTTTCTACGAACAAAACATTTTATAATTCAATTTGGGTTTGGTTTGGTCGCACTAGACACCAATTGTAATGGGCAAGAGCGTTGTGAAAGGGGCTTAAGTTCTTCGCAAGATACTAGCGGGGAAGGTCCATTAATTACAGACAGCGAATTTACCAAGTGTTATAAACAAACGTAATCTCTTCTGATGATTTTTAAGTTCCATTCGACTTCTAATAAAGTTACTTTACGTGAGTTGTCATATAGAACAATTCTATGTTCCTATGTGTTTTACCGATGTCCGATGATATACCCGTCCTATGTGAATAGATGCTGATTTTGAACCAGTCTTTGGTTTTTATTTTGCAAAACTAGTTATTTAGCCATGATTCTGAATTAAATTGATTTACAAAAAAAAGAACTGGGAAACCAGATTTTTAAGAGATTTTGTTTATCTGTTCGTAGAATCCAAAACCAAATTAATTTTGTGGGCTTAAAAAAAAGGAAAGGTGACATTTTTCTTAGAAAACAGTTAACCCAAAAAACAAAAACTAAAAACTAAAATACAATAACTTAAAGGCTTTGATTGGTGACAATAAACAGAGCTTCACAAACCATACAACTTTAGTGTTTACCAATCACAAAAGCGTTACCAAAAACTTTATTAAAAGCTTTTACTCTCTGTTTTTTTTTTGTACAGCTTTTAAATACCGTTTTCTTTTACAGTTTTACACTATTTCGTAAAAATCTTACAGCTACAGCTTACAATTTTTTTTTAACAACCTTTGAGTATGTTACCAATCGGACTCAAAGTTACCGTTCATCCCAAAAACCAAAAACCAATTAAAAACTGCAAAATATTCATGGTCGTAATCTTTAATTTATCTTGAATCATCAAGATAGAAGTTCAAAAACCTATCTAGTTTTATCTTTACTATCGATGAAATATATTTCGATCCTAATCAACATCTATCCCTAATACAATCCGTATTGTCTATGTCTACTAATATTCTTTTAATAATTTTTAGCCTAATGCAATTGGTATTGGGAAAAGTGTCAAAAACCAAAAACCAAAAGCTAATTAAAAACTGCAAAACATTTATGGTCGTATTTTTTAATTTATTGATAGAAGTTCAAAAACCTATCTAGTTTTATCTTTGGTATCGATGAAATATATTTCGATCCTAATCAACATCTATCCCTAATACAATTGGTATTGTCTATGCCTACTAGTCTTCTTATAATAATTTTTAGCCTAATGCAATTTGTATTTGTATATGTCTAAGAAAACATGACTAAAATTTCTCATTTGGTTCAGTTGTGACACAAACGAAACCACGTTGTCACTTGTACCTCCTAGCTATCATATTTAAGCAGCTAGCCTTAAAAAAAAAAGGCTTATCTACTACTTGATGATAACTACAATTTCAAGGCAGTTTCCACGCCACGGAAAGGACTTAGCCAACGATACCTCATACTTATTAAAAATATACACAACCTGCGTAATCCAGAAGGAAAGGACTACTAGTTTATGTTTTTTTTGTTTTCTTTAGTCGGATGTTAATTCGTATATTCATTATCATATTCCCTTTCTAATGTTTTCTTTATATGGTCGTCTTTGCATTCGAGAAACTACGAAGAAAGCTGGATCAACAACACAACTTGCAACACAGGCATTATTCATCATATTTTTTGTAATGTTGGTATAAAAATTAGAAGTTTCCGCAAGACTTGTTCAAACAGATAAAGTCTTAAGAGTTAAATCTAAAACCCACCAATTCATATATTATTCTTTTCTGTTAAAAATTTAATATATTATGCAAAATGCGTTTGTAAGAAAATGTTTTATTACGAAATATGAATATACATGAACCAAGTCCACAATGGGAAATACATTTCTTAAAGAAAAAAATTTATTAACATCACCATGTTGTACTCTATGTTAAAGAGTGTTTTTTTCCACCATCCCTTGTACCCACAAACAAAGCATTAGCACAAAGCAATATTAGCTTGAAACAATTGCAAACTTAAACATTTTCAAGTCATGGAAGCTCGCAACATGGTCAAAATCAACTTCGATAACTCAGAGGAGACACTAAGGTGCTCGTTCGTGCCCCATCTATCCGCCGCATTCGGGCGTAAAGGCGTTTCTGTGGTCACAGCAGATAAACACGATCAATCCTACATGTCGATTGCGTCTATATTGATTTTCTCTGAGAACTACGTATCCTCCAAGGAATCTTTGGATGAATTCGTAAAGACTATCCAACGGAGACACGAGGAAGGCCATATCGTGACTGCAATCTTTTATAGATTCAGTAGATCATATGTGCAAGAGCAGATGGGAAATTTCAGCCAGGCGTTCTTGGAGCACTGCACTTCAGATCAAGTAAGCCAATGGCGCAATGCTCTTGCCGAAATAACAAGCTTACCTGGCCACGAAACAAGCATTAGTCAAAGGTTAGAAACACTTTCTACTTTCTTTCTTCCCTTTAATACCACATATAATGTAGAAAAATTCACTTAAATACCATTATTTTAGTTTTTCTTCCAAAAATATAACAATTTTTCTTTTTTTCCAAAAATACTCCAAAAATTTTATTTTTACAAAAATACGATAAACATACAAAGTTGATTTAACATTTGGGCTAAGTATTTATATTTATGATACAGTTATTAGGGGTAGAGTTTAGTGTTTAAGATTTAGAATCTAATTTTGAATATTAAAATAGTAGTTTTAGTTTTGTGGTATTTTTAGAAAAATGTATATTAATGATATTTTTTAAAAATATAACTTATAGTGGTACTTTAAAAAAAAAAAAAACTATTTTCATGATATTTAAGACAATTCCCCTGCTAAATGCGCAATACGGTTTTTTGTAGTGACTATGAATCTACAGAAAATATTGCTAGAGATTTGTACAAGAAGATCTTTCCAAACGAACGCATTGGAATCTATTCAAGGATGCTGCCGGATGTAGAAAAGTTGATAAAAAAGCAACAACGGGGAGTCAAAAGCATAGGGTTTTGGGGTATGCCAGGCATAGGCAAGACTAAGCTTGCTCAAGCACTCTTTGACCAAAAGTCTGGTGACTATGAAGTTATTTGCTTCGTATATAACTTTCACGAGACCTTACGTAAGAAGGGACTTTACGGTTTGCTGCAGGAACATTTCAAGAACCTTCCAAATCAAACACTTCAACAAAGAGTTCTTCTTGTTCTTGATGATGTGAAAAATAATCTAGATGTAGAGTCTTTTCTCAGTGGGCTTGTCTCGTTTAAACCCGAAAGCCTGATCATCGTAACCTCCAGAGATAAGCAAGTCCTCTCTCAGTGTGGACTCAACCAAATTTACAAAGTTGAAGGATTAAACAAGCATGAGGCTCAGCAACTATTCTCTCGGGGTGCCTTAGGAAAAGATGTGAGAGGGAAGAATCTTCTTACGGAGCTTTCCACGAAGGTGATCGAATTTGCAAATGGAAATCCTTTAGCTCTACAATTATATGGTGAAGAGCTGTCATCACTCGGGCAACTGAATGAAAATGAGACTTTGTTCCTCAAGCTCAAGACAGATCCTTCAGAAAAGATTGTGGAAGTAGTCAAGAGTAGCTATTATGCACTTAGTGACAACGAAAAGAACATACTTGTATATATTGCTTTCTTTTTCACAGGTACATGTGTTGACTGTGTGTCAAAATTACTACAAGACCTTGGTTTTTTCCCAGATATTGGAATCGACCGGCTTGTGGAGAACTCTCTCGTGACTATTTCCAAAAATAGATTGGAAATGCATGGCATGATACAAGCAGTAGTCCGGGAAATCGGGAGGTGTCGTAAACTCAAAATCAGTGAAGTCCCCGGAACAAGTTTTAAATGTTTATTGGTGAGTATTCTACCATCTCCCATCCAAAAAAGTCTTAATATTAGCTTCTTGATAATCCATAAACTATTTTCTTGTGTCTCTTCAGGGCACTGATGATATCGAAGCCATAGCTCTGGATGCATCTATCTTAAATCCAGATAGCATACTTTCTTCCCTCAGATCTATGTATAATCTTAGCTTCCTGAAGATATACTATTCCGATCTTGAAAAGCATCAAAGGGCCCTTAAGTCTCTGCCTTATGGACTTAAAATTATCCATTGGGAAAATTACCCTTTGCAATCCTTACCACAAGATTTTAATACAAGCAACCTTGTTGAGCTCTATATGCCTTACAGCCAACTCCAAACACTTTGGGTAGGAACCAAAGTAAGTAGCCTCAAATAATAAGTAAAACATTTTCTGTAGTTCCTTTCGAGAATTACTCTAATTGTATATCTTTTTGTTCAGAGCCTCAAGATGCTGAAGAGGATCAACCTTAAATATTCTCAGAATCTGCGTGAAGTTGATCAACTTTCAGAAGCTCTAAACCTTGAAGAAATAGATCTTTGCGGATGTAAAAACTTGCAAAGCTTCCCAGTCGTTCTGAAATTACAAAAACTTCGAGTTGTTGATCTCTCTGATTGCACACAGATCAAAAGTTTCCCTGAATTTCCATCTACTGTCGAATTAAAATTCGCGGGATTATCCATTAAGTCCACCTTCTCTCAAGGCACACTCATCGTTGAGAACTTACACGAATTCTTAGACAAGCAGCGAAAGCCCCTTATAGAATTTCCTGACTATGTCTTAGATTTCCTGAAAAACTTCCGAAGTAAACAAGAAAGGGTAACCTATCCAGAGGTGGTGGAATCATCACCTACGTTTAAAAGAAGGATGTGTCAAACAGCACTCGAGATGAGCCGAAGTCTTCAGCGGGGGTTGACTAACCTAAATAGAGAATATGATGGGTTCAAGATCCGTCCATTGGAGAATTGGATGTACACAAAGCTCAAGGGGGATAGGTCCTAAACTCCTGTCACCTGCAATCAGTTAATATTTCAAGCCTTTTTATTGTTTCTTGTCACACACTCATATGAAATCCAAATTAAAGTGGTAACAGGTTATGTTAACCTGTTAATCAGTAAATATTTTATTTTGCATTTTGGCAGACCACATTCACTTTAAAGCTAAGGTCTTTTTTTCGAATGGTTCTTGTCTTGCATGAACATATATTTGTTTTTTTTTTTTTTTGTGTATGTCGTTACTACATAAAAATGTAATTTGAATGGTTCTTGTCTTGCATGACTATAAATGTAAAATTTCAGTTCTTTTTTTTCAATGATCTTATGTTGTTTGAATGTTTGTTTTTTTAATCATGTGTTAGTTGTTTTTTTTTTTAAATGAATGTTGAATTTATTCAACCAAAAAAACCAGGTTACATAATTACATACTTACATTATATGCATCCTTAATCATAATTATTTTGAACTTTTGATTGAGTTTATTTTGGAAAAAGTAAAACTAGAACTAGAAATCTTAGCTTCTTAGTTCAAACCACACCCGAAAACCATCTTCAAGCTTTGTGAGGATAGTGTTAGTTGTTGCTTATGTGCCATGGTCTTGTCAAATTTGTGGCACAATACAAAATATATATATTTTAATAAGTTTTATAGATAAAATTTAAAACATGAGATCAGATCTTAAAGTTTCAGAAAATAGGGCATATTTTAAAAATAAGAAATAGTTAAAATTTTAACATGAAGACCAGATCTTAAAATTTAATAAAAACACGGCATAATTTTCTTACTAAAAATATAAAAAATTATGGAGGTCCAATACTAATTTTCTTTGTCAAGAGCCGGGCATGCATGCTTGTGCGTCATTGTATATATCAGACTGAATTTGAAGCAGGGGTGGAGGCAGACAACAAATATAAGGGTCAACCGACCATGGTAAAATTTTTAAATTTGTTGAATTTGTATGTAAAAGCTTTTTTTATCATTATCCAATAAGATAAATTGACCCATATGAATTTTTGTCCGATCAGATAATTGATCAATGTGAAATTTGAAAATACAAGAATTTAGGCTTATATACATAATATTAGGTCTAAAAAATATTTTTTAAGTAAATATACTAAGGCTATAGACTTTTTTGGCATAGCTTTAGGTTTAGGCGTATGCATTTTTTTATTTTTTTTAATGGTGACTCCGGTGGACAAAGTTTCTGGCTCCGCCACTGATTTAAAGGTTTCAAATCTCTTTACTAATCAAGGTGTTTGGAATCCTTCTATACTTGATGAGCTTTTCTTGCATGATGATATGTGATCAGAGTATTCCTTCACTAAGATATTACCGCATTTAGAACAATCTAGTCCAAAAATATTTGCATGTAACAATAATATAGCAAACCTCACCAGCACTAGTGAAGCAATTTGAGGAGGTTTTAGCTTCCAAACCCGAGGTAAGCTGATCATCACTACAAACTCAACAGTCATATTATCCTACATCTAAATTTAAACGGATTCTATACTATAGGTGCCTAGTTACGTGAAGATACACCCGAGAGTGTCCCATGGTTGGACAGTTAGATACAACCTCGATGAATCAGAGGCCGTTAAAGCTGCAGAAGAAGCTCACAAAGAGATGCTTGATTGGTTTGTAACTTACGTCAAATGAAGTGAACGAAAAAAAAACACTTTCTACTGTTCTCATATACCAATAATACCAAAAGAGAGAACAAAAGCAAAAACTCTATTGTCTGTCTATAAGCTTTTGAAGCATGCTGTGAAATGTGAATAATGATTGGTCTGTGTGATATCCCCATTTGTTCTATCATTGCTATATTATTGCAAAACTTTGGTATAAGAAAATTTACCAAAAAATATAATTTGATCCTAGATAATTTCCTCTTTCTCCACGAAAAGGTTAGCGAGAGGATTGGTCTTTTTCCACTTTGGAAATGGCTTGAAGCATTTTCAAGACCTCCTTGACGATAGTTTCAATGAAATAAATCTCCAGTACGCTGCTACACTTGTTAGAAAAAAAGGTCGAGATCAGTTCTTTCAATATTCATTTGATCAGATCTAACGATCCCAAGAACTAATTAAGTAGATATATGTTGAAATATATCAAAATTTTGTCTAGAGATTAGAGAATCTTTTGGCCTGTCAACAAAACATAGAATTAAAAGTATGAATTGATAATAATTAGTACCTATTTTCATCGAAAGTCAAGGCAAACTTATGGGAGACATCATAGATTGCCTTTTTCCATCGCTTTAACATAGGTTCGTCATACTCGTATGTGTACTCTTTATCTCTGAAATGGTCACCAAATTCTCCTTTAAGTCTTTTCACATTGGTTGGAGTCACCTTGTAGAAGATGGGAAGCACCTTGTGATATAGAGTAAAAATCATATTCCCAAAGTTAGTAATATGTGTCAAAAGGTGTATATAGTCTACACCTTTAATAACATTCATATACTATAGAGTTAGTATATACGAGTTTATTAATCCCACCTCGAGCAGGCTTTGGTTCACACGTTCGTTAATGTTCACAAGCTCTTCCAAGCACCATTTTGATTCTGTGTACCTGCTCGAAAACACAACTATGGCAATCCCAGAATCCTCGATCGTCTTGAAAAGAGTGTTGAGGTCTTTCCCTCTTTGCTCCTGATCGTCTATGAAGACGTTGATCTCACTTCTCTGAAGTGCATTTACTAGATAGCCGACAAAATTGTTGCGCAGCTCTCCGCGGAAATTGATGAAAACTTGAATTTGCGGTGGCTTAACTTTACCGTTCATTGGAGAGCTGGTGAAAGTTCTTTAACACCAAAAGAGATAAACATATGGTTGATTTTACAAAGACAGAGTTTTTGCGGAAACCAAAGTGGATCTCCTTAAATTACCTGTCATGGAAATCAGCATTCGTTTCAGCCTTAAAAGAAGATCTCTCAGGCTTTGCTCCATATTCACCTGTATAAATTTCAGTATATGTGTCCCGTGGATGCTCTTTTCCCTCCGCATGAATGTACTCTAATACTTTTGGTACATTCTTCCAAATTCCATTGATGACACCCCCCGCACCACTAGTAAGAAAGGGAGAGAAATCAAAGTGATCGTCAAGTTATCTCTGTTCCAAAAGAAAAAGTCACTAGTAGAAAATGCTTAAAGTATAATAATACTTACATTAAACGTGTGCTCACATAAGCAAATTGTTGCAGAAGAAAAAAGAGAAGCAAAAGACAACCTATAATCATTCCTAGCTGCCTTCTAATTTTATTGAGATTCAACTTCTCTTTCATTTCATTCAATCTTTGTTTGATTCCAAAAGTACTCTTAGCCTTTTGGCTTGGCTCCAATGTAAGTTCGTAAAGCCTTTCCTTAACAATTTCCACAATTTTTCGATTATTTCGCCTTCGTCGCTGCATTACGAATGAGAGGAATAGAAGTAATATATAAAGATCACGGGCTTGCTGAATTTCAATGAAAGGTTCAAAAAAATATATAAATTCTTATTTCAGGAATCTGATTTAGTTATGAATTTTTTGATTACTAAATCAGTTACCTTGTATTGTCCACCGTGATGCGCTGTCTATCGCAAATTGACTTCAAAGCTTTATCACCAAACACTCCCCTCAGACCTCTCACGGTGGATACATCCACCTTGTAGAAGATCGGAATAGCCACGAGTTTGCCTCTGTCCATATAGTCCACAATCATTGCGAGCTCTCTCAAGCACCATGTTGATTTGGTGTACTTGCTGGATAAGATAACCAGAGCGATAGTCGAATCCTCTATCCTGCTCAATATTGTTTCTAGCGTTTGGCCAATGTGTTCGTCCGTGTCGATAGAGACACTAATATTTCTTTTCAATGCCCTGACGAGATGAGCGACGAAGTTCATGCGTAATTCCGACCCACGAAAACTGATGAAAACTTGATGTTGTGGTGGCACTTCTAATGAGAAAAAGGAGGAGATTGAACCCATGGCCAGCAGCTGGAGAACACTGATTCACAGATCTAGTTGTCTTTTAGTTGGAAGGCGATTCCAAGTTGTTGACTCGTCTAGTAACCCAAGATTAGTTAGTTTTTTTTTTCTTTTCTTTTTTTTAAACGGCAACTTGATATTTACATTGGATTATATATTCCATGCTGCATGGATATTATTTAATTCATTAAATCAGTAGCCGTCGCACTTAAATGTATGACTGAGTCGTGGAAACACACTTTGTGAGAGGAAAAAAAAACACACACACACACTTTGTAAAAGTCAGCAGAAAAAGACTGTTCAAAACGTCCATAGGCGCTTTTAGTTCTTAACTAGAAAGAAGACAACAGTTGAAGCTAGCCCAAGAACATCCGAACCACAAAAACATCAGGAGATATATAATAACCTCGTCCTGGACATATAACCGACTTGGTTTTTGACCAAACCATGCTATAGACTGTAGCATCTACGAAACTCTAAACCAACTATACCATCGCCTATTGGTTTGTGATGAAGATGCTGTGGTTATTCATATGTTATGAATATGGCGTTTTTGGTGTCAATTTTTAATTTTATGAATAAATTTCTTTTTAATGTTAGTTTGAATGTGGTGAAGAAGAACACGTCAGTGTGGGTTAGATAGTTAACGCTGCGAGAATGGGTTTACTATATCTTAGTGATTTGAATTCAAGAACGGTACATTTTATGAGCCCTCTTTATAATCTGATTTATGCTTTCATGAATCCCTACAAATTCTTTGTACCCAATGCTTTTATCTTATTGATTTATATTGCTTTTATTTTCTGTTTATTTAGGTTAAACAAACAAGTTTCTTTCAGTATCTTACTTATACTCTATTCTAATAAATTGGTAGTGTAACTTTTGGTCTTGCTTCTTTAAAACATATGCCAGGGAACTGCGTGGGATGCATCACATAAGTGTCTCAGAATAATGACAAAAGGATTAACCATGCAACTTCAAAATCATCATCATCAAGTTAGTCATGATTCAAGAAGTTAGAAGAGGACGTCCTAGTAATATTGTTGTTTTGGATTTTGCAGTCCTGAAACGAGACAATATCACATATAGCAAGTTCATCAAGCCAACTTTCACTCCAATGTCGAGGGAGAATCATTCCGTTACACACAAAAGCCAAACACAAATTCTGTCCAAGATAATGAAAAAAAACAACAGTATCTGGCATGACGGCTTGAGAACTGAAATGTGACAGCCAAGCTACACATCAAACGACAACAACAGTACACTCAACAGAATGAGAGGGGTTGACAAAATCACAATTTCAGAATCAAGTGAGACTGTGAAAAAGATTTTCTTCATTTAACCGATTAAGACTCTTACCTTGAAACCAAAGACTAGAGTCATATAATCAAACAAGAACCAGAAACAGAAGATTAAGGTCTCTTATAAAACATTACCTTCCTGCTATATAACTTAAAAGGGTGTCTCATGAACACTGAATCCAAAGAAAATAGTAAAATGTAAGCTGAAAGGTTACCAAAGCTCTGCAATCAGGATAGGCTCTGATCTAATCTTCGATGTTTGCATTTGAATCCCTGCTTACTATGAAGACAAAAAGGGTTCAGTGAACAAATTTGCTTCACCAATGTAATTTGTATCCCTCTCTCGGGTAATTCACCTTTCCGTTAATTTTTTTTCTCCTCTAGAATTTCCAGTGTTTTGAGTTGAATCACATCTTTACTCATGCTGGATTTCTTCATCACGAACTGGGATTTTTATTTATTTATTTTCCCCTTGGAGATTCTCAACCATGTGCTTGACGACTGAATTTATCTGTCCTTCTCGAAGTTACACCTTCATCACAGTTTGATTATTATTTCTTCCTGACCTTTGCTTTTTCTTTGGCCGTCCATTTTCCCTTCTTGTTTTTTTCTTTTTCCTTCCTCTTTCATTAACCCCTTCTGAAGTTTCTTGAAAGCTCCTTTCAACAGCCATATCATACTTTACCCCTTCTACATCTTTTGGAAAGCTCATCATAACAGGCGTATTGAATATTGGTTTCTTTCTATTTACTCCTCCATCAACCCCTTCTGAATTTTCTTGAAAGCTCTTTCCAACAGACATATCATACTTTGCTTCATGAGAACTGTTTTTGTTTTTATCATTTGCATACACCAAACTCAAACCACACTTCAACACCTTGAATTCTCCGGTCTCACTTCCACTGCCTGTCACAGTAAACTCAAGGGAGGCTTCAGTAGGATTGCATTCATCAAAATTACCGTCTTCAGGACATTTTAGAGTATGTGGACAGCTGGTGTAGCCAATAAAGACATGGTCTGCCTCAATCTTGTCTTTCTCGTCTCTATGTCTGGTCCAACTTCCTACTGGACAAGTAAATGGGACCCAAGACTTGTCTTCATCTTTTACTTTAAAGGTGCAGGTAACTGACAAGCAGCTGATTCGATCAAGGTGGTCAAGAGATGAGACTACAGCACACAGAGCAATGCCGGCAAGCTTCTTGTCATGCCAATGTGGGAGGAGTTTTACTTCTAACTCAGATCCAACTGTTTCATGACAAAACCAAGAAGGTACTTCACATCCAGGAAAGCAAGTGCTGAACAAAGACTCCGAAACAAGACCCTGCAAAGTTCAAAAAAGTAAAATCTTCAAACTCAGCCACAGTTTCTTTGAAATGCAAAATTTTGAGACAGGGATACAGAGACAACAAAGCGACAAAGATAGGTATAGAGAGACCCCATTGTAGCGTTTCCGAGCATATGATAACAGTTGGCATTTCCTTTGAGCATACGATATGATTTCCTCCTTTGCAGCTTGTTCCAGGTTCTCACAGTTGGTGAAAATGAATGTGGAATGATTTTGCTCTGTTGGCATGATATGGGCCAAAGGCTTTGAAACTGTCTTCAGCGAACTACAGCCGTGTGCATCTAAGCACTGAAGATTTGGTGGAAACTCTGGAACTGATGTAAGACTTGTACAATACTTCAGGTCCAGCCATTTAAGTTGACAAAGCTGACTGATTCCAGCAGGAAGGCAGCTGAGCTTAGCATTTCTGCTTACGCACAGATACTGCAGTGAGTGTAATTGTGGCATCACTTCAATGGCTGTCCCATTCAAAAATAAAATCTTTAAGGAGCTAAAGTTGATTTCTGGGAAAATCTTGAGATTTAAACAATCAGAGAGTATCAGTTCTTGAAGAGCTTTCAGCTCACAAACACGGCCTGGGATTTCCTCCAGCCTTCTGCAGTCTTTCATATTCAATACGACAAGTCTCTGAAGCTTCCCCATGTTCTCAGGAAGCTGACTTATTGCTGTTCCATCTATATATAGAGTTTCTAGATTTTCTGAAATCAACGGAAAATCCTTAAAAGCTGAGCAGCCACTGAGAGTAAGTGTTTTCAGAGATATCAAATTCATCTCTGGAAGATATTTGAGACTTGTGCACCCTTTCAGATTCAGGAAATCAAGCATTTTCATTTGTTCCATATCCTGTGGCAACGTTTTCAGTGTTGTACAACCTTCAAGGTTCAATCTTTTAAGCTTTACAGCCTTTGATAACCCTGACAAGCTGCACAACTTACTTGAGTGATTGAGATCGACCCACTTTAAGAATGGTGTATCCTATTAGAATAAGAAAAAATCGTTCAGCTACCAGTTAAAAATACTATTCAAGTTAATTTAACTATTCACAAAAGCAAACAACAGATTATTCAGAGACACACCTTGTCACCCTCCCAAAGTTGTTCAATCTCACTGTAAGGCAGCTTGAGGTCGACAAGATTAATCGGGTTGAAATCGTTTGGAAGTTCTTCCAATGGGAATTTCAGCCAGTGGAGGCATCGAACCTCTTTCAATGGTAGCTTAAGATTATCAGGGATGTTGATCTTATTGTCGGTTTTACATTCCTGAGGACAATGGGAGTTGTAGAACTTGAGATACCGGAGATTTCTCATGTTTATGAAGTGGTCGCGGTCTAAACTCATTTGGTCTTTCACTTCAGATAAGTCTAGGAAAATACCTCTAACATTGGCAGCTTTCTAAGAACCAACAAAAAACACGACATTAGTGAAGAGAAAAAAAGAGTAAGCTTTTACTAATAAAACTCTAGAGGAACTTCTGGTCTCACCATTTTTTTTTGCAGTACATTAATGATGACTCCCTTGATTATGTCTTGATGGAGCCACAGCCTCCGTTGTCTGCTATCATCCTGATTCGATGCCTTAAGATCAAGTTCCCTTGAAAAAGTATACAACAGATCATGCATCTCCACTCGCCCATCATAAGTATTAATCAGGAACTTATCCGTGAGAGCTTTTACTGCACTTATTGCTTCAGCAGATCTAAGGTCAGATGAAGCCAGTAAACTTTCTACATAATCCTTGTCCTGAGATCTGAAACAAGCTATGTCGAGAAATGCATCTTTCTGCGCTGAAGTCAATTCATCATAGCTCACTTGGAAGACATTTACAATATTGGGGCTGGGACTCTGTGCAAGTTTCCTCATTTTTGAATTCCAATGATCCATACTTTTCTTATTAAGCTCTCCGCCCAATATTTTGAGGGATAATGGATGGCCTCTGGCGTAATGTACAAACCCTTCTGACAGATTCATGAAATCTTTCTTTCGAGGATTGGCTTGATCATCATTAAAGGCATGATAGTGAAATAGTTGTAAGCTATCTCTGTGGTTCAGATTTTGAACCATGTAAGTATCATCAACCAAACCATTTGTTAAGGAGACGTCGCTTGTTGCAATGACAACCCTGCTTCCCTCCTTACCCTCCTTAATCCAGTCTAGTATCTCACGAAGAGCATCTATTTGTTCCCTTTTACTAACATCGTCAAGTACAACAAGAACTTTGCGTTCACGCAGTTGACTGTATGGATCTTTGAAATTTTCCATGTGAGGATCGTTCAACTTCGATAACTCGCCTAAGAGCAGTTGAGGCAATCGATCCAACTCCAAATCCTTTAACTTTACACGGATTTGATCGACTAGCGCATGCCTCGAAAACTTACCCTGCCATGTCTTATAGAGTTCTTTAAGAAGTGTGGTTTTACCAATTCCGGGCATCCCAACAACTCCAATGATACGAGTTCCCTTATATTTCTTACAATCCAACTTCTCTTCCAATTCCTTTAGACGTTGTTCGTTTCCAAAAGTCTTAAGATTTCTGCCTCTTAAGGAAGGTCCAGCGTTGCAATCTCCTAAAGCATCCACAGCAGCATTTTTGCTTCCCTTCGATGAAATTTCGGTCAACGCTGTCTTCACGGCCTTCACAATTTCATTGACTTTCTCACTCTCGACACTGCAATTTCAAAGGCTAATGAGATCATAATCTCCTTAAATTCCACAAATGGTTCCAGAAGTATTCATAGATCTATCTAGGACTGTTAACACTAAAAAAAAAAAGTACCTTTTCTTGTCAATGGTGATGCCCATAATGTTAGGAATCAAATTAAAAGCTTCCTCCCACTTCTTCTCCCTCTCATCACCCTTAGCCAAACTCCTAAAACTATCACCGAACTTCCCTTTCAGATCTCGAACAGTGGATGGCTCCAGCTTGTAGAAGATTGGAATCGCGACGAGTGTTCCATCGTCAGTACAATCCTTGATCTTCTCCAGCTCTCTCACGCACCAGAGTGACTCAGCGTAGTTGGTGGAGAAGATAACCAAAACGATTTTGGACTCCTCTATCCTCTTCAATAGTATATCTATAGGTTGACCTCTCTTCTCGTATTCGTCTATAAAGACGTTAATGTTATTCCATTTCAAGTCCTTGACGAGATGGCTGACGAATTTCAGGCGCAGATCCGCCCCACGGAAACTGATGAACACTTGATGTTGCGGTGGCGGGTCGTCGACCGTGGAAATTGAGGATGTCTCCATGGCGAAAAGCTTTTTCCGGTGTTGTTGACAAGTCTTTCTTTTTTCAGTCAATTTCTTTACACTGGGAAATTTGGAATGGACAAACCAAACTCGAGTGGGTTTTACATTTCTAAAACGGGAAAATGTCAAAAATAACCCCAACTTTTAAGAAGTTATTTTAATCGCAAAGTTTATGTTACTTTTTTTGACTTTGCCAATTTAGGTCATATTTGTTTCTTCATCTATATAGACCATTTAGATGAATCATCTAGATGATGTTCGTTTAACACTAAAAATAAACATCATCTAGGATCATCCAGATGATCCATCTGGATGAATTTTAAAATTTTAGGCAAAATTATTTGGATGACTTTGGTTGGATCATTTAGATAGAGATGATTCATCGAAAAATGACAAATAACAAATATACCCTTATTATCCAAATAACCTATTTCTCCTCAAAAATTATAAAAAATATTTGTGCAAACCTCTCACATTTTATTTGTTAAAAGAACTAAAATAAATATTTCCGTCAAAAACGCAAAATCACGTTTTCCCGCAAAAAAAAAATCATATTTTCCCGCCGAAACGAAAAAATATTTTTTTCCGCTAAAACTAAAAAATCACGTTTTCCACTAAAATGAATATCATGTTTTCCCGCCAAAACCAAAATATCATATTTTCCCGCCAAAAACGACAAATCATGTTTTTTCGCCAAAAATTAAAAGAAATTGTTTTACCGCCAAAAACGTAAAATCACGTTTTCCCGTAAAAAAAAAATCATGTTTTCCCGCCGAAACGAAAAAATCATTTTTCCGCTAAAACCAAAAAATCACGTTTTCCACTAAAACGAAAAAATCATGTTTTCCCGCCAAAACGAAAATATCATATTTTCCCGCCAAAAAAGCAAAATCATGTTTTTCCGCCAAAAATTAAAAGAAATATTTTTTTCCGCCAAAAACGCAAAATCACGTTTTCTCTGTAAACTGAAAATACATTTTTTGCAAAAAAAAACACAAAATCATGTTTTCGAGCCAAAACCGTAAAATGTTTTAAATCTTATAAAAATTATATTTCATGAAATAAAAATTTTAAATGTCAAAAATAATAATTTCTAATTTTTTGGTGTTTATTTTTTTAATCATTAATTAAAATTTGTATAATTAATATTAATATGAAAAAATTAGATAACACGGGTATTTTAATCATTTTTAAAATCAAACCCACCTAGATGAATATGCAAAATGGAGAAACAAACATATATTCATTCAAATAGATCATCTAGATGAATTTTTTTATTTTTTTTTCGTTTTGTCATTTAGCATCCAGATGAATCCATATAAATTTTTTGGGAAAAAATATTATTGTGTATTTTGGGAAAACATATTATTGTGATTTTTTTTTTCCAAAAATATCACTAAAAAATATATATATTTTTAAATACCAAAAAACTAAAACTAAAATTTTTAACATTCAAAACTAATTTCTAAATGTTAAACAACCATATTCCAAAAATATACCCTAAATATAAATAGCCAATCCAAACATAAAAAAAAAATAATTGCAAACCTTCAAAAATCTAATATTTGTGTTTATGGTATTTTTGAAAAATAATTGTTTTTATAGTATTTGTAGAAAAAAAACACAAATAAAGGTATTTTTGGAAACAATAACTTAACATGTGTGGATATTAATAATTGGATATTTTATCTAAAATTTTCATTTGGTAAAGAAAAGTCCACGAAAAACCTCTGAGATTTGAGTGGTTTGACCAGTGTCAAATGAAAAAAGCATCGTCGTGAACAAAATTCCGGCAAATTTTGTTCCAATTGTCAAAGCTCGAAATTATGACCAATTGTGAAAACGATGCGGGATTCGTCTGCATCAGCTGCGTAGACGAGGTACGGTGCTCATTCGTGAGCCACCTCTCCGAAGCTCTCCGCCGTAAAGGCATAAATTATGCGGTCGTAGATGTAAGTAGCGATGAGCTTTTTTCCAAGGAGTCCCGGGAAAAAGTAGAGAAAGCTAGGGTTTCTGTGATTGTATTACCCGGAAACTGTGAGCCAAGTAGAGTATGCCTTGACAACTTCGCGATGGTTCTCGAGTGCCAGAGGAGGATGGTCGTTCCTGTGTTGTACGGTGACAGTCCATTACGGGAAGAATGGCTTAGCGAACTTGATTTGAAAGGCTTATCACCAGTTCACAAATCCAGGTATTCACTATATGTCATTTACAGAGATTTTAAGCTGAAATTTTGTTGTTTGTGACTTGTCAGATAGAGTTGAACAAATCAAAAGAAAAGTCTATTCTACTCTCTGGTTTTTACTCGCTTATGTTACAAATTGGTAAAACTTTTTTGGTTGGTTACTGTAATGTGCAGGAAGGAATGTAGTGACTCCACACTTGTAGAAGAGATTGTGGGAGATGTGTACGAGAAGCTCTTTTATTCCGGACGAATTGGAATCTATTCGAAGCTGCTGGAGATTGAGAAATTGGTTGGTAATCAACCGTTTGGCATCCGCTGTGTTGGAATTTGGGGTATGCCTGGTATAGGAAAGACGACACTTGCTAAAGCAGTCTTTGACCAAATGTCTGGCGCCTTTGATGCTTCTTGTTTTATAGAAGACTATGAAAAATCTATTCATGAGAAGGGTCTTTATTGTTTGCTGGAGGAACACCTTTTGAAAGAAAGTCCAGGGAATGACGCTACCATTATGAATCTGAGCTCTCTTAGAGACAGATTGAACAGTAAGAGAGTTCTTGTTGTTCTTGATGATGTGCGCAATGGTCTGGTTGCAGAGTCTTTTCTCGAGGGGTTTGACTGGCTAGAACCTGGAAGCCTGATCATCATAACCTCTAGAGATAAACAGGTGTTTCGCTTATGCCAAATCAATCAAATATATGAGGTTCAGGGTTTAAATGAGAGAGAAGCTCTTCAACTCTTCTTGCTGTGCGCTTCTTTAAAGGATATGGGAGAGCAGAATCTCCGCGAGTTTTCACTGAAAGTAATAAATTATGCTAATGGAAACCCTTTGGCTATCAATGTTTATGGAAGAGAGCTGAAAGGTAAGAAAAAACTCTCAGAAATGGAAACTGTATTCCTCAAAGTCAAGAGACGTCCTCCATTTAAGATTGTCGATGCATTTAAAAGCAGCTACGACACACTTAGTGACAACGAAAAGAACATTTTTCTGGACATAGCTTGTTTCTTCCACGGAGAAAATGTCAACTACGTGATACAACTGCTTGAGGGTTGTGGTTTCTTTCCACATGTAGGAATTGATGTTCTTGTTGAGAAGAGTCTGGTGACTGTTTCAGAAAACCGAGTGCGGTTGCATAATCTGACCCAGGCTGTTGGCCAAGAAATAATTAATGGAGAAACAGTACAGATTGAGAGGCGCAAAAGACTATGGGAACCTTGGAGCATCAAATATCTATTAGAATATAATGAACCCAAAGCAAATGAAGAACCTAAAACAACCTTCAAACGTGCTCAGGTCTGTTATATTTTGATAGTTTCATATTTAACCTACTTTATGAGCCAACAGCCTAATATATCCACTTCCAATATCCTTTCAGGGATCTGAAGAGATCGAAGGAATGTTTCTGGACGCGTCAAACTTAAAATTTGATGTGCAGCCCTCTGCTTTTAAGAATATGTTGAACCTTAGATTGCTCAAGATTTACTGTTCCAATCCCGAAGTCCATCCTGTAATCAATTTCCCTAAAGACTTCTTTCATTCTCTTCCTGATGAGCTAAGACTCCTCCATTGGGAGAACTATCCTCTGCAATCTTTGCCTCAAAGTTTTGATCCTAGGCACCTTGTCGAAATCAACATGCCGTACAGTCAACTTCAGAAACTGTGGGGTGGAACCAAGGTAAGCAAAGTCTGATATACGTCTTTCACCCTTATCATTACATAACAAGATTTGTTGTTATTTATTTGTCTTTTTTTCGTCTTCTCAGAACCTGGAAGCGTTGAGGACGGTCAGGCTTTGCCATTCCCAGCATCTAGTTGATATCGATGATCTCGTAAAAGCTCAAAATCTTGAGGTAATTGATCTCCAAGGTTGTACAAGACTGCAGAATTTCCCAGCTGCAGGTCAATTGCTCCATCTACGAGTTGTAAATCTCTCAGGTTGCATAGAGATTAAAAGTTTCCTAGAGATTCCACCAAATATTGAGACACTACATCTACAAGGAACTGGCATATTAGCATTACCACTTTCCACTGTTAAGCCAAACCACAGAGAGCTTTTGAATTTTCTAACAGAAATTCCGAGTCTTTCAGAGGCCTTGAAACTTGAGCGTTTAACAAGTCTGCTGGAATGTAGGACATCTTGTCAAGATCTTGGGAAGCTTATTTGCTTGGAGCTGAAAGACTGTTCTTGTTTACAGAGTCTGCCAAACTTGGCTAATTTAGATCTTCTCAATGTTCTTGATCTCTCTGGCTGCTCAAGGCTCAATTCTATTCAGGGTTTCCCTCGGTTTCTGAAAGAGTTATATCTTACTGGCACTGCGATAAGAGAAGTGCCACAACTTCCTCAAAGTCTAGAACTCTTGAACGCACATGGATCTATTGTGCAAAGTCTGCCAGACATGGCTAATTTAGAATTTCTCAAAGTTCTTGACCTCTCTGGTTGCTCAGAGCTCGAGACTGTTCAGGGTTTTCCTCGGAACCTGAAAGAGTTATATCTTGCTGGCACTACGTTAAGAGAAGTGCCACAACTTCCTTTAAGCCTAGAGCTATTGAATGCACATGGTTCTGTTTCTCTGAAATCTATTCGTCCGAACTACTATAAGCTTCCTATGCACTACACATTCAGCAATTTATTTGATCTATCTCCACAAGTGGTCAACGATTTTTTGGTGAAAGCGCTGACTAATGTAAAACACATATCAAGAAAGTATATGCAGGTAATACTCTCTCTTGTCTACTTATTTCTCCATTAGCTCTCTTTCTTTCCATCACCCCCACAGTCCATTTCTCCTTCTCTGTCCGCCTGTCTCCCTCTCTCTGTACCCATTTACACCCTCCTCATATCATATTTGACTTATTTTGCATTATTGCAACAGAATCTCAACAAAGCTCCGACTTTCAGCTTCAGTGCGCCCTCACATGCAAATCAAAATGCACCACTTGGTCTGCAACCAGGGTCATCTGTAATGACACGACTAAATCCTTATTGGAGGAACATGCTTGTGGGCTTTGGTATGATGGTGGAAGTTGCATTTTCGGAGGACTACTGTGATGCTACAGGTTTTGGCATAAGTTGTGTTTGCAGATGGAGCAACAAAGAAGGCCGCTCTTATAAAATAGAAAGAAATTTTCACTGTTGGCCTCCAGGAAAAGTTGTTCCAAAAGTTCTAAAGAATCATACGTTTGTCTTTTGTGATATCAACATGAGCCCGAGTACCGATGGAGGAAATGACCCTGGTATCTGGGCTGACTTAGTTGTATTTGAGTTCTTTCCTATCAATCAGCAGACAAAGAGTCTAATTGATAGGTTTACAGTGACAAGATGTGGAATCCGTGTAATAGATGTTACAACTGGCTATACAAGTCTGAAGAATATATCACTAGTTTTGTCCTTGAATCCGATGGAGGTTTCTGGTTATGAAGTAGTTGAAGAAGTATTAAGAGTCAGTTATGATGATTTACAGGAGATGGATAAAGTTCTATTTCTCTACATAGCGTGTTTGTTCAATGACGAGGATGTTGATGTGGTGGCACCACTTATTGCCGGCATTGACTTGGCTGTTAGCTCTGGGCTCAAGGTCTTAGCCGATGTGTCTCTCATAAGTGTATCATCCAATGGGGAAATAGTGATGCATTCTTTGCTACGAAAAATGGCTAAAGAAATCCTCCATGGACAAGCCATCGTGCTATCTGATTGTGAGAGTACCATGGCCGACAATTTGTCTGATATACCAAAAAAGTAAGTTCTCTTTTTATATTAGCTTCAGATAGACTTAATTTTTTTATTTTCTTCTCATTAGGATACATACATTATTTAGTAGATAACAATTTTTTTTTTAAGACCAGATAAATTTGATAATATCTAAGTATATATAACTTTCACTTTTTATATTGATATTATTTACATTGACGATAGACGCAGGAAACGCAACATAAAGAAAGTAGTTTGCGCTACAGCCAATGAAGATCTATGGAGTTGGCGAAAGTACGGTAAAAAAGAAATCTTAGGTTCTCTGTTTCCAAGGTACTGATTTATTTTCTATATATAGATTTTTTTTTTGTTATTCTCCCGATCCAGTTGTGTGTAAGTGATGAAATGGATTGTCACTTCACGTGTTTGTGTAATTAGATTATAGTTAGTTATGTTTTTGATGGTTACTTGAAGTATTAGTTATATTTTTGTTCCTCAGGAGTTACTTCAGGTGCACTCACAAGTTCGCGCAAGGTTGTAAGGCTACGAAACAAGTGCAACGTAGCGACACCGATCCAAACATGTTCACCATTACTTACTTATCTGAGCATAATCATCCATCGTCCACTGAATGGATGGCTCTCGCTGGCCCCAGCCGCCCCACTCGTTCTACTTCCTCCTCCAACTACTCAGCCGTAACTACTTCAGCCTCATCTAGAGTTTCCCAAAACAAAGTCAAATCAAATAAACTCCACTTGCCTTCCTCCTCCACTCCTCCTGGAAATGCGGGCGTCCAACTTAAAGAGAAGGACATGGAGGAGTTTCAGGACAATATGGAGTTGGATAATGACGTTGAAGATATATGCACACTGGAATTGTTCCCAGAGTTTCAGCATCAGCCGGAGGAAAACCCATCGTCAAGCACCTTTGACAACAAGGACTGGTCAGATTGGTTCTCAATGTTCTCAATCCCAAAGTTTCAAGATCAGCCGGAGGAAGGCCCATTTTCACCAGATTGGTTATGGGAGTGATATATACCTAAATGAGAGTAATGGACACATGTAAGGTTAAGATTATAAGCTGGCTTCAAGGAAATAATGATACGGTGCTCCCGATTAATCCTCCACAAATTCCGAAGCCTAACACCGAAATCCCCCTACAGTTGTCTAACCGACAATCGCTAACACCTTGTAGAAGATTGGAATGATTAGTTTGCTTTCTTTCATCCATGCGTTCTTTGATCTTGGCCAGTTTGTCTAAGCACCATGTTGATTCAGTGTAACTGTTTCAGAAGATTCCGATCACAATCCTTGAATCCTCGATAATCTTGTATCCAGCTTTTGTAGAAGATCTTGAATCACCATGATTTTAGCTTCATCCATTCCTTCTCTAATCTTCAAAGATCATCTAAACACCGTCTCGATTCAGTGTACATGCTGCACAATCCTCGAATACTCAATCGCATCAATTGACTCATCCGCAAACATGTTGACTCTGTCCCATTTCAATGCTTTCTCGAGCTTGTCAATTTTGGAAGAAGAGATTGAGAGTTGAAGAAGGAGAACAAAAATTTATGTGATTGTTTACTTTAACTAAATCGAGATCCGTCAGACTGAAAAAGACAAAAATGCCAATATATGATAGCTTATGTCTTGTGAATACTAAGAATAATCTATTAAATGGCTAACCTGATAAGTTCATCATAAATTGCTTTGTGTTTTGAAATTTTCAAAAGTTTGGCACCAATTCTGTTTTAGTATTGAGACATGAGAAGCAAAATGTTGTACAATAACACATCAACATATAAAAGATTAAAAAGTTTTAGTATTTTCAGTTTCTTGTTAAAAATATTAAAGATTAGTAGACAAGAGAAGCTACTAAATTAGCTCTCTATGAAGCTACATATTACAGCTAGCTTCACCATCAACCTATCATCCCTCGCGGTGATTGCACCACAATATTCAATCATAATGGAAGAAACCTTCTTATTCTTCTCAAGGGACCCAACCATCTGTTCTCTACTTGTTCCAAGTCCTCTCTCCTTGAGCTTGCCTCCCAAGAACCAGACTCAAATACTAAACTAAAACCGCATTTCAATACCTCGCAATTTGAAGCCTTGCCAGTACCATCTATCACTTCAAATTTAATGGAAGCCTTAGTAGGAACACATTCTTTCTCACCATCCTTTTCTTGAAATTTGTTGATATTCAACCAATTGGTGTAACCGATGAATACATGAGTCGACTTAATCATACGTTGTTCGTCAACTGTCTCAGATAATCCTCCAACATGGCAATTAAAGTAGCTAGAGGATGTCTCAACATTGTTGAACTCGCATATGCATTTCACCTGGAGGTTGTTGTTTTGAATTGTGTGGTCTTTAAATGAGACAATAGCACATAGAGCTATTCCAACGAACCCACTTTTACTCCAATGTCGAGGGAGCTCAGGATCCAACACTGCTCCAGAAGCTCTGTGACTAAACCAAGCAGGAACTTCACTTCCAGGAAAACAGGTGGCAACCAAAGCTTCAAAAGCAAGACCCTATAATGTAAAACAAAACATAATTAATATAATTTGAACTGTGGATGAGCTTTCGGGATGATAGAGAAAGACCTTATTGTGGCGATTTAATGCATCTGAAATCATCCTGCTCTTGTTGTGAGCATAGCATATGATTTCTTTCTTTGCGTCTTGCTCCAATTTCTCACAGTTAGTGAAAATGAATGAGCAGGGGATCTTCTGCGTTGGCATAAGAAGGGCCAGAGGACTCGCTACTTCTTTTAGTGAGTTGCAAGCATGTGCATCTAAGCATTGAAGATTAGGTGGGAGCGTTGGAATAGATAGTAGATTCTTGCAATACTTTAAATCGATCCAATTCAAATGATAGAGTTGACTAATGCTAGAGTGTAGGCTGCATATCTCCTCATTTCTGCTTAAGCATAGACGCCGCAGCATGGATAGACCATTCATCCCAGGTGACCGATGCAATACCACTTGGCCTTTGAAGTTACAAGAGTGTAATAATATGTTGGGCAACTCTTTTATTTTGGTCCCATCAAGTAGCAAAATCTGCAGATTTTCCATTTTCTCCTTAGTATCAGGAAAACTCGTAAGCTTACCACAACCAGAGAGTATTAGTTCTTCAAGAGCCTTCAGCTTGTCAAGACATTCCGGTAGAAACTTCAACATTTTGCAGTCTTTGAGATTTAATAACACAAGTTTCTGGAAGTTTTGGATGGCCCAAGGAAGATTCTGAATTGCAGTGCCATCTAAATGTAGAAATTCAAGATTTTCAGAAATCAGCTCGAAATTGATAAATTTTGAGCAGCCACTGAGGATGAGAGTCTTCAGGGAGACTAAATCCAGTCTTTCTGGTAGAGATGACAGCATTGTGCATCCTCTGAGGTTAAGGAAAACAAGACTTTTCATATTTTTCATCTCTTCTGGCAACTTATCAAGAACAGTGCAGCCTTCAAGATTTAATCTCCGGAGATGAAACGCCTTTGATAATGCTGACAGGTCAGTCAACTTGTTTGAATAACTTAGATCAACCCACTTCAACCATGGCGTTTCCTGTGACAACAGCTCAGAACAAATTTACCACCAATCAGCTAGATTTCAAAGGTTGTTTTAGTCATATAGGTATCTCGGATGTATGTTTACGTTTGCTTGTTTCTTTCATGTTTAGATGGTAATGTAAATATGCTTTCCTTCAAATGAAACTAGTTCTTATCCGAGTTCAGTTGTAAATTATAAACCTTATGGTTGCCTACTGTGCAAAAATAATTTATAAGAGAATGAAAAATGTAGTTATGAAAAATTCCATGTATGCACGAACTTGAAAAAACAAATGACACCATAGTGTACTGTAGCAATGCAAAGAGGGTACATGGAGACACACCTTAACAGCTTCCCAAACCCGTTTAATCTTACTGTAAGGCAGCCTGAGATCAATGAGATTTTCTGGGTTGAAGTCTGGTGGAAGTTCATCCAATGGAAATTTCAGCCAGTGGAGATATCTGATCTCTTGAAACGGGAACTCCAGTCCATCAGGCAAGTTTACTTTACAGTCAACATCACACTGCTTAGGACAAACAGAGTCATATACTTTGAGGTATCGCAGATTCTGCTGGTTGAACCTTTCGATAAAAATGTCCGGGTCTATGGGGATTCCATCCTCAAGTTTGGACGTGTCTAGGAATATACCCCTCACCTTTTCCATTTCCCGGAAACAAGTCAAACGACAAAGAAATTAGCAAAGCACATATGAAGTAAGCCAGCCTTGAACTCCAAACATATGACTCAAGAAAGTACATTGACGTAGTTTAGACTTTAGAGGGACTTGAGATTTCTTTTACCTTTTTTATTCTCTGACTGAGGATGATCTGTTCAGAGCGTAGGGTGTTTTTAATTTTTTCATGATTCCACATTCTTTTCCCTGACTTATTTTCATCAGATGAACCAAGTTCCTGGCCAAATGTACACAGTAGGTTATGCATCTCTATTCGGCCGGCAGAAATGCATATCAACAATTTTTCAGCAAGATCTCTAACAACTTCACTAGAATCAGGGCCATATGGGTCCAGTAAACATTTCACATAATCCTCTTCTTCTGATCTGAAGAAACAAGCGATGTCGAGAAACGCATCCTTCTGCTGTTCACTTAGTTTGTCATAACTGATTCTCAATTCACTTTGGATCTTGGGATTGCAACAATGTGGCAGTGTTGCCAGTCTTGCTTCCCAGTGAGCCTCATCTTCTCCACAAAGCTCCTTTCCCAGTTCCTTGAGGGCTCCTGGATTGCCCCCAGCATAATCCACATACTTTTTGCATAGCTTCAGTAAATTCCCTGTTTTACTGGAATCTTGATCGTTAAAGGCATGATGTTTAAAGAGCTCCAAGGCATCTTTATCATTCAGCCCAGGGACAATATAAATATCGTGAACCAGTTCTGCGATCGTTGACTTGTCACGCGTCGTAATGACAATCTTGCTCCCTTTCTTAATCCACTCGAGATTTTTAAGTAAGAACTTTACTTGGTTCTTATGGCTCACATCATCCAAAACAACAAAAATTTTCCTTTTGAAATTTTGAGCCTTATGATTCAATTCTTTACCATTCAGAAGTGTATCTTTCAACCAATCTGATTCGTCATTTATCTCCTCACGGATCACCCGGATAATCTTTTTAAACACAAACCTGTTGTTCCACTTCTTGAAATGCATTTCAGCTAGAGCGGTTTTACCAATCCCAGGCATCCCAACAATTCCAACAATTTGAGTTTCGAGGCTATCAAAATCCAACTTTTCTTCTAATTGCTTAAGCCTTTGTTCCATTCCATAGTCAAGAGGAAGCGCTTTAGGCTGTTCGATGTGGCTAGAGGATATGTTACCATTAGAGTCACTTACAGATGAGAGATCTTTAGAAATCCCGTTGAGAGGAATCACCTCAAGCACTCTTTTGACAGAGTCAACGATCTTATCAACGAACTCTCTCTCGTTCCTGCAATTTCGAAGAAAAATCAACAATCAATGAAACAAAACCCTTGAGAATAAGAAGAAACAGGTCAAACAATATCACAAACCTAAAATTCTTCAGATTCAAGCCTATCTTGCTTGGAACAGAATCCAAAGCGTTCTCCCAAGCAGAGATATTAGGTCTTTTCCTTTTACCTTCTCCGTAGAGCTTAAGCCCAAACTCACCCTTCTGCTCTTTAACTTCCTCAGGTGTGACATTGAAGAAGACGGGGATGATTCTGAGTTTTCCTTTCTCAACTTGTTCAGTGATCTTCACAAGCTCGTCCAAACACCACTTCGATTCAGCGTACTTGCTCGAGAAGATGCACAGTGCGATTTCCGATTGCTCGATCCTCGTGAAAAGGACGGTGAGATCTTCGCTTGGGACCTCTTTCGTGTCGATGTAGTATTTGATTTCAGCTAGCGTTAAGGCTCCTTCAAGATGGCTGATGAAATTGCCGCGCAATTCTTCTCCCCGGAAATTGATGAACACTTGCCACGACTCTCCGGAAGATGCCGCCATCGGAAAGTTTTTTTTGGTTGAATCGTTAGGAGAAGTTCGAAAATTGAAGTCAACTTCATATAATCAAGTTACACTAGCAGTTAGTACACACCAAGTTTGAGTGTTTGACCGGGTTTTTTTTCCGATAACACTTTTTTTCTTTTTAATCGGAAGATCCTTCGCTTTGGCAAGTCGTGAACCGGTTTAATCTGATTGGATTAATGTTTCAAAATTTGTATAATTTCCGATTTAAGAAAATTATATGAAGAAGTGGACATGGGTTTACATTTTACAAAAAGAATTTTAAAATTTTATTTTGTAAAATAGATTTTTTTCCGCGTATTGGTATTTAAATGAGCCCAAAACAAAAGTCCATATCCATGTGGTCACATGATATGGAAAACAATTCGCATCCGGGATGAATTGATCCCGCACTTAAACCAACATGGCAACTCTTTCACCAGATGGGAACCTCCACAACCACCATGTGGTTAAAATGTAATTTTAGGGAATAGCTTGCGTTCAATTTCGAAGGTTCAGTACAATCACAATATGAAAGCTTATTATCAACTTTGGTTTGGTAAAATACAATCGATTTGGTAATTTTGTCCAACCAAATATTTTTAGTTCGATCCCAGCCTCAGTCCTCACTTTGAGATTAATAAAGTGGGCCGGCCAGTAAGCTGAAAAGAATATATATCAATACATCAAATACTCCTACCAAAAAAAAAACTACATCAAATACAGTTAAGACGTTTGTTTGTTTTCTCGGTCCGATGACGTTAGTAGGCAACACAACAAATGAATTGAGGAATAAATATATACATGTTCATAAAACATCAAAATCAAAGACATTCATGTCCAAGAAAGTGTCTTTAGCAGAATCGCCAGGACAACCAGAAGTAATACAAGTTGTGATTATTCCCAATGTAGTAAGATAAAAAAACACAGCACATATGAGCCACGCACCGCAAACGACAGAGCTAAACCATTTCCTAAATATGCTGTTACCTGACTTTGCTAAAGGTGATGGTGATATGGTTGCAGGCGATTCTGTCTTCTGGCCTCTCCATCTGCAAAGTTTCTGGTAAAAGACCCCAACAGCAACCACCGTAACCAGAAAATTCATTAACCATATACCACTCGGAAAAGAATATGATTGATAGAAAAGTAGAGGAGACATGAAGAGACAGAAGAGAAAAGTCACAAAAAGGGCGAAAACATGGTCAGTTGGCGTATTAACACTTCCCAGGTACTTAGGATTTCCTTCAGAAATTTTGGTTAGCGCTCTCTGAACTGCTTCAACAGTTGCTTCAACCAGAGACGCATCCTCGCTGCAACATTGGCGAGAGTAATGGTAGTTGGAAATTTGTACGAAAAGGTTATGTACAGTATGTGGCAAAATTCGAAAGTTGTGTACTTTTTGGCATGTCCAAAAGGAAAGACATCTTATTTGACCCTATTATTCATCAATAAGGAAAAATCAGGAAATTAATACCAGTGAACTTCCGAGTGTATGCCGATTGTCTTTGCGATTGACTTCACGGAAGTTTCCCACTTCGGGACTCTCTCAAGTCCATCCTTGTATCTCTCTCTCATTTCCTTGAAATGTTGGCCAAATTCTCCCTTGATGTTTCTCACGTCACTTGATCTCACATTGTAGAAAACGGGGATCACCAAGAGTTTGCCTTCCTTCACGAGCTCGTCCATCATCACAAGCTCGTTCAAGCAAACATTTGACTCCACATAGCTCTTGGAGAAGATGACGAGTGCAATCTTCGACTCCTCTATTCTCTGGTAGAGCTGTATCAGTTGTTTTATCCCATTTCCCTTGTCGTTGTCTGTGAAAACGGTGACCCCTGCATCTGTCAAAGTACTCACAAGATGTCTGAAAAAGGTCCTCTGCAGCTCAGCTCCATGATAACTGATGAAAATCTGAGAGTGGCTTTGTTGGATTCCAGCTTCAGAAGACGATGCAACCATGGGTATCTGATAGACAAGAATTTGGTAGTTCATATGACTGGGGAATGGGAATAGGTTTGAGCAATTAATTCGTCTACTTATTAGTTATTATCCAAAAAAAAAGAGCTTACAATGTTGCCGCTGTGATGATGAGGCTCCCCAGACAACTGGGCGTCGACCTCTAACTCTTTAATGTGTCTCTCTCTTTCTGAATTCTTTGATCCGGATCTATATTCTGCCCAGGAAAAACGAGACTTAGCAATAGGTGGCTGAGGACTTGTAGCCTGCATAGGATGTAACAAAAAGGTATAAGTAAATGATCATGCAATGGAAAATACATGAAATCTTTGTCACAGAAAATATATCCGATTCATTCAACCAATTAACATATGATTAAACTTATGACTCCAAGTGCTATCATTTTATTTGGCAAGTCCAGTACCTTGTCCCCACCGTCAGGTGATCTTCCAGCTGCTCCAGTTTCCCTTCTTACTTCCGAGATAGCCACTAAAAAAGGAAGACAGACAATCAGAAATTTAAAAACCTCGAGCAATATTAGGAAGCAAAGACAATATCACACATAAAGATGAAGCTAATAAATCTTAGATCCAATCACCTTTTTTTGAATAAGCTCTGTAGTGATTTGCTTCAAGAGGAACTCCACGTACGCCAGATTTAACCCGCCCGTCATCGGTTGCATAGACCAAACTAAAGCCACACTTCAGCACCTCGCAACCTTCTAACACTTCTGTACCATCTGTCACTTGAAATTCAAACAAAGCCTCACTGTGACTACATCTTTCTTTATCTTCCTCTCCCAGTTTCTTGATATCCAACATACTAATATAGCCAATAAAGACATGACACGTTTCAATCTTCCCTGGTGTGTTATTTGATTCACTCCAACTGCCAATAGTGCAACTAAAGCGGACACGAGACCCATCTTCTTTATTAAACACACTTTTACATTTCACTAAGAGACGGTTCCTCTGCTCATGGTAGCCTTGAAATGAGATAACAGCGCACAGAGCTATCCCAGTAAACCTGTTATCACTCCAGTGTAGAGGCAGCTTTGGCTTTAACAGCAGTCCAAAAGCTCGGTGACTGAACCATGCCGGCACTTCCCATCCAGGAAAGCAGGTTCCAGTAAAGGCTTCCAAGACAGAATCCTACAAAAAGGAACACCAAAACTAAATTACATACAATAGATGCCACTCAGGAGACTGAAAATTAATAGAGAGAGATAGACAGACCTCATCGTAACGAGTGAGTTTATCTACCATTAACTGGCTTCTCCACCGAGTATAGGATATGATACTATCCTTTGCGTCTTGATCCAATGTATAGCAGTTGGAAAAATTGAATGTTGCATGGTTCTCCCCAGACAGTACCGGAAGGGCTAGAGGATTTGCAACTCTTTCCAGCAAATCACAGCCATGTGCATTAAAGTATTGAAGTCTGGGTGGAAGAGTTGGAACAAATGTCAGCTTCTTGCACTGCTTCACGTCAAGCCAGTTCAGATTATACAGTTTCCCAATGTCAGGTTGCAGGGTAACAAAATCATTTCCACTCAAACATAAATGTCGTAGTGCGGATAATCCATTTACACCACATGCATACTCTCTCATGGTTGAATATAACCCAAAAGGTTGTAAGGAAATATCAGCAGAAGCTGGGCCTTCGAATCCAGTAAAGCATGATACACTTGGCATCTCATTTGCTCTTGTCCCATCAAGAAGTAAAATCTGAAGATGTTTTAAGCTATGCCTGACATCTGGAAGACTCTTGAGCCTTGAACAACCAGAGAGTACTAGCTCGTCAAGAAATTTCAGCTTGCCCAAACAGTTGGGAAGACACTCCAGCATCGTGCAGTTTTTCAAATTCAACATGACAAGTCTCCGGAGGTTCTGTATAGCTGGAGGAAGTCCTTCAATTGCTGTGCCATCCAAATGTAGAAATTCTACACTTTCGGAAATTAACTGAAATTCCTTTAGGTTTGAGCAGTCACTGAGGATGAGGGTTTTTAGAGAGATTAAGTTCATCTTTGGAAGATGGCAAAGACGTATGCATCCTCTCAGGTTCAAGAAAACAAGAGACTTCATATTTTGTATTTCCAATGGCAGCTCATCCAAACTCGTGCAGCCTTCCAGATTCAATCTTCGAAGATTTTCAGCCTTCGACAATGCTGACAATTCGAACAACTTACTTGAGTGCCTTAAATCAACCCACTTCAACCGTGGTGTATCCTGTCAAAATTTAACCAACAATCATAAAATACGTAAGTGATCCAATGAAAACATAACTGCAAAAAGATTGAACAAGAAGACACACCTTGAGACCTTCCCAAACACGTTCAATCTTGCTGTAAGGCAGCCTCAGGTCTACAAGATTCTCGGGTCTGAAGTCGGGTGGAAGTTCCAGCAATGGGAATTTCACCCAATGGAGATATCGAACCTCTTTCAAGGGGAACTCAAGCCCATCCGGGAAATATAAGTTGCAGTCAGCTTTACATTTCCGAGGGCAATAAGAATCATATATCTTGAGGTATAGAAGGTTTTGCATATCGGTGAAAGTCATACATTCCAAGGCAATACTCTCCCTTATTTCAGACATGTCTAAGAAAATACCTCTCACATTATTAGCCTCCTAGAAGCAAGTAACAAACATAAAGTTAGGAATTACATTAAGTCCCAGGGTTTTGCTTTCATATGGAGGGTGAGCTTGTTTTCCAGGTTATTTGACAGAGAGTGTTTTAATTCTCTCCCCTCGAAAAAAACTTGCCCATTAGTATTCAAGTCTTCTAGATGATTCAATATATTATTTTTGTTTCATGTTTTCTTATTAGTTAAAATAATTTTACGATCCGTCCTAAAATTTCACAGGTTGATTAATTTCAGTCTTTTTATTTCACGATAGGTAATATATTTTTTTGGCTCTTGTTCTTAACAAATAATGATCTTAAAGTTTGTTCTAGGATAGTCAAAAAATGTTGCAAGCATTAATGGACTCTCTTTTGCAGAAAAAATAAACGTACCGGTGGTTTCATTTTTGTCACCTTGTTGATGATATCTTTGTCATTGCACAACCTATGCTGCCCAGGAGAACCAAGTTCCTTACCCAATGCATACAGTTGATCATGCATCTCTACTCGCCCAGCAGAAATTGTTATGAGGAACTTGTCAGCAAGATCTCTTACTTCACTCACAGCTTCGGGGTTTTCTGAATCCAGAATACTTTTAACAAAATCCTCATCCTCTGATTTAAAAAAATGCACTATGTCTAAAAACACATCTCTCTGTTTCTCATTAAGCTGGTCAATAGAGAATGTCCAGACATCTCTCATTTCCATACTAAAATTTTGTCTCACTCGTCGCAGTTCATGTTGCCAGTAGGCCTCATCTTTTCCACAAAGGTCGTTTCCCAGTTGCGTGAGAACCAGTGGGTTACCTGGTACATTATCCACGAATATTCTGGACAACGACAGGAAGGTTTCTGAAGGATACATTTGATTATAGAAGGCATGATAAGTAAAGAGTTGAAAGGCTTCTCTGTTGTCTAATTGTTGGACCACAAAAGCATTATGAGCCAATCCCTTTAACAATGACTTGTCACGCGTTGTAATAACAATCTTGCTTCCCTTCTTAATCCAGTCAAGGTTGCCAAGCAGAAACTCTAATTGCTCCTTGTCACTCACATCATCAAGTACAACAAAACTTTTAGTCTGACGCAGTTTATCCTTGATGGATTCATGAGTTGTTTCCTCATCTATGTCTTGATGTACGTGTTTGAGTAACTCTTTCAGGAACACCTTCCTCAACTGATCCAGGCTGTATTTTTTTGACATTGTTAAAAACAAGTGACTTGGAAACTTACACCCACGCTTTTCAAACAAAACTGTGGCGAGAGTTGTTTTACCAAAGCCGGGCATTCCAACAACTCCAACAATACGAGTTTTTCCTGGTGTTGAGAACAACACCTTTTCCAATTGCTTGAGTCGTACTTCAACCCCAACTAAAGAATGCATTTTAAGCTTCTCTAAAGTTCTTGAAGATGTGTCGTCATGATAAGAGCTTACATTAATTTCTCTTCCTGCGTCTTCTTCTTTTGAAAGGTCAACTTGCTTGTTTTCAAAACTCTTCTCTAAATTTGGGTTGGCATCAGATTTTGCTTCACAGAAGAATTTTTCATCACTTCCGAGACATGTACCAAAGTAAGATTCATATTGGATATCATCATGACTTCCAGAGTTTCCATAAGATATTGCTTTACCAATGATATTCTCAATCCTTTTTGGAATTACAACAGTCTCTGCATTCCACCTTATATTCTCTCTTTCATTGGTTGCATAAACCAAACTAAATCCACACTTCAGCACCTTGCAATCTTCTAGGACATCTGTACCATCTGTCACTTGAAATTCAAAAGAAGCCTCAGTTTGACTACATCCCTCTTCTTCTTCCTCAACATATTTCTTCATATCCAACGTACTGGTATAGCCAACAAATACATGAGACGGCTCAATCTTCCTTGGTGTGTTACTTGGTTCCCTCCAACTGCCAATAGTGTAGATAAAACGGATATCAGACTTGTCTTTGTAATTGAACACACAATTACATTTTACAAAGAGACGGTTCTTCTGCTTGTAGTATCCAGGAAATAGGATAACAGCGCATAGAGCTATCCCAATAAACTGGTTGTCACACCAGTGTTGAGGAAGTTTTTGCTTTAACACCGACCCAGAGGCTTGGTAACTAAACCATGCTGGTACTTCCCATCCAGGAAAGCAAGATCCAGTGAAGTCTTCTAAACCGGAACCCTACAAAAAAAGAATACCAAATCATATTAGATATCGACAGATGCTGCAAGGAAGACTGGAAATTGACATAGAAACAGGCATACCCCATTGTATCGAGAGAGAGCATCTAACACTAACTCACTTTTCCATCGAGTATAAGATATGATACTATCCTTCGCATCTTTATCCAACTTGTTACAGTTGGAAAAATTGAATGTGGCATGGATCTGCTCCGACAGCACTGGAAGAGCCAACGGATTTGCAACTCTTTCCAGTGAATCACAACCATGAGCATCAAAGTACTGAAGTCTTGGTGGAAGCATTGGTATAGAGGTCAGAAACTTGCATTGCCTCACATCTAGCCAATTTAGATTGTAAAGTTTCCCAATATCAGTTTGCAGGCTGACAAAATCATTTCCGCTTAAACAAAGACGTCGTAGAGAGCATACTCCATTACCACCACGTGGCCAAACCCTTGGGTCAAAAGGTTGTACGATCATATCTGCAGAAGCTTGGTCTTCTGAAATATTGGAACACGATATGTTTGGCATCTCTTTTGCTCCTATCCTGTCGATAAGTAAACTCTGGAGATGTTTCATGTTTTCCGTTATATCTGAAATATTCTTAAGCTTTGAACAACCAGAAAGTATTAGCTCTTCAAGAGCTTTCAGCTCTCCAAGACATTTGGGAAGACACTCCAACATTTCACAGTTCTTCAAATTCAATAAGACAAGTCTCTGGAGCTTCTTGATGGCTAGAGGAAGTCTCTTGATTGCAGTGCCATCTAGATGTAAAACTTCTAGACTTTCTGAGACAAACTGAAATTTCTCAAGGTTTAAGCACTCACTGAGGATCAGAGTTTTAAGAGATATTAAATTCATCTCCGGAAGATATGAAAGATGTGTGCATCCTCTCAGGTTCAGGAAAACAAGAGACTTCATATATTGGATTTCCATCGGCAATTTATCCAAAATCGTGCAGCCTTCCAAATTTAATCTTTGAAGATTTTCAGCTCTTGACAATGCTGACAAGTCGAGCAAATTACTGGAGTGGCTTAGATCTACCCACTTCAACCGTGGTGTATCCTGTGCAACCCATCAGAAGGCAAACCAATAAAAAAACTGCACTAATTACTTAAGTAGTCTAATTTAAACATAATAACAAAAAGATAGGCAAAGGAAGACACACCTTAACACCTTCCCAAACACGTTCGATGTTGCTGTGTGGTAGCCTAAGGTCAACAAGATTTTCCGGTCGAAAATCTGTTGGAAGTTCTTTTAACGGAAATTTCACCCAATGAAAATATCGGACCTCTTTCAAGGAGAATTCAAGCCCCTCAGGGAACTGTAATTTGCAGTCAGACATACATTGCCGAGGACAACAAGAATCATATATTTTCATGTACCGAAGATTGCACATATCAATGAAGGTTGAACAGTCGAAGGAGATGCTCTTTGTTAATTTGGACATGTCTAAGAATATGCCTCTTACATTATGAGCATCCTGATAGCAAAGCAAAAGAAAACATGTAATCGAAGTATTTTTGTCTAGAGTTTAATAAAAAAGCATGTCTAGACAAAAGTGTTTCTATTAGAAGTTCATACAATTTACTATCGTTTCCCTGTTTTCATAGTATAGTAAATAAAGAGCTTAATATCAAACTCAAAATTCACCAGTTCAGGTTTTAAGCAGGGCAACAATTGTTTTACTTATTAACTATGAAAAAAAATATCTGGAAATTTGTTCTGAGAACATGATTGGATTTGCTCTTTCACATAAGATAAACTTACCCATAGTCTTATCTTCTTTCGTTTGTTGATGATATCTTCGTAGTTCCACAGCCTATACTGCAAAGGGAAACGAAGACTCTTGATGAAACTATACAGTATATCATTCATCTCTACTCTCCCGTCAGAGATTGTAATCAGGAACTTGTCAGCAAGATCTCTTAATTCACTCACAGAATCAGTATTATCAGGATCTCCTGAATCCAGTAAACTCCTAACAAAATACTCATCTTCTGATTTGAAAAAATACACAATGTCAAGAACAACATATTTCTGCTGCTCATTAAGTTGATCGAATCCAAAGATATCTTGGAGCCATGAATTGTAACGATTTGTTATTATTCCCAGGGTATGTTCCCAGTGAGCCTCATCTTTCCCACAAAGTTCAATACCAAGTAATATGAGAGCTTGTGGGTGCCCTCGGGCGTACTCCACAAAATTTCTTGAGAGGCTCAGGAAATTCTGTGTGGCACTACAGATTTGATCATCAAAGGCATGATAAGTAAAGAGTTGAAAAGCCTCTTTGTCATTTAAAAGCGGGACAACAAAAGTATCATCAGCAAAACCCTTAAGCAATGACTGGTCAGACGTTGTAATAATGATCTTACTTCCCTTCTTAATCCAGTCAAGTTCACTGAGGAGAAACTCTAGTTGTTTCTTGTTACTCACATCATCGAGAACAACAAAAACTTTAGTCTGAAGAAGTTTATCCTTCACGGATTCATGTGTCGTCTTGTCACTTATCTCTGGAAACTTTCCCTCGAGTAAGACTTCCAAGAGAGTCTTTCGTAGCCACAGCGGCCCATGTTCCTCAGACTTCTTACGGATACCCAAAAGAGGCACGCAGCGAAGAAACTTGCAGTTCCACTTTTCGTGCAGCATCATTGCAAGAGTGGTTTTACCAATACCAGGCATCCCAACAACTCCAATAATTCGAGTTTCATTGCAATCAAACTCTAACTTCCTCTCCAATTGCTCCAGGCGTTGCTCAATTCCAAATAGGTGACATTTGTTAAGATAAGTTTTATGCTTTTCTCCTCTTCCTGTCTGGAAATCACTACTTTTTCCTTCACCTGTAGAAAGAAAGAGAGATGCAATTTCTCCTTTCTCCATGACTTCCTTGATAGTGAGAGTGATGAACTCAGAACTGTCGAAAAAACGAGACCCATCGATAAGACAAGGAATCTAATTATTTCAGCAGCAATCAATTCAAAAGAAATTGCAATTATATACCAGTCTTCCTCCTTCCAGTAGAAGCCCTTAATGTTCGCAACAGACTCCAAAGCTTCCTTCCATTCAACGATATGGTGATCCCGATTAATCCTCCACGAATTCCAAAATCTAACACCGAAGTCTCCCTTAAGTTGTGTAACCTCCGATTGCTCCAGTTCGTAGAAAATTGGAATGACTGAGAGTTTCCCTTCTTCCCTGAGCTCTTTGATCTTCACCAGCTCATTTAAGCACCAACTTGACTCTGCGTACCTGCTCGAGAAGATTATAAGCGCCGTCGTCGTCGACTCCTTGATCTCGAAATGAAGATCTCCACGCCGGACGTTGACTCCATTGTTTTCCAAGGCTTTGACGAGGTGGCGTACAAAATCGTGGCTCAGATCTAGATTTTTTTCTTCAGTAACTGGGACAACGTCAAGAACCCTCTTGTTCTCAACAAAATTGATAAAGGTTTCGTCAGGCTTTGCTTCACCGGGTAAATCGTCATCTCTTCGGGATTTTAGTTTAGCTTGAACAATCCCACCGAGAATACCTCTTTCAAATCCCAAGCTTTCCATATATGATTTAAAAAAGTAGGTATTTTTATCCGGCTCCTCTTTGTTACTACCATCATCTTTGGGCTCTTTGTTACCATCATCTTTGAGCTTTTGGTTTTGGTTACCATCATCCTTGGGTGGTTCGAATTTGTTGACGCTTACCAGCTCCGCAAAAGCTACTTTTTTCTTCAGAGTCCTAATCAAACCGACTATATCGATTTCATCACCAGTCACAACAATCCGGTCCCTGTAAACTCCCGTGATTTCCACAGCTGACACGCCTATAAACCAGTCGCATTAAATCTTTAGATTCACACAATAATCTTTATATCTCTAAGGATTTGCATCTCTGTTACCTCTACACAGAACCGCAGTTTTCAGTGCTTTTGATCGGGTTTTGTCGTCAATCATATGATGAAATTTGATCACGAACTTTTGCTGCATACAAATAAGAAAACCTCTTAGTATCACACGAGATAGGGTCCAAGTTATGAATTTGTTCGAATTTCACATATTTACCTTCATCTTCTTGTGTTTTATTCACGAATCACGATTGCTGGTTCTCTGGATCTTCTTGATTAATCACTCCAAATACGATGACTTTTGAGATGGTGTTTGATTGATTTTCTAATTTGATTTGGTCCATGAGTTGGTAGATGTGAAGAGTGTGACGAGTGACGACGACCCATCTTACAGAACAACAAAGGCGCTCAAAGTCTTCGTTTTCTTCTCTAGCATTTTTCCCCTCTTAATTAAGTGATGTTTAAAACTTTTCATACACAAAATTAAATTATTACATAAATACAGTTAACTAAAACTAACTCAACAAAAGAAAATATATTGCAAAATATAACTAGTCAAAAAAAAATTAAATATATACAAAAATTATGCAGACGAAATTGAAAATACAGTATCATGTAAAATAAAATAGAAAATGATTATTTTTTTATTACTAAACTACTATTAATCTATCATCCATTTGTTTTAATCAAATACTATCTCCTTGACTTTAAAGGCAGATCCATTTAGAACCATGTGGGTTTAGCTGACATAAGGCCATCTTTAACGGTATAATCGGTCGGGCATAAAACCAATATTATAAATCCAAAATAATTGCACAGTAGATTGAGAAAAAATATTCAATTCGTAGTTAAGAAGCTTTTGTTGGGGCATCTTATGCCAGTGTAATTCTGTGAGTGGTTAGAGCATTGTAAAAAGAAAAACATTTTTCATTTCTTCTTCCCTCAAATGATTAACAAGGTTTTTAAACTTTGTATCAGTTTAATATAATGTTTATGTGCTTTAATAAATATGTTTGTATCTTTTTATGTTTTTTATTTTCACTTCATTGTTTTTCTTTTTAAAATAATTGTGCATTGTATTTTATGTTTCTTTTTATTTCCAAATCAGTTTTATGTTTATTTATATGTTTTCAATTTAAATTTTTTTTTTTAAAAAAAAATATTTTAAATTTTTTACATTATAAAATTATTACATTTTTAAGATTCTAAAAGTTCAACCAATAATCAACTCAAAAACTTTGGTTCTTATCTTAACCTCTTACATTATTATAATACTAAAAAACTCCTAAGCTACATCCTCAAACTTATGCCTTTAAGGATGCTCTAAGAGTCATGACAATAGATTTTTAATTGGTTTTTAGTATTTGCCTTTTCCATAAATTTTAAAACAAATAAATGAAATGCAGTCTCATTAGTTATTACTTATTAGTAAACCTTTAAATTATATTTTATGTGTTTTATGTTAGTCATTTTAGAGGATGTTTTAGTCATTTCCCGTTTTGCAACGTGATATAGAGGAAAATAATAAATTAATGTGTTTTTTTTATGGGGGGAGAAAAATTCAAAAGTGGTAGTTATGGATAAAATGTAAGAAGAAAATTGAGATTAAACAGTCTGCAATTTGACCTCAGTATGATTGTCTGTCTCATCACCATAACTATTCAGGCTATACTGATTCGGTCATGTCGCTAGACCATGACATTGAATGCTCCCGTAGTTCAATTCCCCAGTCCAGCTTACCGATCCACTATCACAAAAAGCAAATCTGAACCCTTCTCCTGACGAAAAGTTATGTCCTAAGATTCCCTCTTTCTTCTTATTTCAGCAAGAAAGATCAAAACTTTTGTGCACTAACACGTCTCTGCACAAGTTTGAGTCGTCGCTTTCAAATTTCCCTTCAATTCGTTGGAGGAAATTCTAAGAATAGAGCATGCTTGAAGTTATCCGATCTTGTTCAAAACGTTGATAGGCTCTTCTGGTTCTCAGAAACAAGAACACACTTGAAGCTAGACCAATCACAGACAAGCATCCCCACCACACAAACGTTAGGAAATAACAGTCTCGTCCCATACATATAACCGACTCAGTATTTGACCCAGCCATGCTATGGGATTCATAGACCAAAGCAGCTAAGAAACCGTAGACCAACGATCCTATCGGTATGTTTGTGATGAGGATGTTGTGGTTAACCCCGACGCTGTTGGGTCCAAAAAGCTCTGATGTTATGGAAACCGCTGCTGCAAATATGAAACCCGAACTTAGACCGATTAGTGCTGTTCCTGCTTGTAAAGCCGCCAAGCTTCCTGATGATGCCAGCAAGAAAAGAGCAATTGTGGTTGGTAAAAGAGCAACGGCTAGCCACCCGGTTCTAGCAAAATAAACCTTCCTGCATAATTGACATTTCAATTACATCTTAATCTTCTTATAATGTTAGAACCAGAAAAGTGACAAATGCTTTTGTAAGGGACTTACGCTCTTATATAGTCTGGTGTTGCTGAAAGTAATCGACCAAAGAATGAGAAAGACGAATAAAGTGTGACAAGAGTTGTTGTCTCAGAGCTTTGTCCTAAAGATTGTGCAATCTGCCCCAGGTTGTTACTATAAACAAGTCCAATTGTGCCACCACAAAAGTAGGCTATATAGTAAAGCCAGAAATCTGATCTGCGTAAGAGCAAATATAGAGGATGTTCCTCTCCAAGCATTCCAAGCAGATTTCTTGTAATGAGCTTATTGCAACAACATCCGTCGTCATCTTCAATGAAACTCTTCTGATCAGAAGTAATGACGGCTCGCATTACATCATCGTTTAGCAACTGGTAGCCATCGACGCTGGCATCACGTGTCACCATTCCTTTATGCATCTCAAGCTCATCGACATCAACAAGAATGAAACCAGAACCTTCTAACCGGAAACTAGAGTGGACATTGTGCAGATACCAATTGCGAGCGTAGACTAGACCAGGAAGACATAGAGGGAGAATCAAAAGAAGAATTGATCCACCAAAGAGAAGACGAGCTGAGGTTACATCAGAAGTTTTAGAACCAAAGAGAAGCAGATAAACACCGTTCAATACCGCTAATATGTTGAGCAAGAGAAACATGAGAGAATCTCTTCGAACTCCATCTGGAGGAAGAGGTTCAAGAGGCGGTTGGCGAAGAATAGGAATAAGAGAAGCAAAGGAGACAACAAGAGGTATAAGGGAGTTTAAAAGAAGGTATTGCTGTGTAGAAACAGGATTAATTGCGTTGTAAGCAAGGGTGTATAAAGCGGCACTTACACCATTAAAACTCACTGTGAGAGAAAGTGCAAGTGATCTGTTTGCTGGAAAGTTTCTGATGCAGAGCACAAAACAGACTGTGTTAAACCAACAAATACTTAGCCCAGCTAACAAACAACACAGAAACACCTGCAGTAACATCACAAACCCCATAATTAGTCGCAAGTTTGGTTAGACAAAGACAGTTCTGAAAGAATCAACACTAATAGAACAAAATTCCTAACGGAATGTTGTGTTTGATCACAATCTTCTCTCCAAAAAAAAGTAATCATTCTTCCTCAGAAACACAATAAATAATAATTTTAATTGACTAGGCTCTCATATAGACATATAAACACTTCTACCTGAAAATTCAATATTATATATACCACATGACAAAGATCCTCTAGTGCGCCTAGTCATCAAAAAGAATAGATCAGAAAGAAACCCAACTGCCATTTACTGCAAGAAAAACACTATTTAAATGATTTGGCGACAAAGAAAAAAGTTTTTTTTTGGTGAGAAAGAAAAAAGTATTTATATACACAAAACTAAGATCCGATCACAAAGAAGCAATAAAGATTCTCGAGTTAGTCATCAAACCAAGACAAAGCAGAACCAAACCAAAGAAAAACACGTGCGACCAACCATACAAATGACAAATTCACTTACTGAACTACCAATCAACCATTCAACCATCACCGACTCTTCTTCCAAACCTCCAAATCTTGATATCAGTATTAGTAACCAAGAAAATCTTTATACCAAACACAATTTACAAATTTCAATAATCTGTACTATGTAACACTAACCTACTTATAAACTTGAACAAACTCTCTATTTTAACTATAACTCATTAGTTAAACTAAATAGACTTGTATTCAATAAGCCATTAGGCCAAGAACAACATTAGTGTAAGAACTTAGACAGTGAGTTTATATTCATTAAAGCAATAAAGTAAGAAACTTTACTAATACTGTTCCTAAAAACAAATTCGAATTCTTTCTGATTTGGTTTTTACAAATTTGATTCAAGATCAAAGCAACAGAGACTTACCAAGATATAAGGCAAAGCGATAACGTTAGTGATGACGAGCCACTGAACACCATAACCAACGAAACCCATACTCGCCGCCGCGAAGAGCACCGTCCAAAGAGGGAAATACAAAAGCGCAAGTCCCGATGACCAACCGAAAACTTTACCGAGATCCGAAGCGACGGCGAGGTAGTTCAACTGTACTTGAGAAATCCCTAGAACCGATTTCAAATTCGACGAGTACGTCGAGAAATCGAAATTAGTTCCGGTGAATGCTTGAATCCAGATCGTCGCTACCAGAATCATCCATTTCCTTGATTGTCCCGCCATCGTCTTCTTCCTCCCCCACCGTCGTTAAACAATCTCCGACGAACGGTTCCTCAATCACCGGAGATTTTTGTCTTTTAGTCTTTGTTCTCTTCTCTTCTCTCTCTCTCGCGTGATTTTATGATTAAAGCTTCTTCACTGGACTACTACTAAATAGAGAGAAACGAATCATGTTGGTTTACGTGGCATCTTCATATCTAAAGGCTAAATTAACCGAATTCGAATTAAATATTTACCCGGTTTAGCTTTCTGTTCATTATGATTTCGGTTCGGTGTCAAATCAAACTGTTTTTTTTTTTTTTTTGTAAACTGTTACATTCATAATTTCTCTCTTTTTTGGGTTGAGACATTATTACATTAATAATTGATCATACAGTATGTTCCATAATAGTAATAAATTTGGAATTTTATTTCATTTAACAATTACCAACTTTTTTGGTATTCTTTTTACAAACATGAGTGTTTTTAGTGTTTTTTTTGTACAAAATACACCAACAAATTTGTCATGCCCACATAATACAACAAAATACACTATTCTTTTATGCTATTAGGCTGAGGTCACACATCATGGTCTATCTCATTTTGCTAGACAAGCCACACATACATTGTTACATTGTTAGGTTTACGCTCAATTACATTATTGGGAAAATATTCTTGGCTTAGGTCGATTGCTTTGGTTTTGGTTCGGTTAATGCGACTCGGTCTCGATTCAACACCAGAGCGTGAATTCAATAGTTGAATGCTTTAGAGCTCGCAGATGGGGACAACTCTTTTCGTTTACTCTCTAGAAGGGAAAGCAAAAGCCTAATAACAAGAATCTTATTATACCTTCTCCAACAAGTTACCACAAAACAAACAAGCAAGATCATTCTATGCAGGTAGAACAAAAGAGACTAACTTGGAACAAAGCCTATTCATAAGAGCGAGAGACAGAGACAGACCTATTCCTATTAGAGCCTTAACACATATTGACTATCAGACATTAGAAACTACCTAACCTTTGGATTATCGGGAGATTAAGATAAAGATAAGAGAAGATAGAGAAGAGAGAAGAGAAGAGATCTGAAACTCATAAATACATAGATAGCTTAGTTCCTTTTATTCAAAGACCCTCTGCTTCCAATAGTGACTCTTACCCACTTCTTCTTCCTTAGTTTTCTTCTCATACTTTCTCACTGCTCTTCCACTTCTAACTCCTTTCCTTACAAATGCCAATGGAACAGCCAACCTATCACTACCATTGTCTGATGGGATCATAAAGGATTCGATCTCGCGTTTAGGAACCTGAAGACCCACTCTTGAACCTGAAGATCCACCATTGGCTGATTGCCTTGGTGCTTCAACAGAGCAATAAAGCACATGTGGTGTTGAGCTTTCTCTCTGAAACACGAGTTTGGCGATAAGGTCCGCTGAAAGATCAATGTCAAGCTTATAATCTGCCGCAAGTTCAATGATAGCGCTCAATCTTCCAACATCTTTGTTATCAACCTAAAAGATAAACAAACAAAACTTATATTTATAAGCTCTACATCAAATGACCAAGATTAAACACATGGGAAACCAATTCTTACTTTCCCTAGCGCTGAGCGTTTTAAATTAATGACCTCTTTCATTAAAAGATTTTGAGCTGAGAAATCTTTAAGCTTGAACAAACATACAAGTCGGGCTGCAGGAATATAATGACGGTCATTTATGAGACCTAGAACACATTCTGCAAAAGATATAAATTTTTTAGTAAGATTTTACTTCTTACTTCTGTCTTTAATGTATCAGAAATGTTTTGGATACTAACCTGGGATTTTAGGTTCAAGACCAAGTGAATGAAAGAGCTTTGGACCCTGTCTGTAATGAAAAACAGATGTGACAAGTAGCGCAGTTTCTTCTTTATTGATCAAACTCTTTATTTCATATGCCACAATGAACAACAAAAAAGCCAAAGCCTCAATAGATGATCTTGGAGCTTCAGTTCTTATCAAGCACTTCCACAAATTTGCCACACTTGTAGCCTTAAGCTGCAGATGAGGCTTGTCCAATACTCCAATATCCGCTATCTCTTCAAAAAACAGAACCAAATTCTCAACTACTAACTCCCGTAAACCAGATTCTTTTCTTTGATGAGCATCCCTTACTTCTCCCTCCACTAGTTCCAGAACATAATCTGCTGGATTACATTTAGCTCTAAGAATATTGGAGACTTCATGGTAACCAATAGATGCTGATGAGATTTTATAACGCATGAAAGGATCTCCAATAAACTCCTCAGTCTCTACTGCAACTAGCTGTTGCTCGTGCTTAACAACCACAGTGCTAGTCTGTCTTATCTCTTTCTTCTTCATCTCAAGTTCGTTTTGAGTATTCACTACTGATTCCCTAACCTTAATGAGTGTCTTTTCTTCTGACTTGATCTGGTTCCTCAGGGAATTAAGTACCTTTTCTTTGACACCTGCTTCAATCTCCGCATCTTTAATCCTCTGCGTCTTTTCCTCAAGTTCACTTCTTTGCAGCTCAATCTGGTTCCTTAACAAACCAAGTTCCGTTCTCTTGTCACCAGCTTCAGTCTCCGCTGCTTTAATCTCTTTCTCCTTTTCTTCAAGTGCATCAGTTTGAATCTTAATCTTTTCTTCGATTTTCCCAAGACATAAGCTCAAAACCTGAAGCTGGTTTTCTTCTGACCTGACATGGTTCCTAAGAAAATCAAGCTCTTTTTCTATGTCACTTGACTTAGTCTCACCAGCTTCAATCTTCCTCTGTATCTTCTCCAATTCCAAGCTCAAAGCTTGAAGCTTTTTCTCCTTCCTTTCTACTTCCTGAGACCTCTTTACAATATCAGATTCAAGCATATCAATATGGTCCTGCAAACTCTTCAATATCCCAGCCGATTTAGTTTTGTACTTCTCCAAAGATTTGCAAATTTTCTGTCTCTTAGACTCACTGTTGAGTCTAGTAACCGTCAGTGTCAACTCATCCTCAACACAAGTCTGCTCCATCGCAACGAACAACAGTGTGGCTTCAACAACAACAAAGATTTAACACTCAACCTGGAAAATCCGACTTTATGGTAAGTGCAGGAACCTAAGCTGAGCAGTTTTTATAACAAAATCGACCAAACAGAGTAAGAGTTTAGACTAATGTAAAGAGAAACTAAACTCTAAACGAAGAAATAACAAGAAATCGAACATACCTTCAAACTAAACTTCAGAAAGATAAACAAAAACCAAAACTTCAGGAACCATGTGAACGAAGTGAAGAAGATCAGAAGAACATCTTTGTAAAATAAAAACCCTAACTTTTTGAACGAAAGTAAGAAAATTTTAACAACATTAGCAAACAACAGAGATAGAAGGAAACAGAGAGCAAAGGAGACGTACTAAAGAGAAAAGTTGCAGAATTGAGCAGTGGCAACTTTTGCGTGTAGAGTGAGAGAAGACTGTACTGCAGAAGACTGGGAAAAAAAAAATTGACTGTAGATTTTAATGGAGCGAAGAGGAGATTTTTTTTGTTTTTACTGTATTGCCCTCTGAAATTGTAGCCGTTGCGATGGGCTTAACAGGAATAAAGGCCCATTGCGTTTTATCCAATGAGTTCTGTCCAGTGTTTTAAAAATGCTTTGACGTGACAGAAGTCCTGATTCTTTATGGGTTTTGATTAATTGATATTTTCATTGTAATTTTATCTTGAAATTTTTATTGTAAAAATACAAATTATGACTTTTGATTTTTAGCAAAGTTACATTATGTTGAAAAGAAAATACTCATCTTACGAACAAATGAGAGAAGTATTTTTATTTTCTCAAATGAGAGAAGTTAGACTTTAGGAAATTTTAGAAACAGCTTTTAAAGTCTAAAGACCAAAGTTTCTACAGTTTTAAAAATCTAAACAACAATCGGTTCCTTACATTTTATTTCTAATATACTGTAATATTAATTAAACATGTACAACTTCCTAGTGAAGATATAAAATTACATAAAATTTAAAATTAGATAGGGCAAAACTTAAAGCATTTAATTTATATTGAAGAAAATCAAAATATATAAATTTGGTGAAATTTTTTTTTTTTTAATCAAAATTTGGTAACTCTAGCTAGATATATAGAGGATGATGTCTTTCATGTTATATATAATTTCCGTAGAAGTAAAATGCAGTCTTTTTTTTTTTTTTTTGTATCAACGTCACACTCACACACATATATTTAAAGATATATATGTAATAGAATTTATTAAACTGAAGTATCTAAAGATTTTTAACTGATAATGCATGAATACATAGTTCAGACTTCAGAATATAATACCCGAAACAAGATTTATAGAAACCTCTCGAGACTCGTTTTATTATTCATGCCAATGGCAACAGCTGATGATGAAAAGAGTAGAACATACTTTAAAAGTTTTATTGAAGCTCAAGATGAAAACTTGAGTTTATGAGAAAACAAAAAAGAAGAAGAAGAACGTAACGTGCATGGTAGTAGGAATCATCCGACGATTGGGCGATTTTGGACAGGACCATTGGGACAATCTTCGGCAGGAACAAAGAGAATGACACGGTTGCAACAATTGATGGAAGGTAGATAAACACCTAGAGGGTAAATGAAAGCTGTCACACGTGGATTGTCACTTTCTATTGTTGCCTTTGCTTGAAGTCCACTCACTCCTTTTAGCTCTGGCCACTCCACTTTCAATCCTACACACATGCAATGTACATCATGCAAATGTTTAGTCTTTCGTATTATATACATATGGTTCAAATTATGGTATTCGTCATGTTAGTAAGAACATGTTTGGTCAATTAGGGTTTTAGTTTTGATAAAAACAACTTAGTTTCCAAATCATATCACAAACATCTACAGTTTACTTTTCGCTTTACATACAAACTCAGCATTCAATTGAAAAAAAAAAGAAAAAACTAGATTTGAAATGTTTTTGACGGTCTATAATATATAGTTGATCCGTAAGATACACATCGTGCTTTTTTTTTTTTTTTTTTTTTGGTTTGTAAACACACATCGTGCTCTTTAAGATATCTCTAATACAACACAATTCACTTTTATCATGTGTAGGAGAACTAAGAACTTGATAGATGAACATTACCTGGGAACTGAGATTGGCATCCACGGCCTGAGCAGTCACAGAGATCACACTTGGGACCAAGGATCGGACATTTGTAGTTTGACATTTTTTTTTTTTGTTGTTCTCTCTTTTGTCAGATTTTACTTCACAAGAAGATTGATAATCTTTCAAGTGATATACTTTTCATTTTACGTGTAGAACAACAACATATATATATATAGCAAAGAATGTTGTGTTGCCTTGTGAGCCTATTCATTACAAAGGCTATACGTTATTGTAAGGAATGCTTTAATTGAGTATAACTTAAGTATAAAGACACGAAACTTATTTTTTTGACTATTTGTTAGGCACAATCGAAACGTTTGATAATAACTGCTTTTTATTGTCTCTAAAACTACTTGTAAATCTTAATTTCCGTATTTTAAAACAGTAATTTTTTTTGTGTCGAGAAATTAGAAATGTCATTACACTACAAGAAAATGTTTGATTTCCTACTACAGATATGATAGGAAAATGGTAGAAAACACGTGTTTCCTTCTATTTTCCTACGAAAATAATTGTAGGATATCTCCCATAGGAAATCTTTGTTGGTCAAAATTTGGTAGGAAATTTCCTACCAAAAACTTTCAAAAAAAACTTTGTAGGAAATTTCCTACCAAAAACTTTCAAAAAAAACTTTGTAGGAAATTTCGTAGGAAAATCGAAACAAATTTTATAACCCATTTCCTACAAAATTTGTCGTAGTAAATATATTTTTACTAATTTCCTACCACACAACTTTTACGACTTTCCAACAAAAAAAATAAATATAAATTATTTACTTAATTTAAAATACTTATTGTAGTATCAAAATTAAAAAAAAAAAAAATTTTGTCATAATTAAAATTAATTTATAAATAGCTAATGATATTAATCCGAAAATATAATAAATTAATATTATTTCATAAAGAATACAATTCTGTTTTTTTAAATACAGTAGTCAAACCTAACCAAAACCACTATACGGTCGGTTAAGATTACAAACAAATATTAAATATCTACAAAACCGGCCTAAACTGGAATAGAACACACATCCGTGAAGATCACCTCCGTGAAGATAAACGTCTCCGTGAAACTGCTTTTGACACAACACCTCCGTGAAGATCAACGTGAAGATGATTTGTCGCCGAAAAAACAGCCATCCAACCCAAATTATTGTAGCCTCGGAGTGAGAGAAAGTAGACTATATGGACCTTCGAAATCCTTCTTCCCTATTCACGTCTTCTTCTTTGAAATCCTCTCGATCTTCTTATAAGATCTGAAAAAATAATAGATGAGAACATGATATTAGATGGTATCAAATGAGAGATTTCGATAAAAAAAAACTAGGAAGACTAAGCAAGAAGATAGATACAAAGACATACTTTAGTATCATTGGGTAGTAGCAGACAACGAACCACAATTAATAAGAAAAAAAAACAGGAGCTTAACAAAAGTGAAAAAGAAGAAGAAGCGGCTGCAACAAATGAGGCAGTTAACTTTTCATTTATATATCGCTAGGGTTTTAATTATAGATAATGTGTCTAGATTCAAAGCCCAGGTTTTAAAAGCCCAATACAAAAACTTTTAATATAGTATTATTCCAAAAATACCTTATTATAATATAAAATTGTATGTAATATTTCTAACATAAATGTGTATTAAGAATATATATACAAAATATAGAAAATTAGAAAACGTAAAAGAAAAGTTCACAAAGAAACATAATACATAGTTCTATCTTTTACAATTTTCATGTAAATTTTTTTGGCTTAATAGATATTAATAAAATTGACAATTTTTTTTTTTAAACTAATGATAAATAATTGTGATACTAGTGTCAAAATTGACACATATATTATATATAAACTAGTGTCATAGGATATTGGACCATACTTTCCTACCAGATTTCTATTATGAACGTTCTTATCATTTTCTTTCTAATTTCCTACCATATTTACTACGACTACTGTTTCGTATGAATTTGGAAGGAAAATTTCCTATCAAATTTTTAGGTGTTTTTTCCTTCCATCTTGCTTCGGTTTTCTTACGACATTTCCTACGAAAATTTTGTTTGTAAGATTCTCGTAGGAAATTACCTACGATTTTGTCATATTAATTTTCGTAGGAAATTTTCTTCCTATTTCCTACGAATATCTATTTTCGTCAAAATCGAATAGGTTTTTGGTAGGAAATTTATCCTACCAAATTTTTTGTAGGAAATTACGTAGGATATCATCATGTTTTCTTGTAGTGTTAGTTTTATGACTTTATTACAAATTAACTTTATATTAGTCTTCTCATCTACATGACTACATGTAGATTATTATGGATGAACCAATTCTTGAGCATAACTCGAAAAACCCCACTCTTCAATATAATGGATACTTGTTAGTTGTTACTCATATATACTTCTCCTGTGATCATCATCACTATGAAACATTCTTTGAAAACACTTCATCTTCTTTTGGAAGATTTTCGCCATCTCTGTGTGAACTATTTCTTGTTGGATCCTCATGCGTTACTACAAAATTTACAACATACAAAGAGTCAATATTATATAGTGTCACTGGAATCTTTGCTTTTTCTTTTATTATACAAAATTTCTGCTTTTACACACGTCCTGATCTAGAGGAGAATCCACAAAAGGAAGTTGCATGTTTGTGTCAATGATAAAGCTAGTTTACGGTTCCTTTTCTTGCTTGACAATACGTTTTTAACCAAGCCTAATGCAAACAACTATGAAAAACATGGCAAGATGATGCAACGACGGGTACCCAATGAGACCAAACAAACGTGCATTTATAATTTTGATATCCAAATTTCTTGCCTTTTCTTCATACTTCATAGTTTAAATAAATATAAATTGTAAAACATTTACTTGCTTTCTTTGGTTTTACAAACCTATCTTACTACCATCATCATTAATTATGATTATGTTAAAATTTGATAGATTTATTTCCTTAAAAAATTTGTACATCGAGTCTCTTACAAGAATCTGAAATGGTACTAGTTAAATGAATTAGACAAATAGGTATGGTAGTGTGTTTGTCACCTCGAAGTAAAGGTTGACAACTATCGTGATCAGTACAGTCGCAATCCTCCCAAAAAGAACTTATACATAGTTTTTTCTGGTCAGTAAAATTCAATATATGAATTTAATTTTTGTAATGATAACAGAAATACATAAGTAGAGTAACATGTTCTGGCCTAACACATATTCTGATTATATTTATATATTCATGTGATAATATTCAAATAAATGTAACCAAGTCGTGATGACTCAAAAGTCAAAAGTCAAATACCCCATATGCTTTCTGTAGTATTATTATTATTATTCAGTAGCTGGTTTTATTATTAAACGCGTTTTCGAATTTTACAATAATTATTTGTTTTTGCTTTAGAGAAAAACAAACAAATCGAGATCTTCCGGGCCACTTCCTTTATCCCTACTTCCCCTTACATCATTTACTTATGATATTTTCAAAATTCATTTATTTTTTATACATACATCAATTTCATACAAATAGACCTATCACCTATACAATATTGATTATTCTATAGTATGAGATATTTCTTCTTCTTTTATTGCTGTCGTCTGCTAAAACGATAGTAATAAATACGAATATATATATATATATATATATATATATATATATATACATACATAATTGTAAGATGAGTCCAAACAATTTTTAAATTAGTAGATGTTCTTTTATATCAGAAATCTACCATCAAATGAATCACTATATTGAACATCTTCAATTTTGACGTCTATAATTTTTCTTTTTTTACCATGTTCGTTAAAAAGGTTAAATGTAACTCGAAATGTTTTCATAAGTACAATAGTTTACTTTAAAATGTTTAATTACAGAATTACAGTGACAAAAATATCCAATTTAAATACGAAAATAAATGTTTGGAATCTCCATTATGAAAAAGAATAACAATAATTCAATAATAAAGTGTATAGTCATAATTTAGGTACTACATTTAAAATTGCAAAACCGTGGACCGAAAAATAAAAAAACTGCACCGCCAGTTCAAGGATTATAGTTACAACAAGCTATTCATTGATTTGACTTTTAAATCTTAAGTATGACCAACTTGTTTATATAAAAGAAAAATAAAGAATGAAAAGAGATCTAAATCAGTTTAGTCCTAATCAAGACTTCTAAGTTCTAACCTAATTATTCATTTTAATCAAAGTTATTGGAATACTGAAGATGAGGAATACGAAATAAACAAATTAGTTAAGAAGAATAATATAAGTAAATCACCATTAGGTCTTATATAAACTCTTTGGCATTGCCGCATTAGCTTGGTTCGGTGCATTTGGAGGACCGACACGACACTGCACGTGGCAAATTATTTCCCTTTTGCAGATATAATTCAATGTGTTTGTTTTGTTTTCAAAATTTAAATTCTTTTGAAGATAATTAATAAAATCTTCTGAGCAGAACTGATATGGACTTTAGTTTCTTTAGATTCCATCCAGACATAAGTATTAAGTTTTAGTTCGGTAATAAGGTCATTACTAGTCTATACCGTACCTAATATATGTACATTACTGTTTTTATTTTTGAATGAGAGTGAAACAAATTTTATAAATGGAGATTTCTATTTTTGATATAAATGAGCTACTTAAGAATTTTTCATAATTACAAAAAATTATTAACTATTTTTATATGAGCTCCTTAGGAATTTTCATACTTGCATGCAGTCAAATCACTCAAAGAGCATATTGACAACGATTTTTTTTTTTTTTTCTTTTGAGATTTATATGATAACTAATTTATTTAGAATTGATTTGTTGATGGGTTGATCCAAAGATGTAGATGTAGGTAGTTGCATGTGTTTTTCCTCCATATATAGATAGATTGTAATTTGTGATTAGAAATCCATCTACATCTTTGGATCAAACGCCCCATTTTCTTCTTTTAGTATTTCCACATATAATAAAAAAAAAAAAAGAAGCAATTTACTCTAAAACCTAAAAAAAACTCAATGCAAATTACAACACGTTAAACCATTTTTAAATTTGATAAATTTATATTATAAAATTAAATGATAATATTTGATGTGGTAATTGATAATACTAATTATAGAAAATATTTAAAGGAAATAGAGTAACAATCGAAAAATTGAATAGTCATATGACTACGACCAGGGTAGGTTTCTTGAGACTCTTTAACGTTTTGGATATCTCGTGACCTGGTGAATACACGAAAGAAACAAATAACTTTATACTTAATTTTATATTAAATGAAACAAAAACAAACAAAAATTGTAATAAAAAAAAAAAGAAATATGAAAGGCTTTTTTCTTTGAACGTGTGGTATTCTCTGTATCCATCTATATAACAGAGAAGCCATCAATGGCTTTTCTTTCAACTTCTTAAACCTTACTCTCGAAGACTCCTCTCTCTCTCTCTTTACACATTTTTACGTTCACAAAAAAAAAAGCTTCTCAAAAGCTTCTCTACTTGAATAAGAAGAATCTGAAAGAGCCAATTTCTCAAGGTAAAGCTTCTTGTTTACTTATATAAAACTGAAGTTTCCATTAGCTTTTTAAAGATGTTTTTGTTTGAGTCCTTCCATTGATCTACAAAGAACTAAGTTTTGTATGTTGAGCTTAAGTGCTTCACTCAGATTTTCTTATTCAACCAAAGCTTTTTTTTGGGATAAATTATTGAAACTATAGCTTAGATAAGTCATAAGTTTATGGGATTCTTATTCGAACTATAGCTCAGATTTGTAAGTTTGTGGGATTTAAAAACAATGAAGGTCGTCTTCAATTGTTTATGCATAAGATCTTGCAATTCTTGGTTTATACAATCCTATTTTTTTGTCAATTGTTTTGGTTCAAGAAGTTATTTTTTTTCTAAATTAGTCGGCGGTCCAATAATCGTACTAATAAAATTTTGCAATATTTGGATTTAACCAAATTACATTTTTTAATTTAAAATCGTATAACTCATTATTTACATGAGTCTCAATTTGCCCTTCCCGACGCCGGCAATTGCGGTCTGTTTAACTGTTTGTGAGTTTGGTCGAGAAGGGTAGTTTCGAATACTCACTCTCATAGTTCATTATAGAGCTACCATCTAAAATAGCATTTAATACAAATGCAATTTAATAACTATAGAAACGAAATAATTACTAATTAAATTTTTTCAAGTAATCCTTTCTTCCTTTTAATAGATCGTGTCTTGTCTCTTGACTAATAATTACTGTGAGTAAAGTAGTTATTCTTATAATTAATGGCTTTTATTTCCACCAAAAAAATTAATGGCTTTTATTTACAAATCGTATTTAAAATTCATAATCTATAGTTTATATTTTTTGGTGGATTACACTCATCGAGGTAAATAGTAATACTACAGCTAACTTAAACACACACATGGGACTGGTCACTTTTGTTCCCCCGACTTTTTTGGTGTCCCAATGAACCAATGGTGATACTTTTATATAGACTATAGTTTCTGAATTCAATAGTTTATTATTTTCAGTCACGCTGTGGATACAGATACAACAAAAGTTAGCCTTATTTTAACACAATTTGGTAGGAAAAGAAAAATACACGTGTAGCTAATATATGTGTTACTTCGGACAACATTATTCTTACTATTTGCAGACAAAAAAAGATTATTCTTACTAATTTTTTGAGCTGTTTTATTTTGTTATAGAATGGTGAGGCTTAAGCAATTGTGGTCAAGTTTGTTAGTGTTAGCTGTGGTGGTGATTGGAGCCAGAGCTGTGCCCATCACATATCTTGAATCCGCTGTGGCTAAAGGAGCTGGTAAGCTATAATTTTTGTTTTCTCTTTGAAATGCTTAAGACGTAAAGATTTGAGCATGAGAACAAAAGAACTAATTACTATTTTTTTGTTTGTAGTGTGTTTGGATGGTAGTGCACCAGCGTACCATTTCGATAAGGGATCTGGCTCAGGAGTGAACAATTGGATCGTTCATATGGAAGTTAGTTTACTATTATTTCTTCTTTTGTTTAAATATTATCAAATTAATTAAATATGTAACTATGTAAACATTAGGGAGGAGGATGGTGCACTGATATAGCTACATGCGTGCAACGTAAAAGTACAATGAAGGGTTCATCTAAGCTTATGAACAAAGACTTTGGTTTCTCTGGTATCTTGGGTGGCAAGCAAAGCACCAATCCAGGTTCATAATATGTTTTTTTATTTCTTTTCATTTTGGTCAATGAATTAATGATTTGTTTTCTCATGTTTTTATGCAATGAGATGACTAAATCGGATTTGAGTATTTTTGCAGACTTTTACAATTGGAACAGAATCAAAGTTAGGTATTGCGATGGTTCATCTTTCACTGGTGATATTGAAGCCGTTGATCCGGTAATTCACTAGACCATTATTACCTACCTCACGAAACAATTAGTTGAAGTTCCAAATTTTAAGACTCGAATTTGTGATATTTTCAGACGAACAAGCTATTCTTTCGCGGTGCTAGGGTATGGCGTGCGGTGATCGATGATCTTATGGCTAAGGGAATGAGCAACGCTCAAAACGTATGAACACTTAGATTTTCAATAATGTTTCTAGTTTAGCTATTGAATTTTTAAGCTGTTGGAATTTAAACTTTTTGGTTACATGAACTTTCAGGCTATACTATCCGGTTGTTCGGCTGGAGCATTGGCTGCGATTTTACATTGCGACCAATTCAAGTCCATTCTCCCTAAAACCGCTAAGGTCAAATGTGTTTCTGATGCCGGTTACTTCATCCACGGGTAACAACATTCAATTATCTCTATAGAGTCACATAAAAAATTGCATAATTCAAATAGCATCCTAAAAACACAAAATAACACATTTTGTGTCGGTTTAACAGTAAGGATATCAGTGGAGGATCTTACATCCAATCATACTACGGCAAAGTCGTAGCGACCCACGTACGATATATCTCTCTTTCCCAACCACATTTCTCTAATGTATATTTGATCTATCCCATCGTGGCTAATCTTGATAACTATATACAGGGATCTGCAAAGAGTCTGCCAGCTTCTTGCACCTCAACCATGAAGCCCGAATTGGTAAATCTACTGAAAACATACTGGATAAAAGGCATTTTTCGTGTTCGTTATATCATATTAACGCTATGTTTAAATTGTGTTTACAGTGTTTCTTCCCTCAATACGTTGCTAAGACCTTGCAAACACCGCTTTTCGTCATCAATGCCGCCTTCGATTCTTGGCAGGTTCGGTTTTGTTCCTATTATTATTACTTTTTCGCAGAAATAATTGACTTGAGAGATCAAAGGCCTAACTTAGATTTGAATTCTTTTGTTTCTTGGCAGATCAAGAACGTTTTGGCGCCTACCTCTGTTGACAAAAGCAAAGCGTGGAAGACTTGTAAGCTTGATCTTAAGAAGTGTACCGCCTCTCAGCTTCAAACCGTTCAAGGTATATATATTTTACCTAACCCGAATTAATAAACAAATACTATGTTTTGATATCTTCTTGACAAATCTTTATTATGAAATCTCAGGATACAGAGACCAAGTGTTGGCTGCATTGGCACCGGTGAGAGCTGACACTACTAGCGGATTGTTCTTAGACTCATGCCATGCTCATTGCCAAGGTGGAAGCGCCGCGACTTGGTCTGGTGACAAAGGTCCTACAGTCGCCAATACGGTAATCACTTGATTTTTTTTTCTTATGAACTTCTTTCTAACATTTTAGAATTTTTCATAAACAAAATTAGTAATTTGAGGATGAACTTTTATTCATTATCTTTATTTGGATATGTTGTTACAGAAAATGGCTAAGGCAGTTGGAGATTGGTTTTTTGAGAGGAGTACGTTTCAGAACATAGATTGTTCATCTCTGAATTGCAACCCTACTTGTCCTGCAGTATCTACTGAAGATTAGAATGTTATTATACTGATGTTTTTAAAAAAAAATTGAAATATTTATTCATCTTTTTGAATATTGTTCTTGAAATTTAAAAATACAATGAATAATTGACTTCAATTATTATTACATTTGAATAAATACATTTATTAAGATCATTTGCACTGTAATAATTCTTCAATCATTTAAGCTATTTTATATCATAATTTTCTTTTAAATTGTGTTTGTACCTTATTAATAAATAATTTATCTTATATATTAAGGGTTCATGTGTTTGGAAACCTAAGCTTGTAACTTTGAACCACATTGACAGAAATTATAATAGAGAAACAAAAAAAGATGTTCATCAAACTCATAACAATCAATGGATTTACTGAGATTACATCTTTGGATCAATTTGGTTTACATGTTTTAAAATGTGAATTTTGTTTTTCCAGTGTAAGCTACAAACAACAAGCAAAAACACAACATTTTGATTCAGCTGCAGACAAAAACCCATGATTGTTCTTGGTCTCTAGTAGAATCATAATCTTTGAGCATCATATGTATGTAAGACTGTATTCAATGCTGTTCAGAAGATGTATCATGTCTACATATATCTCCTCGACATAGCGGGCATACTCTGCATCGTCGTACAAAAATCATCAGATCATCTCATACACCGAAAAAGTGAGAAGTAAGTTGTCACCAAAATTCACATTCATACCTATGAATCTCCTTGAGCCATTTATCCACACAGGTTTTGTGGAATTCATGACGACAAGGAAGTGTCCTTATAGTGTCTGCTTCTTCATACTCCACAAGGCATATGTAACATCTGAAAGGATTCCAGATAAAATTTGAAAACATGTTTAACCATATGGTCTCCACTTTTGAGCACCACAATATAACAATAAAACTATGAGAATTTAGTAGGCATTACTGTGACGAATCCTCGCTTTGTGACTTGGTGTAAAGTTTTGTCGGTAATAAGTCCACAACATCGTTAGGTGCAGGGACGGATCCTATAGATGATACTGATGGTTGTTGAGAGGATAAGACAACAGACTGCTGATGAATTTCATCAAGTACCTAAAATGAATACACTTGAAACCCTTAGCATACAAAGAGAAAGAATGAGAGAGTGTCAAAAAGCTGTTAATGGGAACACCAGTGACATGTATCTACCTCGAACAGAGCTTCAGCTAGCAATACTATCCTTGAAATGCTAGCTCTTGCATTTGTTTCATCAGTTGTTGCTGCTGTGGAACCACGGTTAGTAACCGCACGACATGTGCAACGACCTGGTTGATCTTGACCTGATAAGACACAAGATCTATCATGGCCTGTGACATTTTCAAACCGGCTTCCTAATCTTTGAAGAGCCCGAACCTGTAGTATTAGTTATTATCAGTTAGTTAGATCCTCAATTTATCAGATACATCAAGCATCAAGGAAGAAGATAATCGTTGAGTTCCAGACCTGTGATCTTATTCTCCTCCTCCTTTCAAGGAAATCTGATCTGTGTTCTAATAAACCTTGATACCTCCCTTCTCTCGCAAGAGGAGCTGGGGTCTCGTGATCTTGAATGCCGAATAAGGTCCTTCGAATGCTAGAAGCGGAACGGTTTAGTATAGACGTTGAAGTTACAGGAGTATCCTCTGCTGCCGCGGTTTCAGTAGAGAAGAGATCAGTATCTTCTTCTCCCTGATGTGGCGTAGCACGGAATGTGAAATCAGAGAGTGAAGATCGGCGAAGAACTCTGTCACGGAGTCTTCCAACGCTCAGAGTTCTACTAAATCGAACATTTCGCTCAATGGAAGGTAATCGAACAACATGTCTTCTATCAAGAATTCCAGCATAAGTACTGTCTAGACCATTAACTATTCTCGGAGAACGTAAGCTACCATCTTCCCCAAATCTCATGGCATCAATATCTCTACCTACATTGTCAATCACAGGAATCCTCGGAGACTCGATTCTATCAAGTAGCCTAATAGCAGATTCTGAAGGTGAAGTAACACCTTCTTCTCGACGAGACGAGGAAACCGGATAAGTAGTGTTGAAGGATCTTGAGCTTGAAGCTCTACTAAGTCTAGAGCTTATGTTACCAGGAATGAATTTGAAATGCGAAAAAACACGACCTGGAGTAGAAGATTCTTGAATCGAACCACTAACATTTCTCATCTGTACATTGCTTACAATAGCTGCCTCTTCTTCTTCTTCAACACCACAGTCATCATCATCAAGCTCAAGCTCATCACAATGTCTCTCGTTTTCAGATTTCTTCTCATCTTTCAATTCTTTATCATAACAATCTGAATCATCTCTTTGATTCCTTGATTCCATTCTACGCCGTGAAACACTTCCATGACCCTTTCTCATCCACCCATTACACACCTGGAAGAAATCAAGACTCATGAATTTGACCTAATTGCATAAAACAATTAGAACTGCATTGAAAAAAATCAAAACCAGACCTGTTCATCATTATTATCATCGTCACTTTCATGAGAAGTAGAAGATGAAGCAAGGCATGAAGAGTGAAGACCACAAAAAAGACTCTTTGACCTTCTCCTCCTTCCACCACCACCACTAGAAGACGACGGAGGAGGTTGAGCCACGTCGACATCATCTCCTCTTGCCACAGGCGACAACGACGAGCCTCGACATGATTTGCTCCGGCCAGATCCCATCTTCTTCTCAAAAAGCAAACAACTTTATGCTAAAATCACATCATTGCCACAAGACCCACAAGTTTTTTTCCTTTTCCCCAATCTTGTTCTAACCCAAACCAATCGAAACCTCCCAAGTCAAAATCCAAAGATCGAAACTTTATACTCAAATCTTTACATTGAAACCCGAATTCGTCATTGACAATGCAGAATCAAAAGCCCTAATTATTGAATCCCAGATCTGAAACTCGTAAAAATTGCAAGAAAACCTCGAAATCTGAAATCTTTTTTGCGAGGGATTAATGTAGGAACTAAGCTATGTGTTGCCTTTAATCAAAAGAGGAATGCTTTGAACAAAAGGAAAGATTTTTTTTAGGTGATCGGAGTTATCGAAGAAGGAGACAAAGCACCTATCTGCGATAGAGAGAGAGACTTTTACGGGAAGAGTGTGTTTTTGATGTTCGAACGAGAGGGAACAATAAACCAAACACTCCAATTTCTCTAATATTTTTGTGTCTCTACTTTATTTTTTCTATTCAAATTATTATAATAGTTTGAATTCAAATTTTTATTTTTATTTTTTTGTTAATCATAATTGGACTTCATTGTGGACTATAATTGAGTTTTTATTTGAAACGGTCATAAACACACAAAAAGACACTGTGAAGAAGTCAAGAAACTAAAAAAAAATCATTACCGACAAATAAAACTTGTTGTAATATAATTGAATCGAAATTTTCTATTTTATATATTTCTTCTATTTCATAATTTTTCTTATATAAGAAGGATTTTTAAATTTTGTGTAGCATCTTATATACCCTATTTGTATTTTGTTTATTTTAGGTCCAACTTGTAATATATTTATGAATTACAAAAACTTATGAATTCAACTGTTCTTAACCAGATAGATTTTTTTTACTTAAATTTTGGTTTTTTAATCAAATTATAATTATTAAGTATTTTTGATTAATTATAAAAAAAACCATAATTTTATAATGGAAAAAACTCAAATCCGGGCAGAGGAGATGATGAAAAAAAAAACCATAATTTTCATTTTCTGCAAAGAAAAACCATAATTTTTACTTTTTCAGTGAAACAATTTTGTATAGAAAATTGGGTTATATTAGTAATTTTGTTAATGATAGACGTTTAATGTAATTAATCATAATTATCGACCTTTATATGTAAATCCATAGAGTTACAAAAAAAAATCTCAAATGGGAAACATCAGAGAAGCGAGCAACTTCACGACACAAAAATGCACACTCTGAACAACACCACCACCGGTTCGCAAGATCCGAATCTCGACCCGATTCCGCCGGACCCGGATCAATTTCCCAACCGAAGCCACAATCACCATCCACAGACTCGCCGTCCTCGCGGATTCGCCGCGGCGGCTGCAGCAGCGTCGATAGTTCCAACGGAAAGCGATGTAAACAACGGAAACATCGCCGGAATCGGCGGTGGAGAAGGAAGCAGCGGCGGCGGAGGAGGAGGGAAAGGGAAGAGAGAGAGGGAGAAGGAAAAAGAGAGAACGAAGCTTAGAGAAAGACATAGACGAGCAATCACAAGTAGAATGCTCGCCGGATTGAGACAGTACGGTAATTTTCCGTTACCGGCGCGTGCTGATATGAACGATGTGATCGCTGCTTTGGCTCGTGAAGCTGGTTGGAGTGTTGACGCCGATGGTACTACTTACCGACAATCACATCAACCAAACCATGTGGTTCGAAATTTTCAAAACCCTTTCTTTCAAAATCCAAAATTTTCAAATTTGATGACTCTTTAAGCTATTTTCATTGAGGGTTTATATGAAAAGCTGATTACTTTGTGTTGAACTTCCCAAAGTTATAAGCTTTGTTCTGTTGTCAATGTAACTTATTGATTGTTTTATGCCATTGGGTAGGTTCAGTATCCGACGAGATCTATTGAGAGTCCTCTTTCGTCTAGTACATTGAAGAACTGTGCTAAGGCTGCTCTTGAATGTCAGCAGCATTCAGTTCTTAGAATCGATGAGAATCTTTCTCCTGTGTCTCTTGATTCTGTGGTTATCGCTGAGAGTGATCATCCCGGGAATGGAAGGTATACTGGTGCTAGTCCTATCCCATCAGTCGGATGCTTGGAAGCCAATCAGGTGAATAAGAAAAGTAAACTTAAATTCATTGCATTGTTAGGAGAATTGGCTTTGAGCTGGACTTCTTCTTATCGAACAGTTTTGTTGTTTCTTGACAGCTTCTACAAGATGTTCATTCCACAGAGCCACGTAATGACTTCACAGAGAGCTTTTATGTCCCTGTGTACGCCATGCTTCCAGTGAGCTTCTGATAGAGAACTGTGTGTTTTAAGTGTAGATAATATATACATATTTGTTTAAACCACTTTTGTGGCCATCCATAGTTTTCTTGAGCTTAAGTTCTATTTTTTATCTCTCAGGTTGGCATTATAGACAGCTTTGGCCAGTTGGTTGATCCTGAAGGTGTAAGACAAGAATTAAGTTACATGAAGTCATTAAATGTCGATGGAGTGGTAATAGATTGTTGGTGGGGAATAGTTGAAGGTTGGAATCCTCAGAAATATGTATGGTCTGGCTATAGAGAGCTGTTTAACCGTATCAGAGACTTCAAACTTAAACTACAGGTGTGAACTAGTTTAATTGTAGAGCTTCTTGAAATACATCCTATGAGACCAAACTGTAACTATCACGATAAAGGACCGTCTTTTCATAATATCTTAGCAATTAGCATATTGTTTACTTGAAGGTGGTGATGGCATTTCATGAATATGGAGGGAATGCATCTGGAAATGTGATCATCTCGTTGCCACAGTGGGTGTTGGAGATTGGGAAAGACAATCCAGACATATTTTTCACTGATCGTGAAGGAAGAAGAAGTTTCGAGTGTTTGAATTGGAGCATTGACAAAGAACGGGTATTGCATGGACGAACTGGTATAGAGGTACTTAAGGAACACTCATTGATAATATTGTTAAGTATTTTGGTCTATTATGTCTCATTTCCTCCCCTTTGTACAGTCTAGATTATTATTTCTTCATGTTCAACACTTGATTATTCAGGTCTATTTTGATTTTATGAGAAGCTTCCGGTCAGAGTTTGATGACTTGTTTGTGGAAGGACTAATTGCTGGAGTTGAGGTTGGTCTTGGAGCTTCTGGTGAACTAAAGTACCCATCTTTCCCAGAAAGGATGGGTTGGATTTATCCCGGTATTGGTGAGTTTCAGGTATTATTCAGATTACTGAACTTTACTTCAACCTTATGACTAGTGGAGTCTATGCATATGATTGTATATATCAATTTACTATTTGTCCTATTGCAGTGTTATGACAGATATTCTCAATCGAATCTGCAAAAAGAAGCAAAATCACGAGGATTCGCTTTCTGGGGTAAAGGACCAGAGAATGCTGGTCAATACAATTCTCAGCCACATGAAACTGGGTTTTTCCAAGAAAGAGGTGAATACGACAGCTACTACGGCCGCTTCTTCTTAAATTGGTACTCACAATTGCTAATCGGTCATGCTGAGAATGTTCTGTCTCTTGCAAGTCTCGCGTTTGAGGAGACAAAGATTATTGTCAAGGTATAAACTTTTTCGCACTTGTCCTTCAAAATCAGTGATACCTATAACAGCGAAAACTCATACACCAATAACATTGCAGATACCGGCGATTTACTGGTCTTACAAGACAGCTAGTCATGCTGCTGAATTGACAGCAGGATACTATAACCCTTCAAACCGTGATGGGTACTCTCTTCTTTTCGAAACTTTGAAGAAGTATTCTGTGACTGTGAAGTTTGTGTGCCCTGGGCCACAAATGTCCTCCAATGAGCATGAAGAAGCATTAGCTGATCCAGAAGGTCTAAGTTGGCAGGTATGACACTTATGATTGATGACTGTATCTTTCTTGTTTCTCCCACAAATGTAATCTTAAGCCTAAAATTTTGTTATCTGTGGCAGGTGATAAATGCAGCTTGGGATAAGAAACTTCTTATTGGCGGAGAGAATGCAATAACTTGTTTTGATAGAGAAGTTTGTATGAGATTAGTGGATATAGCTAAACCAAGAAACCATCCAGATAGCAATCACTTCTCCTTCTTCACGTATCGTCAACCTTCTCCTCTAATTCAAGGATCCACTTGCTTTCCAGATTTAAACTACTTCATAAAACACATGCACGGTAAGATTTACCCTTACACTCAGATTGTGCTTTCCCCTAAGCTCCATTGTAAAATCTTTGTCTCTTACAACACTCTTTGTTTCTTTGCAGGTGAGATACAGAGATAAACAAAGTTTGGAAACACAAAACAGATTTACTAGGAGCTGCATGGTCTTATGATTCTTTAAGTAAGTGTTGTTTTGTTCATTCTCCTCAGGGCCTATATTTTAAGATGAAGATTTATCTTTTTTATATGTAAACCCCCAACACTTCACTAGCTTAATTTGAACGTACTAATTAACATAATTACTTGACTTCGTTATTAAAAATTCGAAATGTGAGTCTAATAATGTTTCTTAAACGCAATTATTCTAATTACACTCCGTAAAGCATAGTCATCTAGCCATTTGCTATATATATTGAAGCTTGAGTTCCATTCTTTAAGTTAAAATGTTATAGTTTTTTTTTTCTTTATTTTTCTTTTGAGGAGTCGAATGTGCAAATATAATTCGATAAACCAACTTTTATTACATGCCTGCGACCTAATTAGGAGAATGACAAGAAGGTATTATAAACCTCTTTGACTAAACACTGACAAGACATTTTCGCATGACAGAACTGAAACTGTTGCACTTAAACCTTTTTGACTAAATTGTTTGAGAAAATTCTTTTGACTATAATGCCCGAATCCGATTACGTTAATGATATCATTAACTTTGGTGAAAAAGTTACATCTTTCTTTTACAGTATGATTCAAAACATAATTCTGATAAAATCCAGACTTTTCATTATTGTATTTGACATTTTTAGATCTAACAAAATCTTAAAATTTAAAAAGACAGAGAAAGCAAAACATGTCCTTTTCTATTCGGTGGTAAACTGTTAATACGTATAATGTTCACGTCGTACATTAACAGATATCACAACCATCATAATTTTTCATGAAATATAGAAACTAAATCAACAAAAATGAGACTAAATTGGATGAACTCAAAGCACATCACCCTCATAACCCGATTTGACCTAATTGAACGGTATTGTAAGCAAAGCATGGTCGATTTTTCTAAGGCCGATCTTGTATATTTTCTTCGAATCAAGTCATTACCAAAGAGAAACGAAAAAAACTTTACCAAACAAATATCATGAAACACAGACCCTTGCTTTAAAGATAAGATCTCAATCATATAACATACTAAACTATTAAGAAATTGAATTGATCACATCATCGCTAATGTAGAACCAACATAAACCCTAAAACTACGAGATATACAGAGACCCGATCAGAATCTGATAAAATCTAAACTCAAATCACACATTAAACGTCATTAACTATGAATACTTTCAAAGACAAGATCTATATCTATATAGCTCCGAAACCCTAGATCCTAAAGTTTCCAAAACCTAGAACATCAATTCTCAAAACTTCATAAACAAACAAACAAAAAGACTCAATCTTTGCGGAAAAAACCTAGATTTGGAGAAAACCCAATACCATAAATCAAACAAATCACACAACTATCAACAAAAAATATAAAGATTCTACCGTAAGAAGAAGATCGAGTCAGATCTGAAAGTTTGATCCTTTTTTCCATATATTTTCACCTCGGACTCCGATTCAGTTGATGCAAGGCAGGAGCTCACAAGCCAACCATGACAAAACATATGTCGGAGTCAGCCAATCAGTTCCCGACCTGCACCAAGCGAATCCGAAACCGCCGGTAACTTTTTTTTTTGTAACCTTCATCGTATCTCTCTCTCTCTCTCTCTTTCTCATTGGAAAGAACAAAAGAAAAAGATGAAAGAGAAGAGAAAAGAAACAGTTACCAAATCTGGCAAAGATTTTTTCTATCAAATATCGGGACTTACTTTAGTCTCCTTCTGCTGAGTATTTAACCAAAATGACAGACCAACTATGTATTGACGCGTGTCCTTTTATTTCTGTGTCGCACTCACATCACATTCTTGTTTTTGGCCGGTGTCCTAAAACTAGGTTTAACTTCAATCACGTGACCTGCACGTTCACGTAACATGTGACCGCCACGTGGAGTCGGCATAAATCCCGGTTAAGATGCCACTAAATCAATTAGGTGTCAACCGATATATATTCCGGTTTGGTCACTAATCCTTGTGTATATATGTAGTTATGTACTGTACAATATTTTATTATTTACATTACTGAAAAAGAGAAGAAAATGAAGTATTACAAAGATTTTTTTTTTTTTTTTTTTTTTTTACAAAGATTTTGCTTAACCAACATAGTTCAGAAGCTCAGGTGGTGAGGGGGATAAGCCAAAGCCACCACGGAGCAAAGTGAAGACTGAGCCAGCGGTGCTAAAGACTCGTGGAACCACTACTCGAGCAAGTCTTGGTAGAGTCGGGTAAGTAAGCGTACCGACGATAAACCAATTGAGACTCATAAGAGCAACTGCATCTAACGCCGGTTTATTCTTTACCGTTGAGAAAAATTGAACCACACTTCTCAAAGAGATACCAACCACTGTGAAGAGTGCTCCTATAAGTGGAGTACACATCTCTTTTTCTTTGGCTCCATACAGAACTATACCTACCACGAGCGCGAGCATCGCGCTGAATAAGCTTCTTTTAACCGCGATGCTCCTCTCTAAACCAAGGATTCTCGGTGTTAGCTCTTCGTCGTTTGGGATTGTCGATTTTGCAAACGGGTAAAGAGGTGATTTAACCGATGTAAACTCGGCTTTTCCCTTTAATCCATAAGGGGTATTCTTTGGCTTCGGTATACTACGGATTTCACTTGCTTCTTCCTTGTGTTTAACTTTACCTTTCTTGCTCCAATAGTCTTTTCCAGTACCTTCCTTCAGTAGAAGATTTTCCTCCTTTAGTTCTTGAAGCTGTCAACAAATGTTTAGAAGAACATAAGTATATATTGGTTATGCAAGAAGTTGACTAAACCAGCTTTTATACCTCGGCCTCTAGCTTTTCTATTTTGGAAATGGCTTCATCATGTTCATCTTCTAGTTCATCTAAGTCGCGTTCCATGGTTCGGAATTCTTTTATTGCTTCCCGGAGGGTCTCCTCTATTTCTTTCCTATTCCATTCGAGACTCTCTAGCTCATACCGCAACTCATAAATGCTCTGCTCAAGCTGTATATACAAAAGATCTTGCTCAATCGTAAATGTATATAATCTTATGGACTTACGAAAAAGTTACTATAAGAAACAATTGAAAATACACAATTATTTTTCATCATTGAAATTTGCCTAACTCACTACGAAAGATTCATTCAAAAGTGAATTCCTCTAAGTCAAAATAAATCAAAAGATTGCTTAAATGATCGAAATTCGCATCATTACTAAATCTTGCACAGTCTATCAAAGTGAATAACCTTATTTTTAAGAATCAATCAAAGATAGTTAAAACCTGGATACAAGAAAAGGTTTGCAAACCGAGACGAACCAGTCTTTCCCTTGGTATAGAGGCGAAGAAGCGAATGGGGAACGTAAAGAGGAGAATAGATCCCCAGATTGATCCCCACACAGCTCTCCACAACATACTTAAGTTGAACCAGATTGCAGACGTCACCATATCAGTAGATACAAAGGTTGTAACAAGAGCTGTTTTAAGACAGAACACACATGCGTATATGCAGAAAAAGATAGGTCTGGTCATAAGATAAACTGAAGATGAGACCAACCCAGATACCAAACCTCCAAGATCCATCTCTCTTCAACTAAGACAACAAAATCACCTATAACAACATGAACACAGACTAGTCAGACTTTTAAAGCAAGATAAACTTTGCAGGTCTTAATAAGCTAATGAACCAAGATGATTCTAAACTCTGATAAGAGTCCCGAATTAGAAGAAACTACCTTCTTTTTTTGAAGCGAGAGTAAGAGGCGATAGAGTCAAACGAGAAATTGTAGCGACTGAGGCAGAGTATGATAGTGAGAGAGAGAGGAAGATTGATAGGGAAAGAAACAGAGGAGGTGGCAGAGAGAGGGAAGCCATGGACGACACGTTGAGTGTAATTTATTAGGTTATTCGGATTTTGGATAAAGATCAGAGCTTTCAAATTCTAGTTGGCAGAAAAACACAAAACTTAAAATACATCTCATGTTTTAAAAAGCAATATAAAGATATAAATATTAAGGAGTTAGCTATAATAACATTACTAATTACTATTTTTGTAAAACAATGAACTACACTACTACATATCAAAAAAAAAGAAAAACTATATTTGATAGTATGAGTTTCGGTTATATTCAATACATAGATCACTCACCTTAATGAGCTCAAGTGGCATTAGACTACTTACAATGAAGTGTTTAATAAAAAGATTCTACAATAGTAGATGTGTAAACTGATTTATATCTAGGATAATTGGGATTGGTTATATGTTTATACCTGCTTATGTATCTGAAGATCGTGAAGTCATGGTAGATTTTCTTCTATTATGAGAGATATTTTGAAAGTCTATAATTTTTTTGTCTAAAGCTAAAGCCACTAAAGACTGACTTGTTAATTCAAAGCAAGTTAAAAAAATTTGGATCTTTGAATAAGTATCTCACATAACAAACATCATTTATAATATAGTTCGGTGGCCTTTAGATTTAAAAAACAATCAAAGATGTGCAAAGGATGGTGGAGGATATCTAGAAAGACCCATGATGGTCGAGTTGGAGTGAGAATCATTTCGATCACCGTTAAGATCAGAATACCAAGGAAAATGAGGAGATAATAAAATAGCATAATACACACCAAACAGTTTTATGTTGGATGAGTTGGAGCTTTTATCATGGTAGTGGTGAAAGATGAGGAGCTAGAGGTTGGAATGGCTGAGGGATTTCTGAGCAGCTTGGGGATTGTGAGAAACTGGAAAATTCGGAATGAACGACAGTAAGAGAGGTAGAACATGGTGTCGTGGACTATGATGCTGATGTGAAGGATGGCTTAGTGGTAGAATATGGTAAGGTGAAGGAAAGTGGAGTAAAAATCACATGTTTATATCACTTTCACATTTCGAATGTGACAACCGACAACTAAGATGATTAATTATTCATTTGAATTTATGTATATATTTTCATAATTGAATTCATTTATATTTTATATTATTTATCATTAAAATCATTCTTTAACTCCATTTGGAAATATTCAAGTCAAAAACTAAAAAAAAAAATTAGAATATATCTAAAACAGTTATTATATTTAGGTGAAATTTTCTCAACAATTATTAAGAATCGTAATATAAAATCTTAAGTGATTAAATAATTTAAATAAATTTCTTCGCAAAAAAAAATACTATCAATTATTAAAATATTATAATCCCAATTTTATTAATTTATAAAAAATTACCGTACAAATATTGCATATTAACTTTCCAAATTCATTGATCAATCATCATAATTTTTTTCTTTCAATCCAATCATTTTGTCTCATCTAGACATTCTCTAACATCATTCAATTTATCCAAAAATCTTGAATTTCCCAAATTCGATAATGGGCAATAAATTCAAATAACTAAAAAATGTATTTCATATGACTTTTTAAATTTGACTATTCGCTACTCACGGAATATTTACTATTAGAACCGTAAAGAAAACTGTTGACATTATGTTAAGGATATTTGCAGAATTAACATTTTTGAGTATCATTTTATCCATTTTTATCAATACCCTTTTTTATATACAAAAATGACTAAACTCTAAACCCAAAACTCTAAATTGTAAACTTTACCCTCTCAAACCTATATTCGAAATGTAAAATAGAGAATTAAAACCTTAAAAGGGTATTAAAATTAATTTAACATATTGCAGTTTTGTAAAACGGTAAAAATAAAATGGCAAAAAAGACATTTTTGCATAAGAGTATTAAGAAAAAGACATTAGTTATAATTTCTACTTTTTTATATGAGAAAAAAAGAATTTGGGCATTTAAAAAATTAATACAATTTAATATTTGGGTCTTTTGACATGTTTTTGCAAATATGGACTTTTTGTAAAAAAATTGTCATTTAGAAAAACAGCTTTGGCCTTTCTAACATATCTTTTACATAAATCTGAGTTGTAGATAGCCCACTGAATTAGCAGAATCCTATGGGTATTCCAAAATTTACATCGTTTCCTATTTTCCTTTTTCAAAAATACTATAAACCTAAAGTTTATTAGTAACTAGCAGTTGACCCGCGCTGCGTGCGGGAGGTTTATAATTTTTTGTTAATTTTTTATTCATATTATGATATTTTATTTGTTTTTAATTGATTTTCAAAACATATTATAGTTATTTTCTCATGAATTATTATATTTCAATATTTAAATTTGGACTAAAAGCATTTTCTTATTGATCATGTTATAAACTAATATTTCACTTTCAGCTTTATTTTTCCCCTTTAAAATTTTATATATACAATTACATAAATGTTGTTTTTTATTCTACATTAAATTTAAAATTTACGTACATTCTTAAACTCAATAACACATTTAAAATTTTAAACTATGATCAATTTAAACTGAAAGTTGAATTATATTATTACCACTAACTAATAAAAAATGAAAGTATTTCTTATTTAACATTTCATTTATTTACATAATTTATTTTTATTTATATAAATTTCTATTAATTAAGTAAGTAGCATAAATATGCACTAAATGAATGTCTTAAATTTATTTTAATGTAAAAAAATGTGGCTTAGGTGGATGTTTATGTGGCATCATGAGAAGAGAGAAAAAGAATTTATATATATAGATACCAATTTAGGCGATTAGTAAGTCACCTCATCTAAGTTACCTTGACTAGTTAATTCTTCATCTTAGTAATCAACGGCTCTATAAATAACTTGTAAATATAGTCTACGCTTTTACTGAACGTGAAATAAAATAAAATAAATCATTAACTTTTTTCATTTAAAGTGTGCAATGAGATTGAAGGTTAGCTTCTACAACCTTTTTTTATTTTTCCCCATTTCCATACATTATAATCTCGGTTATTTTCATAGCGATTTCACATATATATATATATATGAAAATAGGATGATCGATACATATCTTTGATGAGAGACAAGAAGACTTGATACATAATTTGATATCATCTATTAAAGTGGAAATTCTCTTGTCTAATTGGTGAAATGTAACTATGTAAGCAAAGTCAAACATGATCGAGAAACATGTTTGCCTCTATATATTTCTCATTTTATTTCAATGATTTTCCAATTTTAAACAATATCGTTAAAATTGATCTCATTTATTTGACTATATTTACTAGACCGTATATGTAAAATTGATCTCATTTCAAATTTTTTTTGAATAATCAAAGAGGTAAATTCTAAAGAATTACACACTAGAAAAAAATATCTCACAATTTGTTTATTTCAAATATTCATAGGACAATGAAACGGTTAAATTTGGTTCGTTCCCGACAAAATCTTACGATTTTTTTATTTTTTTTACTTCAGCTCTAACTCCGCTACAACAAAGTAAGATTGAGCATGAGATAATATTATATATTCATCATATAATTAAGGGAAATTACAAACACAAGATAGAATGATATGGCCTCATGAATGCTATAACATGATATAATTATAGATCAGATTCTAACTATACGCTGATACTACAAAATCATATCTATATATCTACCTCGAGTATCAAGAGAAGTTGCTGTGATGTTAGTAGCCGAACCAAAGGCTCTGGCTAGACATAGAGAAAAAGAGAAGTCTCCTTCTCCAACCAGAAGTATTTGATGTTTGTTATTGTAATGACTACAGTTCAAAGTTTGTGAAACCTCCATCTCTCGTCTTGATGAATTTGCTGCTTTCACCATGCACCAAGCATGTCTTTTATACTAGTGTAGTAGTGTTTATAATATGATGTCTCTTCGAACTTTGTGATCAGTATTTATGTACTTTGAGGAGCATGCATTTATTCTCTGTGCATGCACCATTATGAACGTATAATTTGGTTTTTTGTTTTAAATTGGCTAATTGGGACTTCCTACTACCTATACGGCTATACATAAAAGCCATGCCCTACCATTTGGCATGATGAAGGCGAAATTAATATATTTGCCTGTTCGTTTACCATTTAAAGTTAATCTAAAACCTTATTTTGCTTTTCTGTCTTCAATGTTTTAAAAAAAAAAAAGAAAAAAAAAAAAACTTGATATCAACTATGAAAGTGGAAATTATCTTGTATAATTGGTGAAATGTAACTATGTAAGTAAAATCAAACATGATCGAGAATATGAACGGTTCATTTACTTTATATCTATGAAACTGACCTATACAGTCAAAGAAAAAGTAAAGCAGAAAGATAACCGTAAACAAGAACCAAGTAAATCAAGGTTTGTCCCGGAAACCCCAAACTCTCCCATTGCCCCAAAAAGTTCCAAAGCCAACCAAAAACACAAGACACCACTACACACATGAAGTAACTCCTATTTATAATGATTCTAGTCTTAACTAACTTGATGAAGTGTCTTGTAGAGTTGATAAAATCTCTCATCATCAAATGTACCAAGCCAACATTAATATCACACGAGGGAAGCTCAGTTTCATGACATGAGTACCACTCTTGAGGTTCATCGTCTTCTTCATTGGGAACAGTCCACATTGATGGATTATGCTCGAGGTCGTCGCATGAGTACCATACATCGTGAATACTCAGTGATGCACGTTCCTTTTTTACCTTTATGGCCTGTGCGCGAATAGTTAATGGTTTTCCATTAGCACATTTAATCTCTTTCACTGAAAGTTCTAAAAGATTATGCTCTGTCACATCTTTTCCAAAGGCACACCTTGTAAATAGCCTCATTGCATCTTCTTGGTTTAGACCTTGAACCTCATAAATCTCATTAACACCGAACAAGTCAAGTACTTGTTTATATCTTGAGATTATGATGATCAAGCTCCCTGGACCAAATCCACCACCAAGAAAAGACTCGGCGTCTTTAGCATTTTGCACATCATCTAGAGCGATAAGAACTCTTTTTCGACGGTATCTTGGCTCTGAAGCAGAAGGGTTTACGTCAAACATTTCTACTGGAGTCTCACCTAAGTATTCATCAGACAAAGCTGGTCCAAGTCTCTTTTCACTATATTCTTTGTGAAAATCTTTGATGAAGCAAGAAGCATCGTAGCTACTGGACATTCTACGAAAGACGGCTCTAGCTAGAGTGGTCTTTCCAATGCCAGGCTCACCAAAAATTCCTAGGGTGCGGAGTCCCCATGACTGCTTGCATAGCAAGTTTTCTATGTCAACTTGCCGACTATGAATCCCAATCTCTTCCGTTGGATAAAGCTTCTCAAACACATCGCTCGCTATTTCTTCCATAAATTGGGATTCACTACAAAAACGAAATGTATATAAGTTCATGATTCCACGCGCATAGCTTCGTCAACTATGAGAAAATTTCAAATGCGTGCATGGAATATTTTCTATGTTTACGCACATATACGTTGAGTAAATATATAAACTAGTTACTTAAAATAATATAACGTATCAATGTCATTTCTTTGTCGCAATCCCTAACGTATTGGACTCAAATTAATATGTTTCTGATTTCTGAAGTTACTAATATGTTAATCATTTCTGATTTTGGTTGAATAAAATTTAACATTCATTCCAAGAAAAACTATAAAAAAACTAAGACTAGTCTATAAACAAATATAAGTCCCGGTTAGGAAAAGTAAATTTTAAAGATTTTTTTGTTTTTGTTGTTCAAAGATATTCAAATAAATTTGAAATAATTTCATTGCAATTATTATCAACAATGTTTTTAAAACACGTACGACAGAGCAGAGTTTGGTAAACAAAAACATGACAGATCAAAGTTGTCGCGATAGATAAAACTTACAAAATATATAATAATTTATAAACACCGACGTTAATATATATAATTTAACCTAGCTATATTATATTGTCGATTATGAATCAATCGGGTTTACCTATGTATTTTAATTAATCGGCCTCGGCAGCAAATAACATTAACTTTAATTTACAATATTTAACATCATCTATTAAACTTGTATTAAAATTACTAAAATAAGATAATACGAGAAATAAATCCCCAACTATATTAATCGATTATTTAGCAAATAGATGCATGCTAGCAAAATTTTGAATAGCGAATATGGTACCACAATATGGTAGTTCCTACCTTTGTTCATCATTATGAAGGTGACCTGACAATACTGAAGATTCTAGTAAATCACGATACCACATGTCGAGCTTTGCAATTTGATGTGTCAAGGATGATACCGTGACACCATGGAGCACCGAAACTACAACAACCTCTTTGTTGTTAAGATGATTCACGAGATTCTCCGGCACAGATAACGTGTAATTCTTCGAGAAAACCACTACAAGAACCCTAATTAGGTCGGAGACAAGATTCTTGTCATCGTCAAGCTCATAGATCCCATGGCGGTTGAAAGTAGCTCTAAGGTAGTCAATGCAAGAGGAGATTGATGAGTCATTTTTGTCGTAACAAATATGAACGGTGCGCTTATCTTTCTCCTCGTCGTTGTTGTTCTCAATATCCATCTTTTAGTTTGGAACATCAAAAGGTATTGAAGAAAAAAAAGATTGTATATGTTTGTGTTGAAGATGATTTATATGCCACCCGTTTATGGTTGGAACGGACCCTGCCCGTAGAATAGTTAAGTATACATATATATAACGCTAAGAAACAATATTTAATTATCACAACAATAATGATCTTTTAGGGGTCAATTACTTCTATGGCGTACAGAAGTTTCTCCGATATATTATAACATATGTGGTGGGGAAGATTGAGTAGAATACAAATTTTGGATTTACGTATCGCAATTTGTAGTTGTCCGTTTTTGATTGGTGATAAGTTATAAACTAGTGTTTTATCAAGAAAAACAATAATAAAAAGAAGTATAAAAGTATAAGCTAGTGGCCTTATCAAAAAGAAAAAAAGTATAAACTAATATGTTGTAGTTGAACCTATAGTATTTTGATATGAACGATACTCGGGTTTAAGTATTCCTAGGGGTGAACATTATTATTCTTTCATAGGAATGAACCTTGTAATTCATATTTGTCACAAGGTATTAGTTTTGTAATTCATTTCCTAAAATTTAGATACAAATCCTTAACATTTATAAGCTGATCAAAGAAATAAAATCTTACCACAACTGTGGAATTGGAGTTTTAATTTTTCATATTATTACTTTGATTAGTGTATAATGTGTATTATTAAAGATTTGGTTAACTAATAAATGAAAACACGGACCGAGTCCCGCACACATGTCCTATATATTCTCTATATATATGTTTGTGTCGTCGAAATAGATGTAAACGATGAACGTACGTACGTAGCTTCGTTGTATTTTGGTTTAAAGCATCAACATGAAAAAACAATTACAAGTGTGGATAATTTAAAGTAATTGCCACGCGGTTCCCGTTCTTGGTTTGGAATGGACAAGTTGTGTAGGATTATACATATAACACTAGGGGACCAAAGTAGGAAACTATTATATATTGGGAGTCAAATTGCGTATATAAATGTGTATCCATAAGGCAGGTGTGCGGTTTGAAGTTTCCGGGGGACTTTTTGTAGATAGAACAAAAGAGTTGCATTAACTAAATAGTATTTGTACGTAATATTGATCCCGATAGGCTAAATAAAGAAGAAAGAACACAGCCTTTGGCCTTTTGATATGGGACTAAAGGTGTATGCATGGTTTATTATTATTTTATTTTTTTTGAATTTTGTTTTTCGTTCTATTGTGATTATTATATTTTTAATATATACATATACAATTATGTTACTTTCATTGAAAATGAGAGGGTTTGGCCCAACTAAGTTTTGCAGGTTGCATGTAACAGAACTGCATGCTTGTTAGGTTAAATATATAAAGTTGTGTATGGACGTTAGACAATGCCAAATGTGACAAGAGATACACGAAGAAGAAGAGTAAATATATGTGATTAATTTCTATGGCTTTCTTATTATCAATGGTTGATTGCTCAACAATATGTACAAAACAATTTTCTTTTGTAAATTAAGAGTTTTCTTATATTTTTAAGTTCTGAGTTATACAAATCGGATAAGAATGGAGGAGACCTTCCAAAGAAAAAGGTCGGGAAACTCATAGAACCTCTACTTAAAGAGTTAAAATTCATAGTAAAAGATGATGCATGCGGCACATTGAGTGGTGAAACTGTCATGAGAAGTGGGACTTCATCACCCAGAATTATACATGAGGTTGAACACACTTGATAAAAAGAAAAAAGAAAAAAGAGTTTCATAGTGCTCATAAATCATTGCATTAAGGATGGTCTTAGGGTCTTCATTCTGATGGCCCTTTGAAGAGAAATCCACTCTGAAACACTTCGGTATTAGAAGAGCTGACCGGATCAGCCGATAAAGAGTTTATAAAAAAATCAAGAAAAACAAAAAAAAAAGAGTTCCATGGTGTTTTGGGATCTCATATAAGAAAAAGGAGAACAAGTGTGGCAATTAGGGTCGTCATTGTGATGATAGAAAGTGTATGAGTCTAACGATATAAGATTTGTGAGAATTCTCTTGGTAACTGAACAAAGAGTTGTTTATATTCTTGTGTAAATCACATATGTGTGATCATACAAAAGTTGTGTTGTAAAGCAAAGGTTTTGATGTTTGCTTTCATTCACGTGTGAGTATGTCTCAATTGAGAGTCATACACTCATACTCATGACCAAAGCTAACTATAGAAGGAATGTGGACCGAAGTAACGACATGTCCGGTTACGGCCAACTGTTAAACAATGAGACAGAATTTTAATTATTTTTTCGAATAAAACGCATTCCATCGGTTTGCTCGAAATTATTGAGACATTCGAATAATCACTTAGAAAAGAATAAATGTTAGTTGGGTCTCCCCAGTTATATCAAGTCAAGAGTCAAACAAAAAAAAATTCGAGCATTAACAAAAACAATAAATCGAATAATGTAAACGTAAACGCCGAATAAAGAAGCTAATTAACACTTACGATAGGATATATAACGCTTCAATTTTGGAATGGACTATACATATGTGTACCAATAAGCCAACAACTACATGATCCTATAGAAATCAATCATCAAAATGTTATCAATCATTTGATCTCACCGTATCATTTAGTTAATATTCTTTTACAAAAAAAAAAATCATTTAGTTAATACGGATGAGCACTGTAGAGATGTGCAGTGCTCATGGACTGTCTTGGTTGGTGAAAGCTAACTAACAATATTCAATATTGGCTTTGGATGAAAAACAATTATATGAAAAATTTCTCTATAAAAACAAACCAAAATTTATATTTACTTAAAATTTAATAAGGATATATTTGACTAAAATGTGAATACGAACACCATTATAGTTTTTCAAGTTGCATTGTTTTCTTATGACTAGTTGAAATCCAAACTATTTTTTTTCCTTCTGCTGGTATAATCCAATAAATTGTGTTTTTGTTTTTAGTACATAGTGGTTATTTTTAAAATCTGCATGCAGTCTCTAAAGAAACAGTGTTTCTCACAAATAAAACAAATAACCAATATAATATAATTAAAGTACATACATACGTTGTAATCTTGACTTATAATTAACATAATTACGAAGACGTCAACGATGATTTATATTGTATTGTAAACCCATCTGTATTGCTTATATGTGTATATATGTCTATTAACGAAGCACAAAAAAACACCTATATATGTGCATTGTTTCTCTAAACAACCAATAAAAAAACACCAAAACGAAAAAAACGAATTGAGATGGAGGCACCCTCATCTTCCAACGACATCAAAGAAGGCCCCCAAGTGTTCATCAACTTCCGAGGAGCAGAGCTACGCAAAACCTTCATCTCCCACCTCGAAAGTGCCTTGAAACGCATAGGTATCAACGCGTATATCGACAGCAACGAGCCCGCGGGTGAGGATCTTCACAAACTTTTCGAAAGGATCGAGGAGTCGAATGTCGCGCTGGCGATCTTATCGAGTAGGTACACGGAGTCGAATTGGTGCTTGAAAGAGCTAGTGAAGATAATGGAGTGCGTGGAGCAAGATAATCTATGGGTTATTCCCATTTTTTACAAGTTGGACCCAAGCACGGTGAAAGGACTTGATGGTGACTTTGGTATTCAGTTGTGGAACCTGTGGAGGAAGAAGGAAGGTCGAGACGACAGGATTCTTAAGTGGGATGCAGCTTTGCAAGGAGTTACAAGCAAGTTTGGCTTGGTGTCGGAGACTTGCCGGTAATATAACCAACTTACATTACTTTATACTAACTAGTAACTAGTAATTACTCCATCTAATCATTTTTAATTATATGGTGAAAAAGGTATATGGTAAATTTTACATAATTGAAGTCAGTTGAATGGCATGGATAACGTCCATTTAAAGTTCAAGATTTGTATTAGGTTTTGCGATTTAATTAAGGTTTAGAAGGTTTAACTAGTTTGATAATTTTAACTGATTTAGAAATCTAATTAATTTTTTGTGTTAGTAGATAATCGATTTTAATACCTTTGTGTATTATTATTTTGATGATATCATAATAATAGTTAAAAAGAAAATCCGATGTTATTTAATCATTGAATCCACATTGACTTGTTTTGTTCATTTGATTACATAAAAATGGAAGAAAAAATACAAATCATGTCAAAATAAAGAGGTTCAATATGAGGGTGGTGAACTTTCATTTTCAACGTATTTCTAAATACTAGTTGATATACATAATACATATACTTGAATTTAGAACCAGTGAAGTCTATATGAAGATTTTCAATCAGTTAGAATTAAATACACAAACCAATATGTTTATAATCAATAATTGTGAGGTGACATGAGCAAAAAAAAAAGGATAAATGAAAACTTACCTCTTCTTTTGTTTATTATTTTTGATAGAAAAACGAGTTATAAGATCAAATAATATAAAGTTAATTCCTATATGTTTTGTGTGCATGAATTCTTAAATTTTTGTTTTAGTATATTGGATTGTTTGACTTTGCTTAAATTGTTACATTCCACAAATTATACAATGCAACTATGCAAGAGCCTCACTAGGTTGTCTCTCTTTCTGTGTCGTCTATGCAGTAACGACGCTGCCTTCGTAGATGATATCATCACACATGTTCAAAATGTCTTATCCAAAGATTTGTTGCTGAGGGGAGAGCACCCTAAACCCCGAAGAAGAGGAGCAAGAGCCAAGTATTGGAAAATATTTCCCATATTATTTCTCGTAACATATTTGTATATATCTAGAGTTTCCACATCTTGTATTTTGCCACTTCAATTAGATTAATTTGATGTAACTATTATATAAATTAAATGCCTCTTAGGCCATGCAATAATTTATAGGGGTAAAATGTCCCTTTTCTATACATTTTTCAAAAAGTAAAATATTTGAGATGGGTTCTTCGGACATAAACAACTCTCGATCATTCTCAAAGTTTCTTTGCAGTTTGGTTTGGATTTATTCAGCGTTGATTTTACTCTTGCTTCACTTGAGTCTTGTTTAATATTAATGTTATGTCTTATTTATTTTTGTCTTTACTCCTATGTAATTTTCAAACGGTATCTCTTTTGGAAATAAATAAAAAAACACTCAACGAGATAAATATATATATATATATATATATTTTTTTTTTTTGAAAAAATGGAAAATGTTTTTGAAAAATGTATAGTAAAAGGGACCTAAAATTGCATGGCCGAGGAGACATTTATATAGTTACATCAAGTTTTTTTAATGTAATTGTTTTGTCCCAAATAGTAATTCTTTTCCAATACTTACCAATTCTTTTCCATTCGGGACAAAAGTAATTACTAATTAATTACTAATTTTAGTCAGGTTCCAATACTTTTTTTAAAGTAATTATATCAGTATTTTAAAACTTTTCAAATATTATTATATATTTAAACACTATACAGTACAAATTGTATATGAAAGAAAACTCTATCCATACGCATGTAATAATCTTAGTTACAAGTGCAAAACTTTAGTTTATAAGTAAAAGTCGTGACGCAAGTGATTATGCTTTCCATGTAAAAGAGGTGTCGAAATATATATTTTTCTAAAGTTAAAAGAGATATAAAGAATCTTTCTTGTTGATATCTCTATCAAAGACACCAAATTATTTATTCCAATCATATAAATTACGAGTCGAATTTTCATTTAAGCGAAAATCTCAAAATTATTGATTTTCTCTCATGTGAATTTGATATCATTATGAATAGCTTGTATTAGTTATAACTTATAACAATTATCTTAGAAAAAAAGGAAAAATCGATCCCAAAAAATAAAACAAAAACTAATTAAAGTAAAGTAAAATAAATGAAAGATGGGAGTTTTCTAATGCTTATGAGAAGAAGTGCAAGTAGATGGAATGTAAGTATGATCAGACGGTCTAAAGTTAAGCTCACAGATAAGGTTACACTCGAACTTGAACGACCCTAATGGTCCGACTCGCCACCGAGTTCTTGAGCCACCATTGATCTCGAACGTTATAACATCTTGTTTAATTGCATAGTCTACAGCTTGCATCAAACTTGGATTCAATGGTATTGGATATGACTGAACCGAGTAAGGAAGGTACTTTGATTTCTCTTTCGGAACTTCAAACTCTGGTGCTCTTAAAATCGCAATCAGTTTGCCTTCATAGCTTAGCTTGAACTCAGTGTTATCAAACAATGCATGAGCTTTAGCGTTATCATTCTCTACACGAATAACAATCGTTAACTGCGTTTGCAAAACTCCAAATATATCATACCTGATCAATCAAACCCACAAAAAGAGAGGACAAAAAAGGTATTGATCATTAATGATACAAGATTCAAGATCAAGAAAGGGTAAGAGAAGTTAAAGGAAATTAAAACAGTACTTTAAGAAGTCGAGGTGAGCATCCGCGACACTAATGATAGGAACTCGAGGATGTATGACCATGTAACCAACGAAGACTACAATGCCACCAAAGATTACAACAATAGAGATTATGGCACAAACGATAGCTGCACACCAGATGAAAGGACTGGTACTGTGACGAGAAGCATATCTGGGCATTATTATGGGGTTCAGAGGATCGGATTTTGTTAGATCGGGTTCGATGAGACAGCATTCGGGCTCTGGGACCAACGTTCTTGGCTTTTTGGTTGGTTTGGGGAGAGGTTTGAGAGAGGATGATGGATTTTGAAGGATTTGGTACTAAACCCTACTCGGTGGGGAAAGTTTTGGTATCTTTCTTTCCTTTGGCTTAAAGGCAAAATGGGTTTCGCAAGTAACATACATAATTTGTTAAAGTTGTATACTTGCTAAATTTTAAGGAATCTTCTACTTATATATAACATGTCTAATGTAATTCTTAACTTGTAAGTATTACTAACTTTGCTTATGTGCATATGTAAATTAGATTATTAAAGCATATGATGTATTTATATCTCTCTAGAATTTTGCATATACCAAATAGGTTCGTACATTTAGTTTTCTCTACATGGAGAACAAAAATATTCTCTCATGAGGCTAAAGCTCATTAGACAGAAAAAAGGATCATGAACTTGCCAATATGATGTGCCTACAAATCTTGAGATATGGTAACCTTAAAACAGAATTTATAAAACAGCTGTAAGAGAAGAAGTGCGGGTGTACGAGTGACCAACCAGTAAAGCTTTCTGAGAAAGAGAAACTCAGCAGATCAAAAATGTGTGTTTCTGCCTCGGCCTCTTCCACCAGAGTAGTAGCCAGAACCCTGGTTTGGGTAGTAGTAGTTGTTGTTGTTGTTATTGTAGTATCCGCCTCTGTTATTGGATTGTGCAGCGAGATAGGCACCCTGACCTGGTTGTAGTTGAGGTGGCCTTTGAAAATTATCACCAAATGCCTGAATAAAAAACAGTAAAGAGTACAAAAAGAGTCTATAAGTAAACAGTATTCCGATTTTTGTAGAAGAATAGTTTCAGAACTTCAGGTTGGTGACTGGTGAGTATAGAGAGGATGAAACAAACCCCAGGAACTTGTCTCAGGTGCTCGGGAAACTGTGTGTGTTGTTGTCCGCTTCTTGCCACACGGTCAAGTTGATTGCATGAGACTGTGTCGAAAAAGTCATCCTTGTTATATGCAGGCTGCAACAGGCAAAAAGAAGTGTTAAACGCTGCCTGAATATCGAATGAAAATTATTAACTAGATCATGTTAAGAATTTGACCTAAGATCTCTCTGAGATGTAAACATAGATAAGAAGATAGATACCTTTGCATTCCCTTCTGCGTTTGGCTTAATTGCAATTTCTTCTCCGTTAGCATTTTGATTCCTCTGGTTATTTTGCCCGAGAAAACCCCATAGTTCACTCTTCTTGAACTTCTCATTCATTGCCTCAAAATCAAATTCTTCAGTAAACTCAATGCTAGAACTAGGGATCCGAGACTGCAACAAATTTAGAACCCAAAGATAACATAAGAGAGATACTCATAAAATGTGTTGGCAAAAGGACAGAGACAGCAAGTGCAATGGTCTGTAACAAAAAACACGTCCAAGAGAGATCGAGAGGCTAATTGTACCAATGCTCATGAAATCTAAGAAGCAATGTAATCGCAAGGCAGTTTCATGATAACGATGAGAAATCATGCATAGGTGTAATTAAATGAAACATCAGAAATGGAATTTAGAAAGAAAAGAATGAGACCTGAGCTGACAATGGAAGAGGCAGTAATGGTGCATGATTTCTGGTGGCAAGACTTTGTGATGGCACATTCATTGATACTGGATTAGTTGCAGAAAACATCTCTTGACCCCTATTTACTATCGGCTGCCTAGATTGCATGGATGGATCCATACCGTAAAATGACTCAGGTAGGTTCGACAATGGACCAGGAATCCCAGGAGCTGAATAAGAAGCCACAGCCGGTAAATCATAAAGTAAAGGTCGGTTAGGATGATCAGACCGAGAGTCATGGAAATCATTACCAACAGCCTGGGGTCCACTGGGGTAACTGTTATGAATATTTGGAGCAGAAAGCTGTGGTTCAGAAGGTGGAGAAAGGTTAGAGGGTGCTGAAGCAAGGCCAGGTGGAGTATGGAATTGTGCTTGACCAAGGGGAGAAGGGTTAGAAGGGTATGGTCGATTAGTAGCATCGTCGTGTGAACGAGTAACAACCTGTGATGTATCATCCACTAAGCCCATGATTGGTGAAGCAAAATAATCTATAATCTGCGGATTATTGGGGATCGTCGAGGGAGATGAAATTGGCTGCTGCATCATACCAACAGGGACACCAGTGGCACCTAATTTGTTACCTTGCACAAAAGAAGGCATGGGCATAGATGAAGGAGCTTTACTTTGAGTTGAACCAATTAAGCTCACTGGTGATTCTGTCAAACTTCCAGTATTAGCTGTAGGAGGCTGGAAGTATAAAGGGGCTGATGAATGTTGTGTGGCAGGAACCGAGGTACTACTCAAAGCAGGTGTATTGGCCCATTGTGTTCCTCTCCCCAAACCATAACCACTATCATAGCCAGAAAGTGGAGAGTTCATAGCTGAACTAGAATGAGGGGACTGTAAACAAGGAAGGGGGCAAAGTCATAAAAAGAGTAAATGTAGCAGACAATTCTCATTTCCATGTTCTAAACGAATGTCTTTACCTGATTGATGTCTTGTTCATTTTGAATCTCCTGTCTTGACTGTTCAGGTGGAGATGGATTCACTTGCAGATCCTAAGAAGCCAAACAAGTTTCATCATAAATCACTATAGATGGCTTCAAACCTTTATTATGATCATGTTTCAGGGTTTCCAACTAATAAAACCAACTAGGATTCACGAAATACATAAACATAAAATGTCTAAGAGATCAGAATCTGCACACTAACCTTAATGTCACTTCCACGAAAAAGAATGTAATCGTAAACTCTATCACATGGTGGAATTTGAGGCCCATCTTTCTTCCTCCCCTCCGTTCCACAAGATCTTACTGCATAACCATTCAATAGATAACATAAACGTATTATAATTCACCACAAGAACGTCACACTCAGATAACAACACAAGTTAACATTAGCTTCATAACTTCACTTATCATGATTCACTAACACAGAAGTTTCCAGATTTTGGCTTGAGTCACCAAAATTAAACTCTCAACTAAATGTTCAACAAAACTAAAACTAAAACTACATATGAACGAATTCACAAGCTTCTTTCACATTTCCTTGAATCCTAGACCAGATCAAGAAAGCATAATCAACCACAAGAACAGGAATCAAAATCAAAATCAAAGTTCCAGTTCTATAATCGATGTTCCGGTTACAACTACACAAAGCATAAACATGTAATCTCTTCGTTGTTCGGAAAACTAAACTAGTATAAATCGCTTAGGTTTTTCGAATCCGTACCGTTCTTTAGACCTAGCGTCGAGTCCTGAACATTGAGATGGTAGAGAATGCCTTCGTAACGGATCTCGTACTTAGAAATTAGACTGATGAAACTTCCTACGAACGTATCGCCGACGTTGTTTCCCGGCGACGGAGAAGGTGCGGTTGACGGAGGTTGAGATGACGACGGCGGTGAAGATTGCGAACTCTCACTCGCCATTCCTAGGGACTAATCAGTGGAAAAAGAAGTGGAACGAATCAGAGTATGTAATCGATTAGGGTTCTTTCTGTATCTCTCTTCTATTGCAATGTTGATTTTTGAAAAAAAGCTCTCTCTCTCTCTTGGAACCGTCGTGGCTTGAGTATGTCTCCGTCGTGATTTTTAAAGGCGGGGAGATCTGTGTGCCGTTGGTCCATCTTTGTGAATATTTGGGCCTTTATTAGGCCCATGTTCGTTTCTTTTTGTTAGAATTAGGCCTATGCTCTTAAGTTCACAATTGTTTTTTTTTCAAGAGAATTTGTTAGAAATACCCCTTTTGGGATGCTACTTTTTAAAAATACCCTCCTTTCTTGTTATTTTTAATTTTACCCTTCTTAAAATTTTAATGACAACTTTACCCTCTTTAATATTAACTCTACCTTTTAACATACCTAAACGCACACCTTCTTCCTTCTCTCTCCTCCTCTCTTCGCCGTCTGTCGATCTCGCCGTGCATCATTCTCGGTGTTCATCGACCTTCTTTTCTAGCATCATCTCATCTTCTCTGATTTCTCCTTAGTCGTTGTCTCACCTCGTCTCTTGTTCTCTGTCGTTCTTTCTTCTCAGTTCCATCTTCTACTTAGTCATACCTTCCTTTTGTTGCTAACATATAGAGTTGTCGTCATAGGTGAGCTTTGATCTTTTCTTCTTCTTTGCTTTTCTGATTTTGTCTTAGGTTTGATAATGATACATTTAAGGTACACGTTTCTGTGATTTCTACAGAAAATAGAAAGATTCATTGAGCGCACATAAGGTGTTTGGTAAAATGCCAAACAAATAAGCTTATTTTT